CTTTTGCACTGTGTGCATGCAAATGTGTCTATGGATTTGTACGTGGACAAAGCCGGAAGCCAATCAATAAAGCAAATTGCTTCCGAGTGCGGGTCCACGTCAATGATCTGGTGCGTCTTAATGCGGATGGATTCCGAGAAGGACAGCCCATCCGATTTTACTACGCACTGCTGCTGAGGGTCTAAGACTGACCCAAACGACTTGCAAACATGCCACTGGACGAACGGCTCTACACACCTGGTGCAACCACAAGAGACACTGGCTTGTGTATATAGTCCGTTCAGCCGATCTGATGCGATTAATGAACATGAACTCCAAGTCTGGCTGGTCATGCTTCTACAGCGCACTGTTGCATGCAGACCTTGCCAGCTTTAAACCCAATCAATGCAAGCCACTTCTCAAGCAACCGAGTTGAAACAACATCGGCTCGACAGGACCATTGCCAACCAGGTTCAACACTCAGTGGCAACAAGTGCATGTGCGCCCACAAACACAACAAACAAACAAGCAAACAAACAAACAAACAAGCCAAACAAACAAACAAACAAACAAACAAGCCAAAAAAACAAACAAACAAACAAATAAAATGAACAGACAAGCAAACAAACAAAATGAACTGACAAGCAAAATAACAAACAAGCAAGCAAGCAAGCAAGCAAGCAAGCAAGCAAACAAGCAAACAAGCACAAGCAACCAAATACAAACAAACAAACTATCTAACTAACAAACAAAGAAACAAACACACAAACACGCACGCACGCACGCACGCACGCATGCACGCACGCACGCACTCACTCACACACACACACACACGCACCTTTTGCAACCTGTGCATGGACACGTGTCTGAACCTGTACGTGGACACAGATGGAAGCCAATCATCAAGGCTCGTTGCTTCCTAGTGCAAGTCCACATCAATGCTTTGGTGCGTCTTAATGCGGATGGATTCCGAGAAGAACAGCCCATCCGATTTTACTACGCACTGCTGCTGAGGGTCTTAGACTGACCCAGCCGACTTGCGAACATGCCACTGGACGAACGGCTCTACACACCTGGTGTAACCACAAGAGACACTGGCTTGTGCAGTCCGTTCAACCCGTCTGGTGCGCTTAATGAACATGAACTCCAAGTCTGGCTGGTCATGCTTCTACAGCGCACTGTTGCATGCAGACCTTGCCGGCTTTAAACTCAATTAATGCAAGCCACTCCTCAAGCAACCGATCTGCAACAACATCGGCTCGACAGGCACATTGCCAACCAGGTTCAAAAATTAGTGGCAACAAGTGCACGTGCACCCACAAACAAAACAAAACAAACAAACAAACAAACAAACAAACAAAAAGAAAACAAACAAACAAACAAACACAACAAAACAAACAAACAAGCCAAACAAACAAACAAACAAACAACAAACAAAACAAACAAACAAACAAACAAAGAAACAAAGAAACAAACAAACAAACAAACAAACAAACAAACAAACAAACACAACAAACAAACAAACAAACAAACAAACAAGCAAGCAAACAAACAAACAAACAAAACAAACAAAACAAGCAAGCAAGCAAACAAACAAACAAACAAACAAAAAATAACCCAAAACAAAAGCAAACACACACGCATAAACACACACACACACACGCACGCACACACACACACACAAACACATGTGCAGCTTTTGCACTTTGTGCATGCAAATGTGTCTATGGATTTGTACATGGACAAAGCCGGAAGCCAATCAATAAAAGCAAATTGCTTCCGAGTGCGGGTCCACGTCAATGATTTGGTGCGTCTTAATGCGGATGGATTCCGAGAAGGACAGCCCATCCGATTTTACTACGCACTGCTGCTGAGGGTCTTAGACTGACCCAGCCGACTTGCAAACATGCCACTGGACGAACGGCTCTACACACACCAGGCTACCTCAAGAGACACTGGCTTGTACAGTCCGTTCAACCCATCTGGTGCGCTTAATGAACATGAACTCCAAGTGTGACTGATCATGCTTTTACAGCGCACTGTTGCATGCAAGGTCTTGCCAGCTTTAAACGCAATCAATGCAAGCCACTCCTCAAGCAACCGATTTGAAACAACATCGGCTCGACAGGCACATTGCCAACCAGGTTCAAGGCAACAAGTGCGTGTGCACCAGCAAAAGTCCGGAGGCTCCTCTGCAACGGTTTCATGTTCCTTTTGGAACCCGCCGAAAACGGGAAGAACAATCCGCCGTGTTCGAGCGAGGTGACAGAACCTCGACACCTTGGCTCATCACAGATTCACCTCCAGATTGGGGGTTCCAATCTGGTGTTCGGTACGATGGGCTTCTGGGGGGTAGCGGGGCACCAGGGTTTTGGCCAGCCAAAGGTGTGGGGGGAATTGAATATGAGGCAACACGTGCGCTCAGAAAAACTGAAGCGATTCTGTGGTGGCCCGTTGACACATACCCAAATGGGGGTGAATTTCATAGGCGACCCTTTGCAACAGCACGAAACATGGAGAAGAAACAATCGACAAACACATGGGTGTGTCTTTTTCTGAGGGTACCCTTTTTTCTGGTTGAAAGGCGAAACCAAAAGGGAATTGATGTTGTTTTTCAGGGTACCCTTTTTTGTGGTTAAAAAGGGAAACCAAAAGGAAATCGAAAGCCAGGTTGGTGAGTTCCCTAAAGCAAGACGCGCCACCCACATGCCAACCAGATGGATTCGATCCGACATTCCGAATTCAACGCCTTGAAGTCCAGACGCTGACGGGGCAGGAAGGACAAATTCCGCTGCACATAGCCTGGGAAGGGCAGGAGCCGTGGTTATTTTGGTTTGGGCGGACAACAAACCGCTTGGTTTGGACTACGGACATGGGTGAACCTCAAAATGCAAACCAGTTCGAAAGAGATTTCCGAGAAGAACAGGAAACAAAGGCGGCCCTTGGTGAAGTTCCTTCGATTCTGGGGAACACTTTGGTAGAAAAATGGGCCCAGCCCTTTCTAGATATCGCAATATAGCCACTATATCAAGGGTATATACCCCAATTTTCCTGGGGGTAGTGGTTTGGGCATAGTGGAAACCATCATGGATTTGTGGATGGATGGACAAAATGCGCTTCGCACGACACACTGTAATGGGACGAATATCATCTAGTCCTGGGTATTATTCTGCCAAAGTTTTTTGACACATGCTTTTTGCTGCAACTACTCACGGAAGAGCCAAGAACAAATGAAAGAAAGATGAAGCACGTATTCGGGTGACCCTAAATGGATTCTAACAACTGGGTTCTAGAATACACACATGATGATTGTCCTTTAGAGCTGGAGCCTGTTTAATTAGGCCCGTTTGGGGTCACCTGACACGTGCCAAGAACAGTGAAGATGTGGAATGCCCTCATTCCTAGGCGGAACATGATCGGGAGAATCCGCGGTGAATGAACCCTGGTGGAGTTTGATTGTGGGTGTCCCATTCCAGGAACATACCATGTGCCATGTCGTGTCTCTTGTCTGGATGGTGTCAGGCCGAGACTCATAAGGCAAATCCTCAAACTTCTTTACCCATGCACACTGACAAAACTGAAAACATCATTCAGATCACGCATGCATGTCTCTAAATGAGGCACCCTGCAAATGCTTGGATTCCGTTCTGGTGTCAGTTTCAAACCTATCCCAAAATGGGATCCTCATTTGAAGACCGTCAAACTGTTGACCCTTCTGCCTTCCTGGCTGGAAAACACATCTTTCGGAGCTTTCCAAACTTGCCTTTCCTTCCATGTCCTCAAGTCCCCCGGGCAAACTTCGGAAAAGACTCCCTCGAAAACCAACAGGTTCTGTGAACATATTCATTTCGGGTGGAAGTGTCCGGTTTATCCGTTCCATGGCTTCAGTCCAAGCGAAAGCGAACAGGAGGAGCCCTTTCCCCTAAAAAAAACGTGGCCGAAGCCAACTTCAACTTCGGCTTTGGCTTTGAGCCATTCTGTTTTTGCAGTTGAAATCAGCTTCCGCCTTGGTGGTTTGGAGCCCTTTCCGGGGTTTGAAGCGGAATCGGTGGTGTGATTAGGTGTTCAGGAAGCCGTACCCACAAGAACCAGTGGTTCAAGTCCCACCAATCCAAACCACCAACTCTTGCTTTGAGCTGAAAGGGAAACTCCAAAAATCGCGCAAGAACTGGCCAGGCTCTGGGGGCCCGTGGCTTTCATCGAGTCACCCGCGCCGGAAAATCGGACTCGAGACTCGGCTTTCTCTCGGCGCCCGGCCGTTGGTGCCGGAGCCCTTGGGCGTCATGATGCCGACCCCTGGCTTCGTTTTCGGGTCGCCGACGTCGACGACGTCGACGAGTCGACGATGTCGCCGACGAGTCGCCGACGAGGCGCCGGAGGTCGGATCGGAAGTCAGGGAACCGGGAGCTGAGTGCAGGAAACCAAACCAAACCGGCGGTGGTCTAGCCTTGGGCATGTCGGGGTGTCTTTTTGGGGGAGACATTCCTCCACTGCCCAAAAGGTTTCCGGGGATCCTGCGAGCCACTTCCCGAACAGTCTGCGCTGCAGTTCGAATTCCCCACATTCTGCCCCGCCAACAAAAGCCCAGGTGATATCCCCAACAGGCCCGGAGCTCTCCTTTTGAACACTCCAAAGGCCCAATTGCCCATCTGCCAATCCCTGGCACAAGGCATCACCCCAAAAGCAAACTCCTGGCTCCAATGGTGATCAAGCAGGAAACTGTATATTAAGACAAGAAGAAAACAATAAACAGAAAAATATTGTTTTCAAAAAAAATTAATAAGCACCCCCGATTTGTGTTGCAATATGTCCCCAAAACGCATGTTTGAACCCCCGCACAGATTTGGGACAACCACCTCACCCATGAATGGGTCTGAACTTTGAGGGGGCCCTGCGGACATCAAATAGATGGGGAGCAACATGTCCGCCAACCACTTGTGGTTTTGGTCCGATCTTAAACAAAATGTACCAGGACACCCAAATAACGGAATCCCCAAGTACGGTAGCAAAGAGGTGCCCCCGTACAAGGGTGATTGATATTTTTGTTGTTGGTTTCCCTGGCCTGAAACAAGGCGTACCCTCCTTTGTCAGGCGGTTCCAACAGCCGAATCTCTGTTCCAAACCGTGGCGGGTGGGCCCCCATACATGGCTGCGAAGCGGTGCTGGGACTGCCCGACGCCTGAGAACCGGCGCTCGATTTCAAGCGAATCGGTGTGGAGAGAAACGGAGACCTTCAGACAAAACTTGTGCGCGTTGACCCGGAAGTCGCTCAAAACGGATTTCGTAGAAACAAATACCAACCAACAGTGGTTTCAACCATTCCTTCGAAATAGACTTCCACAGTGGGCTGTCCGTTGTAACTTGTGGGTCAACTAAAACAACTAAAGGACCACTAAAAACCTAAGGAATTGGATGGCCGGGAACCGTCAAGTGTGTGTAGACCCTGCGGTTGAGTTTCTCAAAATGGATGTCGGACCCAACAGTTTTGGTTGGTTGGTATTCAAAATGAAACCAATGTCTGAAACCATCCAATATGTGAGAAAAGGGGAAGCATCGCGTTAACATATACAAAAGGGTTGACTCAAAAGCATGGTAAAGAATCAACATGGCTGCTTGCCGCGCCTACTTTTGGTTGGGACTGTCGCTTAACCTTCACTTCTCCGGTTTTGATTGTGGCCCTCACTTGATGAATTCCCATTCCCACAAAACGCACCTATACAAGAAGGGATCGATCCTCGAAGCCAATTTCTTGGCTCACCCAAATTAAAGTACCCTTTCGGGGGATGAGCAGAACTTGATGGGGAATGAGCTCAAAATAAACACAATGCCTGGGCTCACATGTGTTCTGTGGACGCTGGCTGCATACCATCAGGGAGCTGCTGAATTTTGTTTAACCCCCTTCAGGCGCAGTTCAGGAGCCGCCGCGGGAGTTGCGATCGCCAAGAGCGACCTGCTGACCAAAGTGCTCAGTCCATATGCCTGTGGGCTTTGCCGATCGATTTGGCCCGGCAACTTGTCTCACTCTTGCTGTGCGCCGCTAAGCACACCCGTCTTCAAACACACGCAGTATGCTCACGAGTCTCGATTTGTCCATCACGGTGCGACTGGTGGCTACCACTGCTTTTTGCCAGCACCATAGTTTCGTCAAGAACTAAAAGTTCAGAACGCGTTTCACGGGGATTCAGATTCGGCCTCGGGTCCTTTGGCTCATCTGCCCATTTTCGCGGGCTCGTCTTTTTCAAGTTGGACCCCCCAAAATGGCTTCAGCTTTGTTTGGGGTTTTCCTTCAAAACCGGCAAAAAAGGGGATACAAAAAAGACAGACCCTCGTGGAGCTCGGGTAACTAGCTCACGGTGCATGTCACTCACCGAGCATTGAATACACCGGGTGAATGTATGCCAATGCTCAGAGTATGCATCTTTCGTGGTGACTCTCCCTTGTGCCAGGCCCCAAATGGACCACAAACTGGTCAACTTCGAAGAACTTCACACGGGTGCTTTAACTAAAATGGGGGTTAAAAGAGATTGTGTCGGAAATGGGCAGCCAACAAACCAAGAGGAGATCACGAGGATGCCGGAAACCCGCGAAAACTCCGTTTGGCTGTGTCGCAAAATGAGACCCAAACAAAATTGTGGGGTTTCGCTTTGGTTTCTCTTTCAACACAGGTCACTGGATTTCCCCAAATCAAAAGTTGATCCATTTTCTGGTACCCCCTGAGTCGAGTCGGAAACCCAGGCGAGGGAAGCCGGAAATGAAAAGATACCATATGGGAAACACAAAAAGCCAAAAAGAGACTCGCGAAACCTCTTGGATTTCCTTTGGCTTCTATGGTTTTCCATTGTTTCCTCTTCTTACCCCTTAAAACTCCAAGCCCTGGGGAAGTTAATCTTTTACAGACATATAGCCCATGTTACCCAAAAAGTTGAAAAGTTGTGTTTTTAAGAGGTAAGTGTATGTCTTCCCTCAAAAAACCACCCCCCCTTCACGCAAGCCCCGCATCTCCGCATCTCCGAGGCACCGGCAGTCCCAGGGTCGAGCCGCTGTCGCGCGCCCCTTGGCGCGGCCTCGGACGATTGTGGGGCATGGAGCCGAGGCGACAGAGAAATGTAGTGAGAACTATAGACACAAGCTTGTTTTTTTTTTGTGTGTGTGTGTGTGTTGTTCTATGTATTTGTCTTTCTTTCTTTTTCTATTTATTTCTTTGTTTCTTTCTTTGTTTCTTTCTTTCTTTTTTTCTGTCTTTCTTTCTTTATTTATTTATTTAGTTTCTTTCTTTTTGTCCTTTGTTGTTTTTCTTTGTTGTTGTTTCTTTCTTTCCTTTCTTTCTTGCTTTGTGGTTTTCTTGACTTGTGTTCTTTCTTTTCATTATGTCTTGCTTTCTTTCTGCTGTTGCTTCTTCGTGTGGAACAAATGTCATTGTGTCTTTTTGGTTTGCATTCTTGTTGCTGACCTCGCTATTTCGGAGGAACTGGCGAAGTGCCTTCTCACAGGTGCTATGATGGGAGAGGGGGGCGGGTGGTGTATTTTGCCAAGAACCAAACAAAAACAATACGCCAAAGGAAGGAGACTGCAACACGGACCCTAAGTGGCCATCATACCCGGGGGCCATCATACCTGGGGGCCCGAGGCCCGAGGGGGGGGGGGTTGCGGGGGGTATTGGGGGGCAAGCATCGCTCAACATGATGTGTGTGTCAGCACAAAGCCGATCGGAGACCAAAACTGAATAGTGACCCCTTCCGGAGATGTGTGCTGCCTCTTTTGGGAACCCCCCCCACCAATATGTTTTGGAGGTTGATCAATGCGGAATCCACATCTGTTTCAAGATTGTGGTCATTGCCAGCCAATGTATGCCCCTGTTTTGGACACAGCTTTTGGAGGAGAGACATTTTAAACGGAACCCAAAGGGAAACCAATCAAATTCCAGGGTCCAAATCTCCAAATCCCATGCGAACAGAAAAACAACATTGTCCAGGCCGCCGCCCGGATCCGTGAAACAAGTAGAACTTCCGTCCGATGTTCATACTGTGGATAGTTGCGAAATCCATTTCGTATCACCTAAGAATCCCCGCAATGATTCCAACCAACAGTGGTTTCAACCATGGTTTCTTAGGTCCATCCACAGTAGGGTGTTCTCCAAATGTGAACCCAAGAGGAAGTGGACACCCTTGGTCAAAATCAACCGCGGGATCTGCGAGAAAAAGAAAAGGGGTCAACCTTCTCAGGTCTTAGAAGCGCTCGCCAAACTCCCGAGGGCAGAACCGCCGACCCGGCGGGGCCCAGTGTCTCTCGTCTTCGAGCCAAAACCAGGAAACGGCGCACTGGCCCCAAACAGAACTCTCTGGCCGCGTAAGAAGGCGCGGGGTCCTTGTACAACTGTGCCGGTGTGTGCAAATGAAAGTGTTTGTGTAAATACAGACATATATCATGCTGTGGAAGGACGAACACTATTTTGCGGCAGCGTTCAGAAACCCTGGAATGATTCTGTAAATACCAACAAACAACGGTTTCAACCGTGGTCTTAAAGTGGTGCGAAACAGACTTCGTCCATCCACAGTAAGGCCCATATGAGGGTCTTTCCAGGGGCTGGGGTACGAAATCGCCGAGGTTTTTGCCGCTGGTCCAATCGATCCGTCCGCTGTCAAGTGAGCCACGGTCAACATTCACTGCGTCTGACAAAAGAATTTGGTGAGCCACGCCCCTTTCCGAATGGTATTTTGGCGGGTGAACGCAAAAATACAATAAAGATGAAAAGGACCAACCGAGGGCGAGCCTGCCCCGCTTCCTAATACTAGAAATGGGGCTCGTGTGCCCCACATCCGCTTTGGAACGTTGAACGTTGCTCAAGTAGACCGGTCCTATGCCGTCCAACCCGCGCGGTTCCCCGCTTGGCGGGTCAGCAGAGTCGGCGCTGTCCTTTGCTTTGGGCAAAGTTCGGCAGAGTCGGGCTCAGCTGAGCCGCGCCCAAAACACCGAGGCTTGGTTCTACCAGCATCCCTATGAAGGCTGACATGGGCATGTGTCAAACTAGAGGGGGATTGAAAAATGGTACTACTCCTTTTAAAGTTGCTCGTTCCAAGGCAAAAAAAGAAGAAGCAAAAGTAACCCTCAAAAAACATGATACCAAAAGGCCTTCCTGCAGATGCCAAGTACAACCTTCTGAAATTGCTCCAGAGCTTTCGGGTCGTTCAATTGAAATGTCGCTGGAGCGGAAGCGCCTCGGAAGCGCCGGCGGGACATCCGCAGTTCCGGCCGGACTACACATGTGTGTGTGTGTGTGTTCATTTGCGTGAAAGAACCCGTTTCATCAGGGTAGAAAAAGGATAAATAACATATATATATATATATGTACATCGCCATCCTAACGATCAGAAAACAGGGATATATGCTGTGGCTATGTTCTAGTTGTTTATATCCAATTAAACTCTTATTGAATCCCTGTAGCAAGTTGAGAGCCCTAAATTGTCCTAGGGTTTCTTTAGGGTTTTCTAATACTGTTTAGGTTCCTTAGAGAATCCCCCCCCTCGCGCAGGAATTCCATAAAACAGCCCACGCCGCAGTGGTTTGGGGTAGAGGAAACCATCTTAGATACATGAGCCACATTGACCTGGACGTGGGACATTTAGCGAGTCTGCTGGTTTTGCTGGGAAATCCACTGAGTCCCATGACCCTCCCAAATAAATCATAGACAAATCAGGAGGACTGTGACTGTAGGTGTGGGTCTGCCTTTTTTGAGGGTAGCCCCCATTTTGACCATCAAAGGAGAGCCAAGAGGAAAACCCAGCCAGTTTGGGGGTCCCCAAAAAACAGCTTCCAGTGTTGGTTTGCCTGCCTTCTTTTTGCTCGCTTGCTTGTTTGTTTGTTGTTTGTTTGTTTGTTATGTTATGTTATGCTATGGTATGTTATGGTATGGTATGGTGTGTTATGGTATGTCATGTTATGGCATGGCATGTTGTGTTATGTTATCGTTTGTTTTGTTTTGTTATGATTTGTGTTGTATTGTGCTGTTGTTTGCTTTCTTTTGTTTTGTGTTGTGTTGTGTTGTGTTGTGTTGTTTTGTGTTGTTTTGCATTGTGTTGTGTTGTGTTGTGTTGTGTTGTGGTGTGGTGTGGTGTGTTGTGGTGTGTTGTGTTGTGTTGTGTTGTGTTGTGTTGTGTTTTGCTTTGTGTTGTGTGTTTTGTGTTGTGTGGTGTTGTATTGTTTTGTGTTGTGTGCTGTGTTGTGTTGGGTTGGGTTGTTTTGTTTTGTGTTGTGCTGTGTGTGTGTGTTTTGTGTTGTGTTGTGTTGTGTTGTTTTGTTGTGCTTTGCTTTGTGTGTGTTGTGTTGTGTTGTGCTGTGTTGTGTTGTGTTGTGTTGTGCTGTGCTGTGCTGTGCTGTGCTGTGTTGTGTTGTGTTGTGTTGTGTTGTGCTGTGCTGTGTTGTGCTGCGGTGTGTTCTATTGTGTTGTGTTCTGTTGTGTTATGTTGTTATTTTTGTGTGTTATGTTGTGTTGTTTTGTTCTGTTTTGTGGTGTTGCGTGTTGTGTTGTGCTGTGCTGTGCTGCGTTGTGTTGTTTTGGATTCGCTTTGTTTGGCTTTGGCTTTGCTCGCTTGCTTGCTTGCTTGATTGATTGATTTGTACGTGTATATATATATATATATATATAGATATATATATATATATATGCATGTATGTATGTATGTCTGTCTGTCTGTCAGTCTGTCTGTCTGTCTGTCTGTCTGTCTGCATGTATGCATGCATGCATGCATGCATGCATGCATGCATGCATGCATGTGTGTCTGTATGTATGTATGCATGCATGTGTGTATGTGTGTATGTGCGTATGCGTGTATGTGTGTATGTGTGTATGTGTATGTATGTATGTATGTATGTATGTATGTATGTATGTATGTATGTATGTATGTATGTATGTATGTATGTATGTATGTATGTATGTATGTATGTATGTATGTATGTATGTATGTATGTATGTATGTATGTATGTATGTATGTATGTATGTATGCATGCATGCATGCATGCATGTGTGCGTATGTATGTATGCATGTGTGCGTATGTATGTATGTATGTATGTATGTATGTATGTATGTATGTATGTATGAATGTATGCATGCATGCATGCATGCATATATGGATGTGTATGTGTGTGTGTATATGCCTGTATGTATGTATGTACGTACGTACGTACGGATGGATGGATGTACGTACGTACGTACGTGTGTGTGTGTGTGCATGTATGTACGTACGTACGAACTTACGTATGTATGTATGTATGCATGTATGTGTGTCTGTCTGTCTGTCTGGCTGTCTGTCTGTATGTATGCATGTATGCATGTATGCATGTATGCATGTATGCATGTATGCATGTATGCATGTATGTATGCATGTTGGCTTGCGTGCTTGCTTGCTTGCCTTCTTGCCTGCCTGCCTGCTTGCCTGCCTGCCTGCCTGCCTGCTTGCTTGCTTGCTTTGCTTTGCTTTGCTTTGCTTTGCTTTGCTGTGCTGTGCTGTGCTGTGCTGTGCTTGGCTTGCTTGCTTGTGTGTTTGTTCTTTGAGGGTACCCCATTTGGGGGTTGGAGTAAAGGGAAACCAACAGGACAACCACCAAATGGGGATCTGTGCGTGTGCGTGTGCGTGTGTGTGTTCAACAGTTCTGAAATAAATCAACAATCCTGCTTAAAGTTGGGACCACTCTGAGTTTCTTGAGCTATGATTTGCCAACAAACAAGACTGACAAGGCAACAGCGAGTCACCTCGGCTTTACCCCTTAGTCAAACTCAGATTGTGATTCTGAGGTCCATATCCAGCGCACCTTGAAATCAAAACAATACATCGAGTTCAAAAGGAAAACTCCAAGCCCCGTCAGCTGCCACTGGATGAAGCCAACCCCTGAAAGAGCCATGCCCCAGTCCCCGGCAACGTGCGCTCATCGAGGTTTTCCATGTCGCCCTCTCAACTATCCAAAAAACAAATATGCCATGGTCAAAAGACCGGCTCCTTTACTTGGGGTTCACGTTGCTCATCCACCTATTTGGGGTGACGTTGGGATGGACCCAAGTAGTCCGATTCGCATTGCAGTCACAAAAAAATCCACGCCGATCGGCGCCACTTGTTTCTGATGCCCCCGGGAGCGCAGCATCCCGAAATCCCGCTGCGAAGTACTGGGTCTGAAAGAAGCATCGCCCCAAAACCCCCCGGTTTCGGACCCTTGAAAGGAACCGTCGGCTTCTCAGGCAAGCTCGTCGCCCCTTTTTGCTCGTTCCTTGAGGGAGCCGGTTGGAAAAAGACACCGGGAAGCTGCAACCCCTGGGTCGGACTCCATACCCTCCAAAGAAGACACGTAGAGAGGTTACCCCCATTTGAGCCATGGTCAAAGCGCCGAAAATGGCCCATGGCCATTTTTCCCTTGATGGGAATCATTGTAGTGGTTATGGAGGATCCTTACTACTGGGTGGATGGTTATCCCAATATTAACCCCGAGTAGGTGGATCTCAACCCAGCTACCATGCCCCTAGCTCCCTTGTTCAAAGCAAATTTGGATATCCCCACCTCCTTGACTCCCTTCCAACCACCAGCTAGTCAAATACTCAACCTTAAAGAAGAAAGTAGAATCGCGGAAGACCCAAGACTAATAGAGGGAACCCCGGTCCCTTGGTTTTACGACCAAAGGAATCGGAAAAGGGAACCCCCTCCTTTTCCACCCATTCCCCAAGCGGGCCAAAAGTCCATCGTGCCCGCCCCCCCCCCCCCCCGCCCGAAAGCGTCCCGTCCCGTCCCCCCGCAAGCGGGCCGGGCCGACCGCGTCACCCGCGCTTCGTGCCGCACTTCCGGCAGAAGTTGGAGTCCTCGAACGCGTTTAAGGCTAAGCTCGCTTTTTGGCCCAACCAACTTGCAGTCCGTTACCTTCCATTTCTTTGCTCGTCCCCTGGGAAAAATAGATGTCCAGTAGTGATAGATTCCCTTTGAAACCAACAGGGGACACTAACAAATATTCATTTCAGCAAATGGAAGGTATATGGCTGTGTAAGGGTGCCTTCGTAAGCAATTACACTCCCTCAGACTAACACCCCGAAGCTCCAGACTTGGTTTTATTTACAGAGGCCTTCTGACAGCTTCCATGTTAGGCTGAGGAATTGTAGGTCTTTTGACTAAGTTATCTTTAAACATCATCCCAACGGAAACTCGTCTGCACAGGTGTTGGACAACTTACTTCCCGAGTGGATGCTCCAAAAAAGTCTGAACTGCTTGTTGGCATCCAGAATGGTCCAGCCCCGTGCTAAGTCCAGGAACTCGGGAAGTGAGACAACCAAAACAAGATCGACTGAAACATGCCCAACCCTTCAGTGTGTGAGTGTCCAAACTCGAAACGATCAGCTTTCGACCGCCTCTTCCCCTAGCCGGGTAGATTTGGCGAGTCCCCCCATGTCCCTCCCAAATGGACCATGGACTGGCAAATGTTCACCAAGCCTACAGAAGGAACTCGTGCTCCAGTGGTCCATCCCTCCCAATGGGTTCTGCAGCCCCGGGGTGTCACACCCCTTTGAGGGACTCCCAAACACACCGCCCCCCGAAACAAGCAAAACTGGAGGCGTGTTTGGGCAGCTTGAGGATGGTCATGCGTGGACTCTTCAGCGTGGCATCAACCCTTTCTTTGAACCGCTTCAAGTTTGCCAACTCAAAAGGTGAGAAACGGCTTGTGACCTCGCTACAGATCCCAAGTAAAAGGGTCGTTTGACCATCGCAAATCTGCCAAACACGTGGCAAGCATTGCAAGCGGGACTCGAGATGCCAAGATACCCACATTTTAGATAAACCAACATCTGGCGCATCCAGCAACGCAGATCTAGAACTACAGGTGGTTATGTCTGTTTCTAGAGGATTCTCCGGGTTTCCCTGCAAAGCCACCAAAACGACACAACCAGGTAAGACTCCAAGGGCACAGACCAGAATGCGCTGTTCATCAGAGGGTTGTTGTCCAGTTCCACCGCGCCAAGAACCAAGGGAAAACCCAAACTTTGATGGCTCTTGTCTTTGGACGTGGCTATGAGCCTTCAGAGTTGGAACCTCAGTGGCTGGTGGGACATATCTCTCCAGCCAAAAGATGTCCAAAGGTCCCATTTGCCGAACATCCACGCGATATGTGTCTCTCCAGGCACGCGAAGCACGCGAATCCGCCGAGGATTTTGGGATTGAAGCGGAAGCTCCACGGTGCCGAGGGGCCGCGGCGTAGGTGTTCCCACAGTTCCGGCAATTCGCCTGCCGCAGAGCACTGCGGATGGACAAAATCCATTTCGCGCCGATCAGAAACCCAACGGAATGATGACATAAATACCAATGAATGTTATGGTTTCAGCCACGGCTTTCTTCGGTGTGAAATGGATTTCGTCCACCCACAGTATGGGAGGTTCCCAAAATGGGATTCGCAACCCCTGTCTCCTAAAGTGGTGGGGGGGGGGGGGGCCAACAAAAGGATCCGGATTTGTTTCGAGTAGTGATACATTCCCTATAAAGCCAACAAAACAGAAGAAAAGAAAGGAAAGAAGAAAAAAACGAAAGCACATGGAAGTGATACTGTGGATGGTTACCAAATCCGCAAAACGCAATTGTTGTAATGGTGGTGTGTTTCCAGTAGGGTCCATCCCACGCGAAGCGGATCTTGTCCAGATCCAGCAGACCCCCCTCCAAGGACCGCGCCGACGGACTCACGGCATAGTTGACCGCTCCGCTCGCTGCAGAACTCACCTTGGTCTTCAGGATCGCCTTCAAAACGTGGCTCGCGTTTTAGCAATGGGCACCCCAAATTCATGAACCCACCAGTTTGTGAAAAAATGGGGTGTCCAACCGGGCTTGGGATTCAGACTATTGGAGGGGCCCGCACCCCTATCAATAGGATGGGTTCTACTTAGATGTGAGGTCAACATTAGTTGGTATTGGGTCATTCTGTTGGTTCTGTCTCTGGAGGTTTAAGCCAGAAACTGGAATCGGTTGCTCCCTGTAGCCTACTACGTTTTGAAAGCCGCAGGGTTCTTTCCACTCAAAATCACAGGGCCAACATCAATTGCTACAACCTCCACAGTGTGGAGGACCTGAAAGGGTCCGCAAGTCTCCAAAATGAAAGCGGAGGATTTCATGAAGGGAAGGGAAGTCATGCTTGTCCTCAACTCTTTTTTGTTTCACACGTGATACCAAAAGTTGACATTTTCCAAAAGGTGAGAAAAGGTTGCTTCGGTCGTACTAAGAGGTACCGCCCCCACCCAAAAAAGGTAGCTGTTGTGATTGGTGTGCTTGCAATATTTGGGGCATCCACCGTCGGGATTTTTCACTACCGCGCAACCAAGGCACCAAGGGCTGATTCATGGCGGAGGCGTACGTCACCGGCGCCATATACGAGGCATGCTGCTCATATCCTGGTGCTGGCAGGTCTGGGTGATTCGTGCAAAGGGTGGCTCCTGTTTTTGGGGTTGGTACCCCAAATTGTGGGAAGGCTTGCAATGGAAATCGAAGGGAAACCAGCATTTGCGGGGTCCAAATCCCAATTTTGACAAACCCCCTTTTGAAAATAGGTGGACCCCAAAATAAGCGAGATCGATTTGCTTCAGCATTCTGGTGCTACTGGAACATTAGCCCAGGTGGCATCCCAACAGCAACCCCCAGAACCCTTCAGGAACCCGAACGCCCGAAGCCGCTCCGAACCACTCCAGAGCCTTTTTGAGCAAAGGAAAAATGACAAGAAGAAGCCTGTCCACATGGTTTTGGGTGGACACCACCCCCCCACACAGAAAAAAAAGGGACCAGCAACTCAGAACGACCTCATTGCCTGTCAGCCTTTAAGGATGTGGGCTCATCTTCTTTCGAGGCTACCCGTTTTGGATTCTCGGTTGACAGGGAAACTGAAGGGAAGATCGTTGCGCCATTCTCGGGGACCAGCCAGCCTGGACCCTCAAACTCCCCGCAGAAAAGAGAACATGGCCCAAACATGATTCTAGGGCTTGATTCCTTGTCCATTCTTTTCAACCATCGCTGCATGATTAGACTTAGGCCCAGTTATAGAATGTATATTTTATGGTTTGCTTCAATTTGAGTCACTGGTAAAATGTAAAATGTATCCTAAGTCTACCCCTGGCTGGAAAGAATGGGGAAGGTATCCTTAGTATGATGGGGCGATGCATGGCGATGCCTCTTTCTTGCGGGTTTGAGGGTCGAGGCAGCCTCTCAAAAAGCACACACCATGGGTATGTGTCGAAATACGAGACCCCCAACATTGATCAGTGTTCGGGTGGATGTCCCCCCAAAAACGCCCAAAAATTGGGCGAGCTCCTCCAGATGGGGGAGGTCAGAATCAGTTGGTACCCACTTTGTCCGGCTCGGCCTATTTTAGTAGAGCCGAAAAAATCTCCCAAAAAGAGAAGCGGTGGGAAAGCTCGGGCACCCATCGCCGGGGGCTGCGATGGGCGCCGACTCGCCCCAAAAAACCCCACAGCCCCTCACAGGCCATGGCCATCCATGCCATGCAGACCCGGCGCCTGAAGCGCCTGAAGCCGGAGCCATCTGGGCCAGGCCCTGGCGATCAGAATGGCCCAGGTTTGCTTTGCTTGGGGCAAGGAGGGTGTTGCCTCACCTGAGCGGATGGGCCGAGAAAGGTCGGAACTTTTCATGTACCACTCAACTGGTCTTCCCAGAAAGTTTGAAGTCGTGGCTGGGTTTGGGTTCGAGTGCTTTGGGTGGCTGGTTGGGATTGGCTGGTTCGGGTGGCAATGCACGGAAGTCGAGCGATGTAGTTTGTTGAGGGGAGGTTCAAGGCCTCCTAAGCTGCATCCCTTTTGGACATATGCAGGGTCTGGGCCACGAAAAAAGCTTCCCACAACGTTGTGGTTGCAACTGAAGTCGTCGCAGAATGTTGATTCCGTTTCTCTTCAAAAACACTCCCCTCAACCTGGACGTCCTTTTGCAAAAACGGATGGCAAAGGACAAATGAACCAAAGCCACTGCCGTCTGACCAAACAAAGACACAATGCTGTGTGCTCCTTAGTGGCTTGCTTCCATGGACAAAAACGCAGGAAGGGGGCAACCCCCCATTGAAGAAGCTTCACTAGACCTCGTTGAACTTGTTGGAGGTTGAAATCAATGTTCTTCGCCCGTGCCAACGAACGAGGCGAAGAAGCGCATGATATGTCTTACATATTTCCTCAGTGGTTTGAGCTCTTTTCGCAAACAAGAAATGCGATACTTGCGCAGGCGGTTGAGGTGCAAATTAGAGCCCTGACTTTGCCGCTTTCTTGAGGTTAGAAAAGACACAAGTCGCAGAAAGCGACAAACGCTTGACAAACTGTCAGACGTTTTGACTATGGACAAAACTAGTTGCTTGTTTCAGCGTGTTTGGTTTGTTTCAGCGTGTTTGGTTTGTTGGTGTTGACACTTGCAAAAGAGTGGGCAAATCATGTCAGCATGTTCTAGCAACATGAGCTGTAACCCTTTGAACGCCTGTATGTAATACAAACGGTGTATGTCATCAAGTGAAACTGCACAATGACAATATCAATTGTTTGCGACTAAACATGGACCTTCTTCCATTAAGTTAAGACCCCCGAAAAAAATGGAAATGATTCCAGTATTGATAAATTCCCTTTAAAACCAACAAGGGAAAATAACAAAACATATTCTTTAGCAAATGGAAGCCTTTAGGGCAACTGTTGGAATCCAGTGGCCCAACATCTTGCCTAGAGGAGTGCTCGCACTTCAGTGGATGGGCCAAAAAAAGAATACCTCGTCGCCTGTCTGGGAATCTGGCCCCATCGACATACTGTGGATGGACAAAATCCTGCACCACTTGGAAACCATGGTAAACCATTGTTTGTTGGTATTTGCAGGGGAATCATCCTTCCAGGGTCTCTGAGGTGGTACAGGATTTCGTCCATCCACAGTAGCTTTCAGCTGGGAGAAAAAAACCACCAACTGCTTCTTCAACACGATGGTCCCCCACCCGCGACTCTTTAGTCCAAAAACTCCGCGCGCGAGAATCAAAAGGTCGCAAAAATCAGGCGTCTCTGTGGGTGCTTGCTTCTCCCAGACATGGGAAGCGCGAATCGCGCTTCTCCAGGGCGCCTTTTATCTGACCGGTGCCGTTTTGCGGCTCGAACGGGAACCGCTTTTTTTCTCGGCGGGGGGCCCAAAAAGACGCCCATTGAGAGAGGCCAGTCTAATGGGCCCTAGGCTGCTGTCAAGTTCGACAGAAGTGGCTGAGACGCAACCTGAATTGGGCCCTGGCTCAGCTTGCAGCCCATGGTTGCCTTCGATTCAAACCATAAGTCTAGGGGCACCTTCCATTTCCGTTCTTTTTTTGAGGAAGCCTTCTAGAAAACCTCCACAAACCCAGGTTGCGATCGGCTTTTGTGCAAAGAAGGATGGTTGAAAAGAATGGTTGGAATCATCCCCTACAATAAGAGGTTTCAGGATGTTTACACCTCAAAGCCTAGGTTAACACACCTCACAGAGGGCCGGAAATTCGCTTCATTTGAGCAGCAAAGGATGGACACGGGTTCCTTTTGCCTCCACACGTGGACGGTTGGAGTCCCAAACGAGTTCCATTGGCTCCCGTTTATGCACAGCGGATGAGGAAAACAACTTCGCATCCGTTGGCACAGATAAGACCGGGAAAAACCACTGATCTCAAGTGGTGCGAAGCGGATTTTCTAGTGTTAGCACATTCGCATCATCCATGGAGAGTCTGAAAAGCTTGCCAGTCACATGGACCGCACCATAACCAACAAATCCCAAAGGAAGTGTGTGCTTTGTGGAAAGCCCTCAGCTTTGCTGAAAGGGAATCCAAGAGGAAAACTCGTGAAATTCGGGCTCCAACTATTTTTGTACATGTCCAGGAGGAGTTTACCCCCCACGCCCCCCACCCCGGCCCGGGACGGCAGGAAGGGATCCTCCCGCGTCACCCTGCGGTCGACATGGCGGCAAGGGGGGCAAGCTTGCCCCAAGCGGAGATTCCGATCATGAAAAGCTTTTTTTTTTGAATCCCCCTGTGCAGGAAAGCAATTTTGCGGAGGTTCTTGGAGTATCCACCTGAACATTAGCCATGCACAAAATATTTGCTAGGCCCTCCAGTAGATAAGTTTGAATAAGGGTACCAACTTTTTCGGTTTTGTCTATTTTAGTAGGGGAACCCTCCCCAAAAAAAGTTGCTAAAAGGGCACCTAGCTGGGGGACATAGTGCGGTTTGCTTTTGTCCTGGCAGAAATGGTAAAAGTACATCTCCCAACTGTATCTTTCAGGCTGCCCGGGCCCACGGCACCGTTTGGTCAATGGCTTGTCCCCATCAAATGAATTTGGGACTCAGGACACGTTGCTCCAAGCCCAAGAAAATGGTCGATCACCTTTTGGCGCCCAAAAGGTGTCTCCTGCCGCACCCGGGTACTCGATATCGAGAACATGCGGCCGCAAAGATTTCAGAGTGTCTCCTTGTTGCTAAGAAAGGCCAAATCCATGGCTTTCAGCAGTTGGTTGGAAAAAGCCGAGCTTTTTTTGTTCAGCCGTTTGAACGTCTGCTTTTGACCCAAGCTCTGCCCCGTTGGCAACTTGACCTCCACCGCGAGCGAGCTGAGAGCGAGCGGAGCCTTTGGGCTGAAATTGGAATGGCCCGTGAGGGAAGCCTCCTGCGAAGGTTTCAACTGGTTCCCCTTAGAACCACAAGGCTTTCGGAGCTCCCCAAGAAAGACGCACAGGGGCAAAAAAAGGACTGGGAGTAGTGATTATGGTGTTTTTTTTGATTTTGTTTCCCAATATGGGGCCCCAACTTCAGGTTGGGAGTTCCGCGACCACGCGCGGCGCTTGCAACCCCCTTGCAACTTTGCCAGCGAGAGAACTTCTTGTGACTCAAAAGGCACAGTTTTGGGGGCACGCTCCATCAGACTAACATGGAAGCTCCATCAGATTGCCGCCTTCCTAAGGTGGGAGCTTCCATGTCAGGGGGGAGGGTACTCTGGCTCGTCGTGTTTTCACGGGTGCGCCTTTTGGTTTAACTGGAAAGTTGGCAGCTATGAGGGGCCCAACACATCCGAAGCAAGAGGTTGACCAGGGCAGGCTATCGCTGAATCACCTTTTGAGGCCTTGTGGATGGTTACAAAATGGCTACAAAATCTGCGCAAAGCGATCGGCACCAGTTCATGGGGGTTGGTGGTTTAGCAACCAGTACTCAAATCGGGTTTCATCTGGCGAAATACGTCCAGGCGTCCTGGAATCTGTCCGAGCATTTGGAGGACACGGCTGGGTCACAACCACAAAAAGCGGGAGTGGGGGGGAGGTACTCGCTTGCGCAGTTCGAAACCAGAAGCACAAGGTTCAGCTTTTGGGGACACAAATACAAATGGGCCAAACAAAAGGTCAGACAAATCCCGGAAACTCTGACTTGGGAGACACCTCACCTGGCGAAACGGCGATGAGTTCCGAAGGAACGTTTTCACTTCGAGGCAGGCGTCCTTTGGGGCACACCAGATGCGTCCATTTGCTTAAGTCCCCTGGAAAAACTACACATGTGTCCAGTAGTGATAGATTCCCTTTAAAGCCAACAGGGGAACATCAACATGGGCGGGCTGTTTTAGGTTTTCCTTTGCAAACCCCAACAAGCTGCCCTTCAAAGACACAACATGGCACTGGCAGAACATATCGCTTCAACCAAACTGAGATTCCCAATCGCCAGGACTAGATTGCTCTAAGACAATTCCTGAAGGACAAAGAAAGTAGCTCTACCAGCTTCCGTTTGACCGATTTGGGTGAAAGAAGTGTGTATTCCCCCTGAACAGTGGAGCATTCTCTCAGTTGGACACTCTGCGATATGAAGCACCGCTCTCTTTTCAAAGGGGTGCGCACGACTCAACCAGTGAGAACCATGTCTTTGAACACCTGCCGCATCCTTTGGGTGCCCCCCTACCCCCCCAAAAGGCCAGGCCCCCAAAAACCGCCCAATCACCTCGACGACAAATGTGGATCGATCCGCGCTCCGTTCGATCTCGCGCCTCCTGCCCGGGTCGCCCTGAACCAGGTTCCCAGTCTCCATCAGCTCCTGGAAGACTTTGGTTGCAAGGCACCCAAAAACAACTGGTTGGCTTCCTTGCGGGTTCCTTTGGTTCATGTGAAAGTTGATCATGGAAGCTTATCTCTGAAAATAACGCACCCCCAAAACTGGCGGGTTTCCTTGCGTGTGTTCCTTTGGTTCATGTGGGGGTTGACGTGTTCACGATACATGGGATGACCAATGGTTGGTAGGAAAAGTCACCCATGGCCAGGAATATTGATCAACCCCCATGTCGGGAACCAGGCACGTTCAGAAGCAAAAACAAAACTGCGCTGGGCGCTACCGGTCATCATTGATTTGTCCATTCTGGCAGTGAACTCACATGACGGTGATAATATCAAACTATAATCTTCATTTGGGGGGTCAAAATGATGAGCCCTGTTAGGCCCGGTTCGGTGCCTGCGAAGAAGCCGTCATCTATTGCTCTCTCATATCCACTCTCCAAAAATTGTAGACCAACCTCATGCATCGCCTTGGCCCCAGTTTGAGATTTGTGACTTTGGAATTGAACTCTCAATCGAACCACCAACCTGGGCGAACGGCAATAAATCCCAAACTCCCCCCGCGCCCCCAGCAGTACAACGCGCACGTTTCCTTTTTCAAAGAACCAATGGATGAAAGTCCATGGAACACCCTTTGGAGAGAAGAGCAAGAAGGCAACAACATGCTACGGAGACATGACACATTACCTTCCTTTGGCAACTATTTGATGAGACGGCCCGATCACTGCACCTCTATGAGCAAAAAAAGGAGGTATTTACCAGGTGTTGTTTCTAGAAATGGCCCCCAACAAAAAGGTATTCTTTTTCGAGCAGGGGGTCCACTCCAACAACTTCCCCGCCAAAAAACAACCACGAGCGCGGCTTTTCCCGGCCTCCCGTGTGATGTGGCGCTCCCCCACCACCCGGCGCTCGGTGTTGCCGTTCACGGCTCTACTGGACAAGGCTTTGCTGGGAGATGAGGCCCGGATCCTGCCAGCTTGATGGATCCCACCCACCCAGCAGGAAGGGTTCTGAATAATGCTGACCCCAGATTCATCAACCCAGTGTATTAATAGAGGGCTGGTCTTTGGCCCCTCCAAGAGTGGTCTGATTCCCCACTCGACCCAGGAACATTGAGCCTTCTCAAGTTCTGAATTAAGCCTTCTGGTGGGTAGCTGGCCCGTCACACAAACGCCCCTTCAGGGCGCTCAGCTGGAAATTCGTGGGCGTTGAGCTGCTTCTTCACGTGCTTCAGGCAAATGCAGAATCTTGGGTCTCAGAATTGGATATATAGTATTGATCTCCCTTTCAAAACCAACCCAAAAGGGGGTAAGGCCAGAGCCAATTGCTGCGCCTTCGGCTCTCTCTGGCGGCTTCCACTCATTCACTCTCGATTCCCTCTGAATGACTAGAGCCTCCCAGCTCTCCTATCCCCACACTCCTCGACGGGGAAGGGCTGGGCGAGCGCGTCGTCACCAGCGGTGCCGCGTAAGCCGTCTCATAGGTCTGAGCTGTGGCAAAAGCCGGCGGCGCCATGTACGTCGCCGGCGCGGCGCAAGCAGCGGCGCAAGGGGCCGCGCAAGGGGCCGCGTAAGTCACTGGGGCGGCGGTGTAGGTCGGCACTGCTTTCTGCGCTGTCAAGGGCATCACTACGCTACCTTGGCATCGGTTGGCGCATGGGCGTGAATTTGATGGGGCACCAAAGCTTTGGTGAACATCATTTTGGATGAGGATTCCTGTCCACCAACCACTCTTGAGATGGTTCCCAGAGGTCTATGTGTTGGATTCAGTCCAGAGATCCTCCAAGGACCTCCATGGTGAGCTCGATTTGCCGAGCGGCAACCCCCATCTCGAGCTAGCAAAGCGCGACCGCATCGGACGGGGGTGCCATGAAAGCAGAAGTCCCAATAAATCACCTTCTCGGATACAAAGGAAAAAAAGGTTTCAAGTGACATCCCAGCCAAATTCCCCGTTTCAAGGATTTCCTTGGGTCATCTTCGGAACTCCCCAGAGACATGGAGAGACATGGGCGCGTGTCAAAACAGGGGGACCCCACATGGAGAGACATGGGCGTGACCCCACAAAGATAGGTGGGATTCTTTTTGGCAGCCCTTTCAACCCACCCCAAAGCAGCTACGCTCAAGAAGACAACCCCATGGACCAAGAGAGCCCCTCCGAATAGGCCCCTGCAAATGCAGCCGCTGTTTCGGACCCAGAACAAATGAGCTCTTGTTTTTTAGGGACCCTTTAGGTGGTTGGTTTTCTTTTAACTTCCCCTGCAAAACCGCCCGACCCCCCGCCCCCTCATGATGAAAAACCCCCAACTGCAAAAACCGTAGGTGAAATCCGCCAGCCGCCCTTTCCTGTCAAGCCACTGCCCCCCATCTGCTGCGGCATCATCTGCGGCATCATCTGCATCGGGGGCGCTGCCTTGGAAAGGGCGACTCACGCCGCGTGTGTGTGTTTGTTTGTTTGCTTGCTTGCTTGCTTGCTTGCTTGCTTGCTTGCTTGCTTGCTTGCTTGCTTGCTTGCTTGCTTGCTTGCTTGCTTGCTTGCTTGCTTGCTTGCTTGCTTGCTTTGCTTGCTTGCTTGCTTGCTTGCTTGCTTGCTTGCTTGCTTGCTTGCTTGCTTGCTTGCTTGCTTGCTTGCTTGCTTGCTTGCTTGCTTGCTTGCTTGCTTGCTTGCTTGCTTGCTTGCTTGCTTGCTTGCTTGCTTGCTTGCTTGCTTGCTTGCTTGCTTGCTTGCTTGCTTGCTTGCTTGCTTGCTTGCTTGCTTGCTTGCTTGCTTGCTTGCTTGCTTGCTTGCTTGCTTGCTTGCTTGCTTGCTTGCTTGCTTGCTTGCTTGCTTGCTTGCTTGCTTGCTTGCTTGCTTGCTTGCTTGCTTGCTTGCTTGCTTGCTTGCTTGCTTGCTTGCTTGCTTGCTTGCTTGCTTGCTTGCTTGCTTGCTTGCTTGCTTGCTTGCTTGCTTTGCTTGCTTGCTTGCTTGCTTGCTTGCTTGCTTGCTTGCTTGCTTGCTTGCTTGCTTGCTTGCTTGCTTGCTTGCTTGCTTGCTTGCTTGCTTGCTTGCTTGCTTGCTTGCTTGCTTGCTTGCTTGCTTGCTTGCTTGCTTGCTTGCTTGCTTGCTTGCTTGCTTGCTTGCTTGCTTGCTTGCTTGCTTGCTTGCTTGCTTGCTTGCTTGCTTGCTTGCTTGCTTGCTTGCTTGCTTGCTTGCTTGCTTGCTTGCTTGCTTGCTTGCTTGCTTGCTTGCTTGCTTGCTTGCTTGCTTGCTTGCTCTTTGCTTTGCTTTGCTTTGCTTTGCTTTGCTTTGCTTTGCTTTGCTTTGCCTTGCCTTGCCTTGCCTTGCCTTGCCTTGCCTTGCCTTGCCTTGCCTTGCCTTGCCTTGCCTTGCCTTGCCTTGCCTTGCTTTGCTTTGCTTTGCTTTGCTTTGCTTTGCCTGCTTGCTTCTCTATTTCCTTCCTTCCTTCCTTCCTTGTTTGCTTCATTCCCTCCTTCCCTCCTTCCCTCCTTCCCCCCTTCCCTCCTCCCCTCCTCCCCTCCTTCCCTCCTTCCCTCCCTCCCTCCTTCCTTCCTTGCTTGCTTGTTTGTGTGTTTGCTTCTTTGTCGGCTTCTTGCTTGTTTGGTTGTTTGCATGTTTGATTGTTTGTGTGCTTCTTGCTTGTTTGGTTGTTTGCATGGTTGATTGTTTGTGTGCTTGTTTGTTTGCTTGTTTGCTTGTTTGCTTACTTGGTTGCTTGCATGTTTGTTCGATTGTTTGTGATGTTTGTGTTGTTTGTTTGTTTGATTCTTTGTTTGCTTGTTTGCTTGCTTGCTTGCTTCCTTCCTTCCTTCCTTCCTTGCTTGCTTGCTTGCTTGCTTGCTTGCTTGTTTGTTTGTTTGTTTGTTTGTTTGTTTGTTTTTTGCTTGCTTCTTTGTTTGCTTGATCGCTTATTTGTTTGCTTGCTTGTTGGTTAGTTGGCTGTTTTGTTTTGTTCTGTTTTGTGTTGTGTGTGTTTGTGCTTATTTGGGCCCTTTTTGTCAACACCTTAACCCGGATTTGGAGTCCAACCCCAAACAGGCCTGCCCAACATGTGTTCCAACCCAAAGGGGATTCGCCAACCCAAGAAAAGGAGCAATTCTGTTAACCAATGATGCTGGAAGGAATTGAAAGCTTCTTACCTCCCTGTTTGAGAGGAGACTTGAAGCTGGTTCCTTGCCCCGTCCATGGCAGACACGTTTTTCCGAACAAGCCCCCATTCAAGGTGCAACAGGGCGTGCCTGAAAGACCCTCTAAACCATCAGACCCTGTCCGTGCTGGCCCCTCATTGCAGGCCAAACCAGTGGTTGTTTTACATCCTGAGCGCATTGGTCAGAAACTCAGATACCCATTGGCCGTGCAAACATTCGACACGGTCTTCCCAACTCGCAGTCCAGCAAACTGGAGGATGTGCACTGGAGCCTGAGTGAGCACCCTATGGAAAAATACAATTTTCCAGGTTTGCTGAAACAGCCGGGTCCCAGCCCAGACCAGACCCAATCGTATTAGGGGGCACAAGGCTGGTTGGGACTAAAAGGTAAACACACTGTCCTGACTGTGGGTCTTTCTTGCCCTGCACCTAATTTGTGCTTACCGAAACCAATCACACGCGATACCGTCTTTGCCTTTACTACAAAACATGTTTAAAAAGCTTGTTTTTAGCCCGCTTTAAGGCACAAGCATCTTTCTCTCCAGGGAAGCGCAATAAATGCGCTTCGTCCCCCAAACCTTACTCATTATTAGAGGGGGCCCGCGTTTTTTTATTAGGGGCCAATTGCCGGGTTTGGTTTTTGGTGAGTACCCCGTTTTGGGTGGCTTTAACGCCAAAGAAAAACCAAGGACCAAAGCAATTTGGGGGGTTCAACCTTACAAAGGATGCAAACTAATCTGGTCCAAAACCAAGTCATGCAGGCAACCAGAAACTCACGGACTAGTGTGGATGGTTGCGACATCCATTTCGCACCACCACCCTTCTTTCTGATTCGATTCCCCAACGTAAATGGAACACAATAGAGTCGCGAGTTTCGCAACCACCTCCCGCCTTCACCTGCGGCATCGGGCTAGCGCCAGCGCCCACCATCATGGCGATGTTGGCATTTGGCCTGGGCGACGCTCACTCCGACGGGCGAATGCGGAGCTTCGAAGCTTCACCACCTTACGTGCCAGGGACTGGACTCGTCTCACTTGCTGCAAATGATGAAGCGATCGAAATCCAGTTCCCCCGCACCATGGCACCCTTTGCTCGGCGACTTGCACGCAGGGCGCTTTTGCGGAAGCGGTAAACACATCAACCACGGTAAGCCGGTGAAAGCGTGAAGTTCGGCTACCGCTCGGGGGAGGTCAAGCGTTGATCCCGCAAGGCGTGGGCTGCTGCAATTTCAACAGTTTGTGTCCACTTGATCAGGGAGCTCTCTGGTTTGGAGGCATGTTGGAGTGGTTCATCCGTCAAGCCTTGCGCGCTTCTCAACAGGTTGTATCTGGCTGAAAACCCTTTCTCGGCAAGTCCCATCTGTGATTCAACAGTTGACTACCCAAGTTTTCAAACTCAAGGTACAACGGAGTGTGGGAATACGTTTTGCTAGTTAGTGGCAAATCATTTCCCAGAAGTTCCACAGCATATTCTGAATTTGGCCGCCTCTTGCCCACATGGCTAAACCGCGAACCAAGTACCAGGGTGATATGACGCACACGGAGCACAACAGCCCCAACCCCCCCGAAACCCGCCGAATCCAGGATTGGCGAATTTACCCCAGAAAAAAGAAAAACAAACTCAGAGGAACAGGGTCTATCGGCTACGGTGCCACTTCACTGAGTGACAACATACAAATGGTACTATGTGTCTGTTTTCTGGTAATCAATGTCAACATGTGTCTACTTTCAGTTTGGCATGCGTTGACGCAGTATACCTGTTTGTAAGTGCGCGTGTGTGTGTGTGCCTAGCATTTCTGTGGCGCATGAGTTCGAAAAGCGGGTCCTAAATCTGTCATTCAAAGAAGCTAGCAACCTGAAACCCCAAGCTTGCACAATGCCGTAGCGTGTCTGTATGTGTGTGTGTGTGTGTCTTTCATGCTGACACTAAACGAATCTGTCCCGGCCCCCAGTCGACATGAGCATCGCGAATGGTCGCGTTCCATACTGATTCAGCCACTGAAATGTCCGAGGCCAAACCAGAAAAGGGGCTCATGGCTCATCGGGATTGCCCAAACCTCCAAGGGCAAACCAAAAATTGTCGTCTCTCAAAAGTTGAAGCAAGCCCTTTTTGACGGCACCCAAACTTTTTGGTGGTAAAGGGGAAGCCACCAGGAAAACCACCATTTCGGGGTGGGCCCCAAAAAAGGCACAACCATAGGGCCGTCTTCCATTTTGCTTGGTCTTCGAAAGAAACCACGGTCCAATGAGACAAGCCCACTGAAGCTTGGCCTAAAAAAGAAATCTCGCAGCAGGGAGAACAACAGCCACAGTTTCTGACTTTAAATGGCCATCAGGGGTACACAGAAAAGTACATCTTCTCTGACTCTGCTGGATTTGGGTGTCTCTGTCTTGCAGTTGGAGTAGGTTGTCCTTTGGTTTCCCCTTTACAAACCACAAAAGAGGGGCTCAAATTTAGACCCTGCATAAAATCGTCTGATCTCTGACCCTAGTTTGGGACGGTACCCTTAAAGAGTTCCCGTTGTGTATGTGTTTGTGAGGGTATCCTTATCGATTTGAAGGGAAACAACCACAGTTTTTTCTCACCTTAACCCCTCTCCCTTGGCCAAGGAACCAAACAAAAACACACACCCAAAATGGGGGGTCCCCACCCCAGAGACAGCGGAACCCCGAACCCAAGCCAGCCCAGCCCTCCGGCCCCACACGCCTCGATTGCATCCCCGCGCCCTGGTCAGGTCTTGGACCCCACAAGCCATGCCCTGGAAAACAAAAAAAAACACATCTGGCTTGTCTTTAGGGGACCCTGCAAAAATGGCTTTTGGGGGGCACCCTCAAAAAGTCTGGCGTGTCCTTGGGCGCACCCGCAAAAATGGCTTCGGTGTTCCTCTTGGTTTCTCTTTGACACCACCAATAAATTGGGGCCCCGGCCTCCAAAACAGACACACATACCACCCACATGTGGTTCGTCTGATTGGAGGGAACCCTCAGTTGTTTTGAATTTTGACTGGTGTCCCTTCCAACCCCAATTTTAAGACTGGTGGACGGCATCCTCCAAACGCGAGGCACGTACCAACTGGTGCGAAATCCATCCCTCAGTAGGGGAACCCTAACGAGTGGATTTACTTGGTGTCCCATGAACCAACCCTCAAACATGATACTGTGGACGAAATCCACAAAGCGATCGGCACTTGCGATAGACGAAACCCTAGAGATCATGGGATAAACCGCCAATCCCAACTAGTGAAATGGGTTTTGTCCATCCACAGCATCAGGAAAACCAGCCGCCTCCAACTAGTTGACGGAAAACTTGGAAGTGGTCGTGTACTGCCGGGGATGTGTTCTGGGGACTCATGTTGGCGTCACCAGCACGCCATGGCCCCAAATGCAATTGCTGTCATGGTTCTCTAAACTTCAAATTAAGGGGCCCTGGATTTGCCAGTTGCTGCTTCTCCCATCAAGTGTGACTTTTTTTGGGTGAATTGTCTGGAAACAAGCAGCAACTTGGCTATCTAGAAGGGTGGCTCCCTCAACGCAGGCATGTCGATTTGCCCAAACCCCTTCAGGCTTCGCTGGATTCCCCCTCCCAAATCTGAAATTCCCAACAGCACCCCCACCAGGCAGTCACGAGCCTATCTGAGGAACACCCCGTCCTTAAGAGCATCTCTCCCACTGAATGCCTATCCAAACTTAGACCCACAAATGGTGTTTGCATCGGAATTACTTGTTTGTCTAAACCCAGGAAGCCCAAGAAGAGCTCAAAACGCTCAACAAGATCCGAGGAAGAACCCAACAAAAACCCGAGAAGGCTAGCAAAAACTGAACACCCCCCAAAAAGCCGTCTTGGCAAGAGGTGGCGCCGAAATCCCGAAATCCCCGGCAGGGGGGGCACATTTGGGCGCTGGTCATTGGGGACCCCAAAAAAGTGTTCCCACCCTAACAACCCTTAAAAACACACAGACACAGACACATAAGTCTATATGTGTGTATTTATATATATATATATATATACATATGCATATCCATATCATATACGAATATATCGTGGAAGTGGAAATGTTGCGACCCATTCAGCAGATTGACTGAGTCCCACGACAAATCTGCTCGAATCGCTTCGACTCATCGGCCCGTTCGGCTCTCGAGCTAGGCCTGGCCCATCATCCGGTAGAACTCTTCCCTGGTGATGACCTCAGCGGCACGGAAATTCGGGACCCCTGGATCGCCAGTTGCGGATCGCGACTTTTTGTCCACCATTGGTGACTGTTTTTAGGGCAGTGTCTGGGAAAAAAGCAAGCCCAACTTGGCGATGTCTAGGCCCTTCCCCCCGAGTTCTTTGGAAGAAAACCTGTGTGAACATGAGAGTCCCTTTTGTTGGAACCCATTTGGAGTTTCACTGCACCAATCATGAGGGGGAGGGGTTTCCCCCGCCCACAAGTGGCCACCTCAAACCAAGTCAATTTCCGAAAGTTCATTCCCCAAGAAAGGGATCTTGCGTGAGCCCCGATCGAAGCCCGGAACCCCCGCATAAACTTGCATCTTGGAGCTCCCGGACGAAATCCTACACTTGGGATAAATTACAAATCCCAGAAAAATGGTTAATGAAACCATCAATCCCAACTGGCGCCATCCACAGTAGTAAAAGGGTACATAAACAATTAAGGTGAACACGACTCCCCTGGCGTGAACATATTATTTGGGGCTGAATCCCTAACTTTACGAGGAGCCGCTGGTTCTCCAAGGCCTGACCCTCGCGACGTTTTTCTCTGCAGCAAGTTGGTTCCGTCGTAGCCGGCCGAGTCCAATGATTTCGGCCCGCACGAATTAGTACGAATCATACCTTAATCAAGAAAACCATGCGGAAGGAACCTGACATTGATGCCGGAATGCCTTGCAGTAAGCTTTCAGCATCGCTGCAACACCCGGATCGGCACTCGGAGCAATGGTCAAAGGAAACTCTTTTAGTAATCCTGTCCGTTGATGGCTTGGGAGCATACAAATGCCCCCAATATGGCCAGGAAGGGAACTAGTTGAAAACCTCCACTTGATTGCAACATCTGTCCCAACGCTTCTGTGGTTGAGTATGCCCTAGGGCATGACCCCGATTCAAAGAATGGCAGGGACCCAATTTGGATGATCACAACCCTTAGGTAAACAATGGTGGATATATTTGAGCCCCCTTTGTTTGAATGGTGGTTGCTGAACCCCAGCGTCGATCCGAAGGCACTGGGGCGCCCACCCCGTCATTGTTCCTAGGTGTTGGGCCGGCCCAGCAATGGGCAAAACATGTGTGGCTCAAAACTTGGAGGGCCGCTTTCTGAGGGTAACACCCCCCCTCCCCTTTCGTTTGGTCCAAAGGGAATCTGGGGGTTTGAGGCAGTTCCAACTCTCTAAAAAAAGAAGGACAAATGAGCAACGCCCCGTTTCACCGGCCTGGTTTTACGCAACCGTAAATTAGGTAGCAACCGAACCACCGACCAAAAAATGTGTGTGCCAAACGGGGAAACCTGGTGGAAGGAACCTTCACCGAAGATGCGGCGGGAAAGCCCTTCTTGCGACATCGCGCGGAATGTGGGATCTTGCAACCTTCACCGAAGTCTTGCCTTTCAGCTCCAATGTCATTGGGATCTTTCTGGAATCTGGATGTGGGCGCAGTAGGCACGCCAGTCTCTAGAGTATGCCCCGAAGGGTTCAACAAACAACCAAAACAACCAAAACAACCAACCAACCAACCAACCAACCAACCAGCCAGCCAGCCAGCCAGCCAGCCAGCCAGCCAACCAACCAACCAACCAACCAACCAACCAACCAACCAACCAACCAAGCACAAACCACACCAAACCACACCAAACCACACCAAACCACACCAAACCACACCAAACCAAACCAAACCAAACCAACCAAACCAACCACCAAACAAAACAAACAAAACCAAACCAAGCCAAACCAAACCAAACCAAACCAACCAAACCAACCAAACCAACCAAACCAAACAAAACCAAACCAAGCCAAACCAAGCCAACCAACCACCCACCCACCCACCCACCCACCAACCAACCAACCAACCTCACCCCGGCCCAGAGGGCCAGGAATCGGTCCATGCTCCAGCCCCTCAAGCCAAGCCGTCCGGCTCAAACTCCCATCTCAAAACAAATCAAATCCTCCAAAACCGGCATCCCTTCTAGAAGCCAGTCAAAATCCCCTCTACCCCGGCAGGTCCCCCTACAAACCGATCAATCCCCGGTCAAATTCCCCTTAGCAGCCAGTCACATTACCCTCTAGCATCTGGAAACCAATCAAACCCCCTAACAACAACTCCAGTCACTGGTTTCATTCCCCCTCAGAAACTGGCCAAACTCCCCTCTAACCAGTCAAATCCCCTCTAAAAACCGGTCTCTAGAAACTCGGAGCCGACTCACTCACTCAAACAAAGACAACACTTCAAGGCAAACCAAAACAGGCAACGCAAAGCGTTGACAATCAAGCAAACAAAGAAACAAGCAAACCAAACCAACCAACCTCCTACTAGCCAACCAGGGGTACATTGCTCCTGGGTTGCCGTGCGTGTGTTCTTTTGAGGGTACGCTTTTCACCTGTTGGTCCGTTCCCCTATGTAGTTGACACAGCCCATGTACTCACTTCCTGAGTGGACGGCCCCCAAAAACAAAATCGATGTTCTAACCACCGACTAAAGTCCAGGAACTCAGGGAGTGAGTTTAACCAGAGGTGCCCTTCAGTCGGGACTCTGGTCCATCGCGCTGAACACAGCAGCCGACATGGTGACTGCAAGGCAGTCGTTCGGCACGGCTGGACCGCGTCGCGTCTCTCCGTCTGAGCCCAGCTTTTGGCTGTCGGGGACTGATGCGTCCGAGCTTCTTTGAACCTCCCTTAGCACAAGTTTCGATTTGACTTATGACTGAATAGATGTCCAAGTTCCCAACAGAGAGACCAACATCTGTACCCGAAATAGGCACCTCAGTCATCAGGTTTGTGTATATCCACGGAAAAAGCAACATCTCAAATGAGAGCTGTGTGAAACGTTGAGCTTGGAGAATGTTCGACTCTAGACCTAGGGTTCAAATCTAATCTAGCCTGATTTGAGTGCCACGCGTAAAACCAACCGAAAGATGTGAGATGTTGCCAAATTGGGGGGGGGGGTTGTCTGAACATGTCTGAACGCAAGGCGCCGAACTTTGGGTTTCGAATTGTTCATTCCTCTCTGCCCAACCGCCCAACCGCCCAGGAACGCCTTTTGTCCATGCAAACGAAGCTCCCGGGGAAAACCGCCGAGGGCGGCCGGAGACACGTCGTGAAACCCGACTCTCACCAGGCAACTTGGCTTAGGCCAAAGCCTGGCCAGGGGTCTTGCTCGTCCGGACGGAAAATCAATGAGGGTGGCTCGTCTTTTTTGGAGTTGGTATCCCTTTTTGGGTGTTCTTAAAGGGCAACCGAAAGAAAGCCCCCATTTGCGGGGGGGAGGGAGGGGGGGTACTTTTAGACACATGTCGAAACACCGGGTGGCGCATCTTGTGGAGGAAAAATGCGGGCTGGCAAAACTCGTTTGTTCACCAGCAGAACTCGTTGATCGCAAGCAAGTCTGGGACACCCGCCGCGTTAAGCGACTCGCCCAATGAATCAGCGAGGGGTTTGGGAATCGCGGCGGTTGAACATCAAATGCCTTCTTGGCTTGAATCGCCTCTTTCATTTGCGCCGAAATCTGCCAAGTTGCAATGCCCTGCAGATCGTAGGCGGGCTTCCATACGGAATCCTACCCCTGGTGATCTTGATTTGGGACATTTGTTCCAAGCATCAGAGGCGTTTTTCGTTCGAGGGCTGGAAAGTGCAGCTTTGACTTTCTTGGTGACTCTTGCCCCCTGCGTTTATTATGCGCAAAACATGTGTGCATGCACCAAAGAAGAAAGTCAGGAAGGTCAAAGACCCAACCAAAAGAGGTCCCAAGGTCAGGGTTTTTACCAAAGGACTGGTCATTTTTCTCCGCCCCGTGTCCAGGCGCCCTCCCCCCAAATTCACGAGCGAACGAGCTCCTGTGACGGCCAGCGGAGCAAGCGACCATCGCCCTGGATGTGAGCGGGCAACATGGCGAGGTTCCCTTTCCAACACCCAAAAAAGGTAACCTCAAGAAAAGACACACCGAAATTTCAATAGGGAACCACCGATCCAAAAGTGAAAGCTGGTGGGCATGCTTTCTCCCCCAAATGTGGTCCCAAAGGCCCCATCTTTAGACTTCATCCCATATTCATTGACGCGGGTTTTTTGGTGAACCCCATTGCACCTTGGGGCTGGTGTGCCCCAAACCACATGGGCCACGTCATCCCCTGTGGACGGTAAATACCATTGCCATTGGCACTGGGATCCTCGTGGATCTCCGATCCGGCCATAAGATCAAACTGGGGGTCCCTACTTTAAGACATGGATCAGCCTCCCCCGAAAAGCTGCATGACGGACACTAAGCCGCATGATGGACACTTGCCATCGATCTTGCAAATTTCTTCTTTCATGTGTTGTTTAGGGTTCCTGGATTCATGGATTCCGGCAAAACAGACTCTCCACATTTCCATGGCACTTCCCCGTAAGCCAGCATCACCCCCATAAGCCAACTGGCACGCGAGAGTAGGGCCCCCAACGCGCCGCACTCTTGAAGGAATACCTCAGGCCATGCCGAATCCGAGTCGGAACTCACTCGAGGCCTCACTTCCGGACTGGCCAAAAACAGTCCAAACTTGTTGCTTGCCACACACATATGGTCTTCCCAAAAAGTTGTTTTAATAAAATCCATAAACTCGGGGAGAGAGGCAAGCACGGGAGTGAGGCGAGCACGCAGCACCCAAAGCCCGAGCTGACAGTTGGATTCCAACATGGTAACATGGTCAAAAACAAATCTCTCTAGGCCCTACAGCCGTGCCCCTAAAAACGGTATAACTACCTGATTGTTGCATTGGGTGTCTCGGAAAAAAGCAGCTAATGCTGTGGATGGACACAATCCAGTGCGCACCACTTGGACTTAAAACCATCACGTTGTTTCTCACAGTGTTAGAGGGAAATTAATGAGGTGAGCGGCAAATGGGGTGAGGCCCGAGGACGAAAACGACAAGAAAACACCGAAAACACCCGTGTTTCCCCGGAAAAGCACTTTCTTTCCTTGCGGCGCTGAAGGTAATTGTCTCCAGGGCTTGCTGGCTTCCTGGCTTGCTGGCTAGCTTGCTTGCTTGTGTTTGGTTGCTGTGCTGCGCACAAAGTGGTCAAGCCATTTATTGCTGCATGCATTCGTGAGGGCACGTTTAGTGTAGAAAGGCAACACGTGTCTGTGTCGTGGCTTTGATTAGGTGTTTCAGGCTGTTCTACTATAGTAGTAGTAGTAGCAGGAGTAGTAGTATTCGTAATGGTAGTCGTCGTAGTAGTAGTAGTAGTAGTAGTAGTAGTAGTAGTAGTAGTGGACCATGGGACCAGCTGTTTGGGCTTGGGACCATGGATGTTTGGGATGAGCAGTTTTTGGGACCATGGTTGTTTGGGACCATGGGTGTCCGGGACCACCGTTTGGGACCATGGGTGTTTGGGACCCACAATTTGGGACCATGCGTTTGGGACCAGCTGTGTGGACCAGGTGTTTGGGACCATGGGTGTTTGGGACCACTGTTTGGGACCATACCGTTTGGGACCATTGTTTGGGACCATGCATGCCTGGGACCACCGTTTGGGACCATCGTTTGGGACCAACCGTTTGGGACCACCATTTGGGACCATGGATGTTTGGGACCCACAATTTGGGACCATGCGGACCATGCGTGTTTGGGACCATGGTTTGGGACCATCGTTTGGGATTATGGGTGTTTGACCACCGTTTGGGACCGAGGCTCCGGGAAAGCGTTGGTGAAAACTGTCTCGGCCTGTTCATGGAAATGCTGGTGTAAAGCACAATTGCGAAAGGCTGGGTCGGAAACGGAGGCCTCTGGCCGCAAAACGTCCTTGGGCGCGTTCCACGTGGAGCCGAGAGGGCCGGGCCCAGTCAAATGTGGTTGCAAAGGCTGCCAAAGCTTCCTGTGTGAAATCATTGCTCAAACAGTGGTGAATGCACACAGTGACAGAAGATGGCCGAAGTGCAATGAGCCTGTGCGCAGGCCTGTCCGCATGAGAATGTAGTCGATGTAGATGCGAAGGCGGTTCAGCAACGCAAGATTGCGTGGTCTTTCAAAGAAGTTTCCAATCCACGGGACAAGCAAGCTAATCCATTGCTGGCGCAACACAGAGCAGGGCAATACCTCTAGGTAAGGCTGCATGCTTACTAGCTTTGAGCGGCTTATGCCTGCGAGGTCGCTTATAAAGAGGGCCAAGGGTTCTGACTGCATGTTTGCGGCTGAGGCCGCAGGCTGGCTGGCCTGGCTAGAGGCGTAGGACCTGGCTCCAATTGATTAACGCAGCGAATGGGTGTGCCGTGACCGTGCACAAGCAAGCAATTGGCTGGGGTACTGTTTTGCGACTGCTCACCAGGGCTGTGCAGAAAAGTCATGTGCCATGACTCCTCAAGGCAGCAAGGCTAGAAGAGTAGGGCTGTATCCCAAATGCCTGTCCCAAATGCCTGTGAGAAACCGAAGGCCCTCACAGAATACAATGGCGATAAGGCATATGGCAATGACACTGCACAAGAATCGAATGCGTGCGAGAATGCAGCACAGCTCGTCCAGCATCACTTCTAGATCTAGATAGCTTCTGGCGATGGTCGCGTGGATGGCGTCAAGTGTCTCCTCTTGCTCCATGGCTGAAGGCAGGGCGATGGCTGACGTGTGAGTGGCAGCACTTACGAGCTTGGAAGCACAAGGCTGAAAGTTGAAAAAATTTCAATGCAATGCACACGGCGAGTAGAAACAAGTCGGGCTGACACGAATGAGCGGGGCGCTCATGCCCCGGTCCTGGCGCGGCCAGGATTGGCTAAAGGGAAGAGTCTCCCTTTGGCCTCAAGGCAAGCACGCGGTGCAAAGCCTTCTTCCTGGCGGACCAAGCCAACCTAACACGCGGTGTCAGGGAAAGGCGATGGAGAATTTTCTCACTGAGCCTCAAAGCACGCACGCGGTGCATGGCCTTCTTCTTGGCGGACCAAGGTAACCTGACCCGAGGTGTCAGGGGAAAGCAAATGCGGGTTGATCCCACAAAGCTCAAAAGGCCGCACGCGGTGCAAGGCCTTCTTCTTGGCGGAGCAAGGCAACCTGACACGCGGCATCAGGGAAAGGCCACGGAGATGATTCTCCCTGAGCCTCAAGGCAAGCATGCGGTGCAAGGCCTTCTTCTTGGCGGACCAAGGTAACCTGACCTTCGGTGTCAGGCTATGGCACTAAGAGGGTTCTCTCTGGGCCTCAAGGCAAGCACGCGGTGGTGCGAGGCCTTCTTCCTGAAAATTGCAGGGCAACCTGACACGCGGTGTCAGGAGAGGCAAATCCCAGCGGGGAAATGCTAAGCATGTTTCCATGCTGAGGCCGGGGCCGCAGTGACGCGGAGGCCTGTGCCTGACACGCTGTGTCGAGGCAGCAACCCCTGCGGGGGATGCGGTTCAAGAGCGCGGCTCAAGAACGTGTGCTGAGGTTGCAGCCCAAGCTTTGAATGGCGTCGAACAACAGCGGAATACAGACTGCTTACAACTTTCATTGTTATTAAGTAGTCAAAGCATGTGCAGTGCAAGTAGGACTCATGGCCGAATGTGAACTCACAAGGTAAATGAAGTGCGAGCATACTGAGAAGGCTGCGCGGATGGAAAACCTGCTAAAGTGGCTGCAAAGTGTATGAAGGCCTGTGTCTATGTAAGCGGCAAGGGCTGAAAAGGCTGCAGCCAAGCCAGTCAAGCTGGATGCAGCCGCAAGCTCTGCATAGCCATGTGCTAAGAACTCACGAAGGCAGTGAAAGATAAACTTTCTCCAAGGCCGGTGCAACTCACCAAAGGCTAGTGCAATTGGCACACGGCTGCAAAGTCAAGGCGGTTAAATCACGTTGAAGGCCGATGGCAAGGCCCAACACAGTGTCCATGGCGCCAAAGGCACAGGGAACGGTTTCAAACGAAACCAGGACTGCGAGTCCTATTCGTGAGTTTGAGGGCTAGGAGCACAAAACAGCAGCGGCGTAGGAGATTCACCCCAGACCTATAAACACAAGGGAAACATAAAACCCTTAGCAAAATCATGGCACCTTAAAAACTGGAGCCTGCCAAGGCCCAGCCGCAAGCAAAAACAAAATCATGGCACCTTAAAAACTGGAGCCTGCCAGGGCCCAGACGCAAGCTAAAACAAAATCATGGCACCTTAAAAACTGGAGCCTGCCAAGGCCCAGCCGCAAGCCCAAGCGAAATCACGTCACCTTAAAAAACTGGAGCCTGCCAAGGCCCGGCCGCAGGCGAAAGCAAAATCATGGCACCTTAAAAACTGGAGCCTGCCAAGGCCCAGCCGCAAGCGAAAACAAAATCATGGCACCTTAAAAACTGGAGCCTGCCAGGGCCCAGCCGCAAGCTAAAACAAAATCATGGCACCTTAAAAGCTGGAGCCTGCCAAGGCCCAGCCGCAAGCCCAAGCGAAATCACGTCACCTTAAAAAACTGGAGCCTGCCAAGGCCCGGCCGCAGGCGAAAGCAAAATCATGGCACCTTAAAAACTGGAGCCTGCCAAGGCCCAGCCGCAAGCGAAAACAAAATCATGGCACCTTAAAAACTGGAGCCTGCCAAGGCCCAGCCGCAAGCCCAAGCGAAATCACGTCACCTTAAAAAACTGGAGCCTGCCAAGGCCCGGCCGCAGGCGAAAGCAAAATCATGGCACCTTAAAAACTGGAGCCTGCCAAGGCCCGGCCGCAGGCGAAAGCAAAATCATGGCACCTTAAAAACTGGAGCCTGCCAAGGCCCAGCCGCAAGCAAAAACAAAATCATGGCACCTTAAAAACTGGAGCCTGCCAGGGCCCAGCCGCAAGCTAAAACAAAATCAGGAGCTCATGTTAAAAACTGGAGCCTGCCAGGGCCCAGCCGCAAGCTAAAACAAAATCATGGCACCTTAAAAACTGGAGCCTGCCAAGGCGCAGCCGCGAGCCCAAGCGAAATCACGTCGCCTTAAAAAACTGGAGCCTGCCAAGGCCCGGCCGCAGGCAAAAACAAAATCATGGCACCTTAAAAACTGGAGCCTGCCAGGGCCCAGCCGCAAGCTAAAACAAAATCATGGCACCTTAAAAACTGGAGCCTGCCAAGGCCCAGCCGCAAGCCCAAGCGATTAAAAAACTGGAGCCTGCCAAGGCCCGGCCGCGGGCGAAAGCAAAATCATGGCACCTTAAAAACTGGAGCCTGCCAAGGCCCAGCCGCAAGCAAAAACAAAATCATGGCACCTTAAAAACTGGAGCCTGCCAGGGCCCAGCCGCAAGCTAAAACAAAATCATGGCACCTTAAAAACTGGAGCCTGCCAAGGCCCAGCCGCAAGCAAAAACAATATCATGGCACCTTAAAAACTGGAGCCTGCCAGGGCCCAGCCGCAAGCAAAAACAAAATCATGGCACCTTAAAAACTGGAGCCTGCCAAGGCGCAGCCGCAAGCCCAAGCGAACTCACGTCGCCTTAAAAAACTGGAGCCTGCCAAGGCCCGGCCGCAGGCAAAAACAAAATCATGGCACCTTAAAAACTGGAGCCTGCCAGGGCCCAGCCGCAAGCTAAAACAAAATCATGGCACCTTAAAAACTGGAGCCTGCCAAGGCCCAGCCGCAAGCAAAAACAAAATCATGGCACCTTAAAAACTGGAGCCTGCCAGGGCCCAGCCGCAAGCTAAAACAAAATCATGGCACCTTAAAAGCTGGAGCCTGCCAAGGCCCAGCCGCAAGCCCAAGCGAAATCACGTCACCTTTAAAAACTGGAGCCTGCCAAGGCCCGGCCGCAGGCAATAGCAAAATCAGGGCACCTGAAAGATTGGAGCCTGCCAAGGGCCCAGCCGCAAACAAAAACTAAATTTCGGCGCCTTCAAAACTGGAGCCTGCCGGAGATGGCGTTGGGCTTGGAATGGGATTCAAGAAATTAAGTTCTGATGGGACCTGGTGCAAATTCCTTTCAATCGCGCAGAACTGCTTGGAATACTTTGTGATTTTTGCAAATTGGCTCAGCTCATTGCGTCTTATGTCAAAAAAACGCTATGTCCTTAGGATTTTGCGGATTGCTAGATTTTGCTTCATTTTCACGAATTTCTTTGGATTTGAAGGCGGTTTGCTCTAAATGGAGCTACGCGGAGCTCCCTGTGCCAAAATGGCCTTTGGTAGCTCAAACCTTGGCCAGAGCCTTCCCGGGACATCACCCGAACAGCCCCGGACAGTGCTGGAACAGCGGGGGACTAGGCCCGAACAGCCCCGAACAATGCCCGAACAACACCCGAACAACCCCGAACACTGCCCGAACAACGCCCGAACAAAGGCCGTGACAGAAAATCCGGTGCGGGCGCTTTAAAAAGCTCGACCGGTGGAGGCGGGTCTGATGGAACTTCCTCGGCCGGTGTGACCGGGGAGGCTCATGCAAAGGCTGTGTGTCCGCGGACGGCTGTGCGGTCTCCGGCTCTTCGGCTTGCGCTGAGTTCATCGAAGGCGAGGAGGGCGGCTGTTGACGGGCCAAGGCAGCGATGCCTTCAGCTAGCCGCTGCTGATTCTCGGCTCTCATTTGCTGGAAATTTGCCATGAAGGCTGCAAAGGCGGCTGGGTCCGGCCCAGGCATTGCAAGGCAGGGGAGGATAGAAAATGCGTGATTTTCTTGAGTACAAGGCTGTTGGTCATAAGCATAGCAGAGTCGTGGCCGAAACTGCTGCCAATGTGAGGCAAACAATAGGTCACTTGATGACACAGGCCAGGCAGAAGAGCCAGCCTCGTGTCGGGCATTGCGAATGCAAATCTAAAGCTGCTGACCAGTTTCGTGTGCGGTGCCGGCAAGGCCAAGGCTCTGGCGCTGCATGGAGAGCCTGAGTTAGACTACAGTGTGCAAGTGAAAAACAAGTTGAAGAAAACAGGCACTCGTTCTGTTTCAAGGCAGCGAGTATTGAGAGATAAGGTCCACTGTCTCCTCTGGGTCAGGTCGGGTGGCCTCAGGGGAAGGCGCTGGAATATGGGTGTTTGGGACCCACCGTTTGGGGCCGGGCGTTTGGGACCATGAGTGTCTGGGACCAGCTGTTTGGGACCATGGGTGTTCGGGACCAGCTGTTTGGGATTTGGGACCGGGTGTTGGGGACCAGTTGGCTGGGACCACCGTTTGGGACTATGGGTGTTTGGGACCATGGGTGTGGGGTGTTTGGGACCAGTTGTTTGGGACCATGGGAGTTTTGGACCGGCTGTTTGGGATTGTGTTTGGGACCACTGTTTGGGGCCACAGGTGTTTTGGACCATGGGTGTTTGGGATTTGGGACCATGGGTGTTTGGGACCAACTTGGACCACTGTGTTGGGATTATGGGTGTTTGGGACCAGCCGTCTGGGACCACCGTTTGGGACCATGTTTGGGACCACCGTTTGGGACCATGTGTGCTTGGGACCACTGTTTGGGCATGGGTGTTTTGGACCATCGGTGCCTGAAACCAGCCCCTTGGGCAGTGAAAAAATGCGCACAAATTTCCAAATACGCCCCTCTTATTTGAACGACTCTACACTGAAGCAAAGCGGCTGTGACAACACAGAAAAGGAGGAATACATCCTGCCCAACTGCAAGCTCACAACGATCCTTCGGGTGGAAGGAGGAACCATCGCAACCCCAGCTCCCAGTGACAAACCCATATGATTGTTGCTTTTTGTCTGTCTAAAATCAACGGCTGTTTTCTGCTGTTTCATGGTTTGTTGCGCTGCTTTCTGCCTCGTCTGCCCTGAAGCCTCGCCCCGTTGACCCTCCACCCCCTTTATTTTTTCTGACAGTGCGAGACTTGCGGATTTCGTCTGACTCCAAATGCCCATCGGGGCCTTCGAAGCTGCTTGGTGCCCTGCCCTTTTTGAAACTTCAACCTGGAACCTCCTCGATTTTTGGGGGTTTGGAGCCGACTCGGAGGTTTAGTGGTTAAGGGCAGCGTCCCATGTGCCCTGTACAAGAACCAAGGGTTCAAATCCGCAAGCATGCCACCCGGGCATGGGAAAAACTGGGCTGGTCCTCTTGTCTCTACAGAAAAATCCTCCTACCCAGAGTCATGTTGTCCCCATGGTTTGAAGCAATGAGAATGCCCTTTGTGGGGGCTAATCAATATTCCTGGCGGCACCCTGGCCCCGCTCTGTTTGGGCGTGCAGCGGGAAAACGCGTCGCCCAACCCTCAGCATTCCGCGGAATTCATGGTACTTCCTTCATGCTCATCGCTCCGTATCAGCTGTTCGGCTAAATGCTGCCCACCATTCGCCAGCGTGTCGCTTTCTACGTGGGTCGCACACGCTTATGTAAGCCATTGAAGCCTAAGCACCTCACCAATGTCCAGCTTGCTTCTGATTGGTGGTTTGGATTGGTTAGGGCTGGTTTCCCCATTTACCCTCTACCAAAGCCAGGGTTCAAATCCCCAAACAACCAATCCAATCCGGACCGCAAATTAAGGATTGCCTGATTTTCGGATGTATCCTTCAAGGAACTCTGTCCAACGGACCATTCAGGGAACCCTAAATGGGTTCTAGTAAAGAGGTGCCGATCACTTGCAAGGACAACGATGTGTGTGTGTGGCATCCTACAACCCATTTGTTAGAAACCAATGAACTGGGTCACATGGCTTCCTTGAACTGGGTCCGTCCACGGTGACCTTCTCAAAACAACACCCAAAAGCAGCCATGGCGCCGCAAACCAGCAGCCCCAAGCCCAGGAAAAAACACTGGGCAGGAGCACTGCAAGCCCCCCACTGCATCGAATGAGGACAGCGGGTCGAGGGCGCGAAAGAAGGGCCCCCGCCTCTCTGAGTTTCCCAAACGGATTCTATTGCACCTGGTAGGCTCCTGGGTCTTTTTCCGCCAGGAATTCCGAGAACTCCTCGAAATGCCTCACTTCAACGGGACCCCTCCCCACCCCTCCCCCTCCCCGACTCTGCGGACCCCTCCCCACCCCTCCCAGCCGTCCAATTTCCAGCACCGCGCGGCATGTCGTAGCGGAGCTCGCAGGAGCGAACCACGCCGGTCTTCAGGTTGTAGGTCTGCTTGTACCTCCCGAAGCCAAAAGCCAGAGCCAGACGAGGTCCGAAGCCGGAAATGCGGGGCGAAAGCAGCGGAGACTCGCCTCAAAGACAGGCGCTTCGGAAATTCAATGGGCGGTGTTTTTTTTGCCCCTACAACCCTGTAAACAACAAAAAATGGTGGGGGTTAAAACCATTTTGTGAGAACCCCCCTTCCTTTGTCTTTTTTGGCCGAGTTACCGGGGGATTCTCCCTTCTACGGAGTGATTCCAGTCAAAACAACCCAACAAGGCTACCACCAAACAAGCGTAAACCCCAAATGAGACACATGTATATACTTGCAGGCCATTGACTCTGCAATTCTTTTCAACCATGGTTCGTGTCAAACACCAGCCGTTGCCGCCGCAGTGTTGGTGTTCAAGGCGGAAGAGCTGACTGGGATCCGGTGATCCATCAAACCCAAATGCCTTCTCAGCCCTTTTCCCCGACAAGCCAGGGAAAACCATGAGAAACTCGCACCAATTGAGGGACTCCCGAACCCCGGCAAGGAACGGCTCCCGAATTTGATTCGGAGGTTTGCGGTGTCTCTCGGTCTCGACCGGGCTGCTCCAAACACATCCATGGAACTGTGACCATATGGAGAGCGTCATCGGAACATTCTTACCAAATTTCCCCAGTGTTGATCCATCACCCCAAAAGGCAACTTCTGGGTCCAGTTCAGTCTATGCTCAAACTGACACAAGCCAAAACGGTAGCTGGTTTGGGGTTTCCCATGACCCACGCCAAGGGGGCTCCGCGATTCCGCCCGCCTTCGGGCATTTCAGGAAAAACATGAGAGCCCAAAATGTTCACTGCCATCTGGCAACCTCAAAGGGTTAATTGAAGGGGACCAGTCGGAGCTTGGAATATATTTCTATATATATATATATATATTCTATATATGTAAATATGTGTGTGAATAGTCACAGTATTTCTATATATATACACATTTATTCACAGCCACGGGGGTCCGCTTTTCTTCAATCTTGCTCGACAGAGCACAAGGGCGGCTCCCGAAAACTCGGATCCGCCTCGATCACGGCGGATCACGGATGGAAGCGCTTTGAAGCCTTTGGGCTGCCATCGTTTGGTTCCAAGGAGCCTTTTCCGTGGAGAGATCAGGGGGAACCGATGCAAGCAACAAGAAGATCCTACGACCAGTACAACCCAGGGGGTCTTTTTGCCACCTCTTGTGAGATTGTTCGACCCCCTCGTAGTGAAGGATTCATTTTCAACGGGGTCGCCAATTTTCTCACAAAAGGTGGCAAAAAGACCCCCCTGATACAACCAATGCAACCAACAGGAAGACCAACAAGGTTTTCTCATTTTAGGAACAATGACCAACCAATGATCCTCATAGCAATGCTCTTCTTTTCTTCTCCGTTAAGACATGATCAACCTGCAACCCACAAGAGCCCTGGGGGTCCTTAGGTGCGGATCTTGCTTGCCACCACCGCTTACAGATCAGCAGAAAAAAAGAAAACCGTTCATTTGGTGGGTTCCTGATTCCTGGAGAAACCACCAGGAGAGTTCTGCGTGAAGAAAGTGGCGAAAAATGCAAAGAAGAACTAGAGCAACCTCACCCTTCGCCCTTCGCCCTCTCATCTCGCCCTGGGCCGGGGCCCCGGGCTTTTGGCAGGTGGTGTAGCCAGTTGCCTTGCCGCTCCATGGCACGTTCATAACACCCAAACCTAACAACACCACCACCAGCAGCAGCAGCACCACCACCACCACCACCTTTGCACCACCTGGATACCCAAGCGCGACTCTAGTAGCCCAATCTCAGAAGTGGTTCAGTGTTTCGCGAAAGAGTTTCATGACGTTGATGCGAGCTGGATTTTGGCGTCTTGCCGTTCACTCGCACGCCCCTCTGGCCTTTCGTGCCAAAACAAAACCCGACCGGAGCCCTCAAAAAGTGCGGGATGCCCTCTCAAATGAGACACACTTCGTGTGGAGGGGGGGCAATCTTGACAAAAACATGAACAAGACAAGACCTTTTGAGTGCGAGTACTATAGCAGCTTCAAGAAGGGTCAGGTTTCTGGGTTTCTTTTTGCTTTGTCCGGTGGCTTGGAACGGTCCATGAGGAATTGGCAGCTGCGCCTAAGACTACGGCGAGTTTGTAAGTAGGTCAAACTTCAGAAACGCTTGTTGTTTCTACACGAGCCGCGGGGGGGCCGCGTATTGTCAACCAGCAAAAGGGGGGTTCTGCAGGAGCAGCACGGGTTCCAACCAAGATAAAGCCTTGCAACAAAAAGAAGCAACAAAACGAGAGTTGGTTGGTTCAGAGGTACCTGCCCCGCCGGGCTCTCTCTGGGTTTCCCAGACATGTTCCTTGTGCTTCCTGACCGGGTTGGGTCCCCCCGAGCTCTCCGCCCCCAAACCCCAACTCCCCAGGCGAGGCGCGGTGTTGTACCCGGGGGTGCCGAAGTTGGTCAGGGAGCAGCACTGCGGCGTCGACAGGTCCCCCCCATCCTCCCAAAGGCCTCGGGAAGAAGGGCGAAAGGCGGCTGGAAGACGGGCGCGGGAGAGGTCGGGTGGTCGGTGTTCTTTTTGTTTTGCCTTCAAAAGGGATCACCAAAGGAGTCGCCAAGCCTCCAGATGGGGAGTGGTCGAAAAATTGGGGCCGGGCCTTCTCTTGTAGCCCCTTGAAAAGGTGGCACCACACGACACCAGGGACCAAGCAGGGGCCTAGCTTTGACAAACCCCCCGGATGCATAAGCTGAAGGCGCCCCTTCCGCGATGGCCTGTCACCTGATTACCATGGTGACCCTCATAGGTCCTCCAGTAGAGAGGTTAGAATGAGGGTGCCCTTTTTTCTGTAGCCTATTCTAGTAGGGGAAGCCCTCCCCCAAAAGGGGTAAAGGGGCACTACTGGGGGACCTAGCCCTGCTCATAGGTCTACTTGCATGTTCCGCTGCCAAAGGGAAGCTCCATGCGTCACGGCCAGAAAAATAACGCTTCTATCAAATCAGCCGAGAGGGAACACGTAGCTGAGAAAACACAGGGCTTCCGCCCCAACCGTTTTGTGTCTGACAATTGTGTGCTGTGTAGTGCTCGAAACAGCAGGGTAAGCACATGCGGGAAAGTTTCCCATGGTCATTTGAGGCCCCCAAATGGGAATATTGGTCAACCCCCCATATCCCACTTTTCCTTTCTTAGAACCCCCCCAAAACCCAAATGGGTGGCTTGTAGGCTAGGAACCAGAAAGACAAACACATATCCGCCGCCCACCTCCCATATTTCTGTTCTGTGCATAACTTGGATCTTTACGCTTCATCCCCTCAGCCACTTTTGTCTGAGGTGGACATTCCTAGAGACACCCAGCGCCGTGGATCATAGGATTCCAATCCCAAGCCCTGGTTTCCTCAAAAGACTAAGACCCAAATCAGGCCTTTGGAGGAAACTGGTGATTGAAACTGTGGACGGAATCCGCTCGCACCACGAAAAGCAAGAATGGGTGAAACCAGATCGTTTGTTGTGGTATTTGCAGGGGAATCGAATCATTCCAGGTTTCTTAGGCGGTGCAGGATTTCTGGTAACTTTAGGCTTCGGTCTTGCTTTGAGTGCCTGTTCCTTCTGACGCGTAAAACTGCCGTGTGCTTTCCCATGCATTCCATTGGAAACGTTCTCCCAAATGAGAGGCTGCGAACCCAAGAGGAAAAGCATATTTTTTTTCGGGTTCCTCTAAAGCAAGAGACACCCATTTGGCCATGGGTCAAAATCCAAATCGTAGCCTGGTGAATTCACCTACCCCAAAATGATATCCCAAAACGGTTTTGACCACCACAGCCATTTGGAGGAAACCAGGGGATAGATTTCAGACACGTGTGGACTTGGAATCTCAGATCGGCGCACATGCAGTAGCTGCAGGCCGTGCCCACGCGGTGGATGAAGTCCGTGCCGCTGAGCTTAGTGCACCTGAGGCCGGTTGAGTCACTTGCTCAAAACCCGGTACAAAAATGGTCGTAATTCCAGAACCATGCTTCAAGAACTAAGCAGGATATCCGCAGCTATTTATGGCTAGGATCGTCCCTGACTAACCTTCACTAACCCGGGTTTTGATTGCGGCTCAATTGACATCCAGAAGACTCGGCTCTATTGGGAAAGGACCCTGGGCACCTTCGTCTTTCCGACTGCCTGTCTTGGCGGCAGCAGAAGGGGGCCCACGGTTGTGGCCAAAATCTGTCCTACCAACATGGCTCAATTCCGCACCACTTGATCACAAGAAGTGGGGATTCCCTCGGTAGCACAGAAAATAGGATCTCAAAACCCTTTCCAGCAGCCAGGTTCGATTATTCCCAAGGAAAGGGACCACGGGAGAGCCAAATTGTGCGGATTCATGCCGGGAGTAAGGTTGACTCCGAAAGAAATTACCTGGCAAATGGTTCCCGGTAAGGTCGATCCCCGGATTGATCAACCTGGTGGGCTATTGGGGGGTGTTGCCTGGAGGCAAACCCCCTAATGCACCAGGGTTGTTGTTTCATCCTGGCTTCGCACAAAATTCCGATCTCTTTCAACAGTGGCTTGGTTGATTACTCCATCTGCAAATAGGCTTCGCACAATGCTGATCTCTTTTCAATGGTCGCTGCTGATTACTCCATTTGCGGGGTGTGGCAAATAGGTCCTAAATAGGTGTGTCCTTTTTTGAGGGGACCCGTTTTTGGGGTTGGTTTCAAGGGAATCCCAAAAGCAAATCACCCACGGCCGGAGCCCCGGCTCCACGGTCCGCACCGCCGAGTGGTTGAAGGCCTTCCGAGCTTCGGGCACTCGCGGGAGGGGGGCTCGCGAGCACGAGGTGGGTATGGGTCAAAATTAAACCACTAGGGGACCCCAGGTTTGAGTCCATGTTTCCATTTGCCAGGCGTCCATTTGGGGTACCTATTTTTGACCCACAGCAAAGTGGGAAAAGACACCAAGGCTGAAGCATGGCAAAAACACGAGTCCATGGTGGATATTCCTGGAGTGAACGCTGGCAACTGATGGTAGTAGAGACTTTATGATCAGACTGAAACGCTGGAGGGCCGCTCAAAACGGCGTGTTGGCCAATCCAAATCCATAGTCCCCATTGGAAACTACAAAGGGAAACCCTTTTCGTAGCCCAAAGTAAGGATCAAGGATTGCCTGTAAACAGGTAAAACGACCACTCGCAAAGAGGTTGCAGCAAGTAAAACTAGATAGAAGAACCTACCAAGATGCCCAAGAGAGGGGGTCACTGCCCTTCATAGTTTCCTGGAATTCAAAGAACGACAAAAGGCAGTGCCCCGAAACTTGAACTGCACGGTGCAAGCGGAGAACCCTTGCACTAATCCCGCCGAAACCCGGGGAGACCACCCATTGCCCGAATAAAATAGCTTGAAGCCCCATCAGAGTCGCTGATTTCGCGAGCTTAAATGGGCACCCCAAAACATGAAAATGCGATGCCTTTCACACCGCTGACAAAATTTTCGAGGCGCTTCAACCTTAAGAGCTGCAAGCAACATGGACAATGAAGCCCGAATGCTACCGCCTTTTGGGGCCCGACCCCACTTGAAGGGCGATCGGGTACTCAGTAAGCGGCTGGTAAGCGTTGTTATAGCCCACTTAGGAGAACTATAAACCTGGCCTTTGTGGGTTATAACTGGTTGTTACCCACTTACCAAGTACAATGCCCCTTTAAACAGTTCCCGTGAGCGGTGCGCCTCGCTCGCTCGCTTATCTCGACACCTGCCTCCGGCAGCATCGCGCGCACGTCCTCCGGGTTTGGCCCCACGGTCGCGCAGCAAAGGTGCCTCGGCGAGTTGGTAAGTGATGCACTCGGAACCATAATATCTCTACTCTTGGTATGGTAGCGAAAAACTTTGTTTTTTACAGACCCCCAGTAAAAATGAACAGAACCAAAAAACTAAAAACCAAAAAGCATGCCAAGAACAGTGAAGATAAGGGATGGGGAACACCTTGGAACCGTATGGTAAGTTGGTAAATTGGGATGGTGGTAAGAAAAGTTGACCTCTTGAAGAAAAAATGTACAGTTAATGGACAGGGGATTCCAACATGACCATACCTGTCCAGTAAGTTGAAAGAAAGGGACCTGAAGATTCTTCTACATAGGTGTCTTCCTTTGGGATGCTACATGGATTTGTCCTTTCCTGCGGCTGGAACCCGTTCATTGTCCGCTTATTGGAATCCATGTAGAGTCCCCTTGTCGTGGGTCAGAGCACCTTCTGATGAGTAACAATGCTCAACACAGAACCACCTCCACAAGAAGGATTGCTGGCCAACTTTCTGCAGACGAAGTCGCAAGCAGCTACAAACGTGAAACTCCTTGGTTATGACTGACTACAAAGGGTTGTTCGCTGCGTCGATGAACTGTATCCGGACAAGGTTTCGCGCTGCTTTCCAGCAGCAACAAACACATTTGTGTTCCGACCAGGCACTTGTTTTCCCGACCCTGAGACCCAAACCTACCGGAAAACTGGACCATATCTGGACAGAAATCCGTCACCACCCCAAGGGGCTTGTTTTTGTTGGACATTGAGTGAGTTCCATATCACTTCCCGAGCGGATGGCCAAAAAAAGTCCTGAACTTATCTTTGGCCACCAAAACGGTCTTCCCGAAAACTTTAAAAGAATGTGTTTTTTTTGTCCGAGCCAGCCCCCTGGGTCCACTTCCCCACTCCAAGTGTTGAGAACGCCGCTGGGGGATCTTGGGGAAGGTCTTCCCGGCCACCGCCTGCCGTGGCGAGGGCTATCCCTCAGGCACCACCCCTCGTGTCAACTGCTCCAAAACTCTAGGGGTTGACATTGTTCTTTTCAAAAACCATGTATTATCCCAGGGTTTCCGGAGGTTTTCTAGAAAGAAGGATCCCTGGAAAGAATGGGGAAGGTACCCCTAGAAAAACCCCTGCGAAGGGATCCCTTTTCAAGCTTCTTAAGGAAGGGAAACAGATGGCTGTTTTGATGGTACCCTGTTCAAGCTTCTTACCGGGAAACCAAAGGTAAAAAAACCGCCGGATCTTGGGCGTTCCCTCAAGAAAAAAAGATGCCAAGCTTCCACAAGCTGTGGCAAGGCTCGGAGCGGAGGCCTATCTGCCAGCTTCGACCATGTCGAAGCAGAAAAGGGCTTCCAAGCGAGGTCCGGTTTCCCCGAAACTCTGAACCGGCTTGGCCAGCTTCTTTGCGTAAGCCGCCTGGAAAAACATGTAACATATCCAGTAGATAGATTCCGTTTGAAAACCAACACGGGAAACTAAAACCCAAAGATCCCCAGCGAAATGGTTAGAACCCAAAGATCCCCCTTTTAAAGCCCCAAGGCCCTTTAAACAAAAAGGGAGTAAATGGTCAGAGCCCCAAGCTCGTGAGCGACCTTTGCCAACCACATTGGCTATCTTTCCTGGCGGGCAGGGCAGGCTGGGCGGTGACCACATTATGATCAGCTCAGCCGCCCCTCAAAGGCATAGCTCCACTGAGAATGGTGCTTCATTCAATCAAACACAGAACATGCATACTGCCCACTGCCCATGAACAGCTACAACAACAGAGGCCCTGGAACAAACACATGGCTGAAGGCCAACCGTCTGCTTTGCTGAGGGGGTTGTAAAGTTGAAAAGTAACACCTAAGAGAAAGCTAACCCCTTTCGGTGTCCCCCTGCCTCCATTTGCTGGATACGTACCCAACTATCCCTGACACCTTTGCCTGGAGCAGCAGCAGCAGCAGCGCCACCGCTCTCATGGCCGGTGAAACGCACGCCGCGGCGTACTGGCGAAAAAGAAAAAACAAGTCGCAACTACAGACCCCTTGGTGAAAGAAAGTCTGAACAAACCAAAGACTTCTTGAAAAAGAAACTCCTAACAAACCAAAGACACGTTGAATCACGCTTCAGCCAATATCGTTTAAGATACCTCCTTCTCCTCTCCTTCTTGGCCAGGCTTGCGCTCTCCGCACAAAAGAGCCGAAGGCCTTGGGACTTCGAAGTCGGAAAAGGCAACCAGTCGCCAAGAAAGTCCCAACTTGGCGGTGTCGGTGGCGGTGTCTCGGTTTAAGCAAATGGGTGTGCCTGCTTTGAGGGGTTCGGCCAATAGCGCAAGCAGTAGAAGCAAAACGAATCAAGCGGATAAGATCACTTCTATAAAGAAATATATTTATTATGAACTGGCACGCTAAAGCATGGCCTCGCCAGAACGAGGCTTGAGCCGTGCAAGAGCCGGAGCATACTTGCGGCACACCGATGGCTGAAGCTGGGCCGGCCAATCCTTAAGCGAAGACCTTGTACAAAGACCAGCACACATCAGATCAAGATACACAGCCGAACGAACCCTTGAAAGCATACGCAAAATGATCAGCCATAAGCAAGCATTTTGGGCCCTTCGAGTGGCTTCCCTGCATGTTCACATTTAAAGACCGCTCTTTACAGCATCCGCGAAAAACCAACACTGATGCCTTGTCTTTGAACAACTACCCTAAGGTCTGAGGAGGTTGTTGCTGCTGGCGCTTGGCTTTGCAGACTTGCCATCCAGGTCCCTCAAAACCAAACATCCAAATACATCCAAGCATGGAAACATCCACTGCCAAGCCGCCTGTGAAACCAGCGGCGGGGGGGGGGGGGGGGGGGGGGGGGGGCCAACGCAGCCAGCCGGCGGCCATCAGCTCGAGTCCGCCAAGCGATCCCTGCTCGAGTCCGCCAAGCGCCGCCTCTACCTCACCGAACGCGTCTCAGTATGGCAAAAGCCCCACACCGATGTTCGGCCCGTAAGTCTGGTAGCACTCACGCATCTCCTTCTCAAACTTCACAGGAAAGGTCGTCCTTGGTCTTCACAGCAACTCAGAAACTCGCAATCCCAGAGCGGACTGGCAGTGCCAAAAAAACAGAAAAGAAACGGGTTCTTTTGGGGCCCTGCTTTAAAAAGATTGCCCAAAACTCAGGAACCCAAAATGCCAGATTCGCAAGCCAGGCACATCTCGGGGGTCGAGGGGGTGTTACTTTGGTCCTTCCATGCGGCAAACTTCCATGCACACTCCAAAGATTCTGCAACAGCCTACAACGAACCCGATACGGAAATAGTTTCCCCCGTGCCATGTGAGGTGCATGTATGTATATATATATATATTATCGTTACTATAAGTTATGGTCAATAATTGTCATTGTTGTTACTATCATCAGTATTATGATTGTTATTACCATTATCATTCATCATGTCTGTTTGTGTTAGTTATTAGTATCACTATTAGTGTTTATTATTCATTATTATCCCTATTGTGTTACCATTATTATTCCTACTAATGTTATGATTAATTACTAAGTGTGTGGTATCATTATCATTATAATCAGTATGATCAGTGTTATTATGCATTATTATTACCATTATTATTTATTCATTATTACTATTATTATTTGTTCTGACTATTATGTATTATTGGTATTATTAGTAGTAGTATTATTAGTATTATTTTGTTTTTATCATGATTAGTATCATCGTCATTATCAATATTGATTATTACTACTAGTGTTACTATATTAGGACTACTATTATTATAAATTACTAATGATGTAGTATCATCAATATTATTCCCCAGATAGCTCAAAGCTACAGGGGTTCTAACTTCTAATAAAGAGGGGAAGGTGATTTGCGAGATTGATGGGCTGGTGCTAGGGGGCGTGCAGTTTGGGGTGCTGTTTGAGGTGCTGATGGCAGTACGGGCGCATCTTTTCAAGATTGACGGTGGGGTGCTAGAGGGCATGCAGTGTGGGGTGCTTGTGCAGGTGCTGTTTTGGGGGGTGACAGTGCCCGCGTATTTTTGCATCTTGACGGTAGGATGCAGGGGGGGGTGCAGTTTGGGGTGCTGGTGCTGCTGGTGCTGTGGGAGGCAGTTTGTGGGGAGCTGTTTGACGAGCTGGTGCCGGCGCGGGCGCATTTTTGCGATATTGACGCTCGGGTGATATCGGGCATGCAGGTGACGGTGCAGGCGCATGTTTGCATCTTGACTGGAGGGTGCAAGGGGAGCATGCAGCTTAGGTGGCGGTTTGGGATTCTGTTTGGGGTGCTAGTTGATTTTCGCAAGATTGCCGGCTGGGTGTCTTGGGGGGTGCTTTTTGGGGTGCTGTTCAGGGTGATGGTGCGGGCGTATGTTTGCTCTTCGGGGGGGGGGGGGTGCTTTTGGAGGTGCTGGTGTGTAAGCACGGCTATCTGGGGTCTATGCTGGTGTAATTATTCAATTATTTTTTGTTATTATTATTCTTGTTATTATTATTACTGTTATTATTATTACTACTAGTACTGTTATCATGATTCTTAGTAGTAGTCACAGTCATATTGTTATTCTTCGTATCATGACCGTTATAATTTGTTGTTATTGTTATTGTCATTATTATAGGATGTTGAATGATTCATGGCATGGTTTTTGGCGGTGATGCCTCTCGCGTTCCAATGGTTTGCCCATCGAATGCCAATAGCCAAATGGCAGCTGACTTTTCCAACTCACGGGGCCAGCCGGCAAAGAGTTTTTCCAGTGGCAACTTGTATCTACGACACGAGTCAGCTCTATAAATATCTATATATATATATATATATGAATATGCATATACACATATATGCGAGTAAGTCCACCCGTCCCCACGTTTCCTCAAAGAGACCCAAGCCCAAACACTGGGTCCAAAGTGACAACCTGACAATTATCCTCATGGTTGAAATGCTTTCCCTGGCGCCAAAGCTATTTCTTCAGGATCTTCATAAGACTTCCAATGAGTCTATATTCCCAACTTTGTCCATGACCAGCTCTACATTCCCATTCTGGGGTGAATGGATGCTCGAATCACCTAGTAAGTGGGTCCTACCTGGGACTGAATTTAGCTCCAAACAGTAGGTGGAACCCGAACTCCACCAACTCCAACCGGGGCCGATCGATTTGCGCGGATCTGTCCATCCACCGTGCCCCCTTTCCTCAACCCAAAGGAAGCTTATCTGTTTCGCCACCCACAGAGGTGCAGTCATGAAGCCACCAACCCACTTCCGCCCCTGTCGCTTGTGGTAAGTTTGGACACCCAAGCCGCCCCAAAACACGCCAAGGCGCAGGTGCTTCGCCGCTTTCGTTGGATCCAGCCAGGGGTTGCGCTGGGAGGCGGCTGCCTCCTCGTACATGGCCTGCGGTGTTTGGTGGGGATTTGCCAAGCATCTGTCTTTAGGGGACCCCCCAAAACGGACTTCGGCGTTCCTCTTGGGCCCCTTTGAAACCGCAAAAGCATGCTCGTCTTGGGTCCCTTTATATAAAGCCGCCAACGAAAGGGGTACCCTCTAAAAGACACACCTGAATGGTGCTGTGGTTTGTTAAATGGGAATCCTGGATTAAGCAGAGCCCTTGGTAGATTAACAGAGGTGTGTCCCCTTTTAGCGGTGCTTCATCACGTTTAGGAAAAACACACCCATGGAGTTGGAATCTGTTTACCGAGTGCCATGTGGACAAGGGACTTTCAGGATGGTCAAACCCCTTTAAGGGATAGTGAGGGGAAAGCAACAACCAAACCACGAGAACCGACCAAAAACGAACCAGATTCCCCGGCAATCCGAACGATCCCCCGTTTCACTCTTCGTTTAGAATCAAGGGACTCTTCCCTTAGAGTTCCCCATTCCCCATGCAGTACTCTCCAACACCCTTGGACTCTTCGCGTCGCGTGAAAATTCCACCCGTGCAACAAAGTGGTCGATTCCCGTGACTACTATCTCGGAAAACTCCAACTTGGTCACTCGCAACACGCGGCGAGAAATTCTCACACACACACACAAAAACAAACGAAAGCACAAACACACAAATGCAAACACAAGCGCGCGCAAACACAAACAAACAAATACAAACAAACAAACAAACAAACAAACAAACAAACAAACAAACAAACAAACAAACAAACAAGCAAACAAACACATGTATATGTGTCGATGCGAAATTAGCCCAAATGACACCTGTAAAACTTGACTGGGTTTGTCCGCAACTTTGCGCTTGCTGATTGGCGGCTTGGATTGGTTTGGTGATTTGACCCGATTTGTGCAGGGAGAATGGAAAACCTCTCCCTAACCTCTGAGCCACCAACGCAAACCACCAATAGGGCGCCTTTTTTCAAGGCTACCCCCTTTTTTGTGGGTTTTCGAAAGGCAAGCCAGAGGGGGCGCCACCTTGAACCCCTGGCTGAAACCATCACGTGCATTCACCTTGAATCAAGTCAGCTTGGGTTTTCTGAGGTCGGCCAGCAAATGGATTTCGCAACCACAGTAGGTCCCTTCCATTTGCCGAAATGAACTTCTTCAAGTTCCCTTTTTTGTTACTTCAAGACGATCATTTCCCTGGATCCACCAGGTTTTTTTCATTTCCCCTGGTTTCTACCTGTTTCACCGCGCGCAACTCATCGATTCAAACCCCAGCGGCGATGCCCTCGCGGAGCTTCAAGGTGTAGGTCTCCACCGAATCCTCGGTGAGCGGGCCCCAGCGCCCCAGCGCCCCGCGCCGCGTTTTCTTTGGTAGGAAATGATAGCGTGTTTGTCTTAGGAACACCACACAAAACGTACCACCAATCTCTGGGTCAACCAAAAACCAGCATGACGTTTCTAGGCCCTCCAGATTTGGGAGGTTAGAATAAGTTAGTACCAACGATGTTTCTTCTGCAGTCTATTTTAGTAGGGGAACCTTCCCAACCAAAAAAGGGGCGAGAAAGGGCACTGGGGGGACCTAGTTTTTTCTTAGGCGCGCCAAATTCTGCGAAAAGGACGGGGCGAGGGCAACCTCCTTTGTGGGACGGATTCCGCATCCCTTCGCCATGGAAGTGAACCAACCACAAAAGCCATGAGGTTGAGTGCACGTAACTTGGGCCGAAAGGTTGCCCGCTTGCAATGTGGCGAAGGTGGCATCCCACCAAAATTTACTCACCCCCCGGCGGCATTTGTGTTGGTTGAAAAATAAACAAAGTGGAGACGGGTTCGGTTGAAATTACATTTGTTCAGCAGCGTCGGAAATGATCGCATGGCAAAATGTGGCTGACCAATGACTGGCTCTGGAAATAACCAGCTGGTTCTGAGAAATCACCCGCTCGTTTGTCAGAGTCAAGTCGTCCATCAAGTTGTCATTCTTGTCTACACATCGGACATGTTGAAACGCTCACCCAACAAAACCTATAGCCGCAAGAACGTCTTGTCTACAACATTTTTAGAATCCTGGCAAGGCAGCAAGCCTAACATCGAAGCTAGGTTTGGGTAGTAGTGGTCTAACTCTCCAAAATATGAACAGCAACTCAAGCCACTCGTATGCGCTTAGACGTGTCTTGTTTTAGGCAACCCAAAAAAATGTGGTTGTCCCTTGGTGTCCCTTCAAAGCCCACCAAAAAAGAGGTACCGAGCCTTAAACAAAAGACACCTACTGTCATTCTCTCGAAGCGTACCGCTCAAAGCTGCGGGCCCCCCAAAAACGCAGAAGCTGGCCTTCATGGTTGTGTCCTGCTTGTTGTGGGGCTGGTTTAAAGGGAACACCTTTTAAAGGAAGACGACAAAACCATTTTGGGGGGGTCCAACCTTTAACCAGATGAGCCACCCAAATGGCACCGGCCTCCCTCTGATCAAAGCCCCCTCCATTCGAATGCCGAAAACTGTGACATGGAGAAATGAGGCATGGGCGGGCTGGAAAATATGCCCAAACGATCCGGGCAAAACAGGAAACAGAAAATCATAATTCAGAAGCGAATGCACCTAGATATCACCCAAAAACCTCCGGCATAAATCGCCGCAAATTACAAAAGAAACCAGTTTTTTTACCATACCATGAACCACGAGGAAACCATTGCCATTCCCTACATGGGGCGGAACATAAAATCTTCTGATTGATTTCCGGAACCGGTGAGCTCGAAACGCCCAAGCTCAAAGCCAAAGCCCTTTGCGGAGGAGGTGCCGCATATACCTCGGAAAGCGATGAAAGGAGGTTTTCTTAGGGCATTTGACATTTGGCCATGGGTCAAATTCCCGTACAGTGAACATCCCAATCCGCACTAAAATAGGTTGTAAATGGGTGGTGAATTCACCTACCCCAAAATGGGATCCCATTGGTTTTGACCCACAGCCATTGTCCTGGACAATTTCCTGGAGATGGTTTCTTAGGTGAAGGGATGTTCGACCCCTTTCGGTTTGTATGTCAAGGCCATTTTCGGGAATGTCCCGATTCCTATTTTGAGAAACCTCCCGTGTCTGTGTTTTGTGGGGGGTACCCATTTTGGGGTTGGTTTTTCGAAGGAACTAAAAGGACACTCGAAGGCCCTTTTTGAATGCCATGGCCACAACTCCATTTCTTTGGCCGATTGGGTCATGCCTCCCTTACAGAAACCCTGGTTTCTGATGATTCCTCAACGGAAATGCCAACAAACGTTATGGTTTCAACCGCGATTTCATGCAATTTCTGGATTTCGCAACCACTCCCCAGAATAAGCCCATCCCCTGGTTCACCGCGACTTATTCACTTGAGGGGCCCCCAACCCTCTACAGTACTTCGATGGGTTGACATGACTCAGAGAGGGATGTCCGAAAAGCATTGGCGTGGCACCAAAGCCTGCGGGCTTTACTTTTGCCAGAGTCAAGATGGCATTTTCAGGAATGAGATTTGGAGGTATGGATACTAATATACAAGGAATACAAGCTTGTAATGCAGTGTGTATATATATATATATATGTATGCCTTGTATATAACCTTCATACCTCGAAAACCCATACCTGAGAAGATCAGGGGCTTTTTTTGGTGCAGTGTCAGGAGTCCGTGCTATTCCGAAAACTTACGTGTCATAAAGTCGGAGTTGGACCTCTTTTCCCTGTGCTTCTTTCCCCAAGTGATATCAAACACCCCCTGCATTACAAGAGTTCGGATCCTCTAAATCAGCTGGTAGGGTGATGTTTAGCTGTCTGCTATCCGAGAAGTCCAAACCACCCAAAAAGGAAACCATCCCATGGGATGGAGCGCTAGGGCCTACGCGGGGGGGCCAAAAAACTGCCAACGCAGACTACATACGGACCCTTTCCTCCGGCGTCCAATTGGATGGGATCCAAACCAATTAGACATGGACGCTTCGATTGTTTTTGCGCCGAGGGGCGTTAAAGTAAGGAGGGGTAAATGGGAAACCGCCCCTTGCTTCAGCTCCAAACCACCAATCAGAGATGAAAGCTTCGAAGTTTGTCTTGGAGCCGAGGGGCGTTATTGTTGTTGTTGTAGTTCATAGTGCCACAGGCCAAGTTCAGTCGCCTCAGCTCCCGCTGCAGCAGCAGCAGACGGCTCCGCCCGTTGCGGTCCTCACACAGCACATGGTTTTTTACCAGGGTTTTGACCCAGCCAAATGTGTGCGGTTCAATAAAATTGAGGCAACGTGTGCGCTTACCAACGGGAAACCCGAAGCTATGTGGGGGTGTTCCTATGTTGTTTACGCATAGCAAATGTGTATGAAATATAATCCTCTGGTGGACATCATATAGGAGGGGATTTATGGCCACCAACCACTTTTGAGGAGGCGCCAACTCTTAGAATTCCTAGCCCAAAAAAGAAAACGGATCCATTCTGAGGTCACCCTCTGACACATGGGTGTGTTTGTTGGTTTTAAGGGAACACCAAAAGGAAGCCCACCATTTTTAGTGAGTCCCCCAAAAAGAGCCACCCACCTAGCCCCAATTTCTGCGTCCAATCAACTACACCGACGCTCGCTCCGGCAGCGGGTGCAGCAAGGCCAAACCCTTCAGCAGAGAGCTGAGCAGCGCCAAGGGATCCGAAACCGACTGGTCCAGAGCTGCGTGGTAGCTCTCCTCGGTGACTTTTCTAGCGGGCCCTTCGTGGGCGTTCTAACCAGTGGTCATCCAAAGTTTGCCGGACCTTTTGAACCCCTAGACTAGAGAACCCCGTGGTTGCCGGACCTTTTGAACCCCTAGACTAGAGAACCCCGTGGTTGCCGGACCTTGAACCCCTAGACTAGAGAACCCCGTGGTTGCCGGACCTTTTGAACCCCTAGACTAGAGAACCCCGTGGTTGCCGGACCTTTTGAACCCCTAGACTAGAGAACCCCGTGGTTGCCGGACCTTTTGAACCCCTAGACTAGAGAACCCCGTGGTTGCCGGACCTTTTGAACCCCTAGACTAGAGAACCCCGTGGTTGCCGGACCTTGAACCCCTAGACTGAGAACCCCGTGGTTGCCGGACCTTTTGAACCCCTAGACTAGAGAACCCCGTGGTTGCCGGACCTTTTGAACCCCTAGACTAGAGAACCCCGTGGTTGCCGGACCTTTTGAACCCCTAGACTAGAGAACCCCGTGGTTGCCGGACCTTTTGAACCCCTCGACTAGAGAACCCCGTGGTTGGGTATCCCAAAACGACCCCCCCCAAAAGGGGCGGGCTTGGAGCCGAACCGGTTTGGAGGTGTGGAGGTTCCCCCGCTCTGGCTCTGAATCAATGGGTCCCTTCACGTGATTGTTGACCCCTCTGCAAAAACGTTAACTGCTTGCGAGTTCAATAGGAAACCTTTGGTTTCCCCAAAAAGCGAAGGCATAAAGATCCAACCCAACAGCAATCAAGAGATGAGCTTACCCTTCAATCACACCCCCTCTTTCACAAACCCCAGCACAAGAAGTTGCGAAAGATTAGAATAGATCATGTTTGGAGGTAAATACTGGTCCCCGTTTTGCGGGGCAATCTCTCCAAATGGAACGAGTCCCTAGCTTCAAGGGCTTGTCCAGGGAGCTTGGAGGTATGGAGGTATCTACCAGAGCAAAACACATGCGTTACAAGCTTGTATTGGTGGTAACCGTCCGCACCTCCCGAACTGCTAGAAGAGCTCTTGAAAGCCAAAAACAGATTAGTCCCAAGCTGAGCTGCGAAGAGCCGCAACAAGCTCTGCCTCACCGGCACGTTGTAGCGCCGACAGGGCACTCCCGCCGCCAAAATGCACCGCTCCTCGGGAGCGAAAGGTTGGCTCGTTCCCATGGGGGTTTAGCTTGATTTTGAGGGAAGCCCCCAAACAAATTCCGGCGTGCCTCTATTTTGAGAACTCGTATGGGTGTGTCCAATTCTCTTTTAGGGACCCCCAACACCACCAGCTCGAGAAAAAAGACGAGCATGAAGCTCGGGTCCATGGCCTGGTTGAGCAATCCACATGAATGCGTCACAAAGCTTTCCCCGGAAGGACATGGCTGTAGTCGTCAAAACCCACAAAACCCCTGGTGAACATCAAAGGTGGCAAATGGATGTTCATCCCCAAAATGGGATCGCCATAGGTTATGCAACCCATGGCCACATGGGAAATGTTTACGGCTCCTCCGGTTTTGGTGGGAGCTTTGTGAGCCTGCTCAAACCCCCCCCCCCCCACCCCCCCGCCACCCAAGAGAAAAAAGACCGTACAACTTTGCTGAAACTTGGTTTCAGTCGGAAGGCACTCCTTTCTCATTGGTTCTCCTTTAGATCGAAATGCTTCCACGCAGATGATCATGGTCAATGCCGAAGTCCAGTGGGATCTGTAAGCTCTGCCGCTTGTGCTAGAAAAACACGGGATGTTCTTAGCTCGCGGTCACTGCATCTTAGCTTGCTCAGTGCCAAACTGGGATTGAGTAGATCTGCCATGTACGGCATGGTGCAAGTTCTTTGCTTCGGAATCGACTCCAAACTCTCGACTCGGTGCGCGTGGATTCTGCCCACTGAACACCAAAACTAGGCAACATCATGACACACCCTGGTAGAAGGGAACCCATGGGGTTGATGAGTCAGTTCTAACCAAAGGGCCCACCAAACAGCGGACATGGGTGAACAACTGCGTACACCAAGATCTGAACGGCCTGCAGCCAAAAAAGCAAAGGATGAGCGTGTATTTTGTGGGGCACACTTTTTACCTTGGCGCTTAGATGGAAACCAAAACCACCGTGTTGGGGGTCCCCCCTATTGTGACGCATACCTGGATCTGAAAGCCGCTTTGCGCAAACCGGCGCAGCCCAAGTGCAGGCCAGTGACATCGTAGACGCTGTCGAGGTCCGTTCCTAGCAAACAAGCTTAGACGCATGAGACGCAATCAAACCCTGGTACCGAAGTGTCTACCCAAAACTAGAAACCCAAAAAAGAAAGGCAAATAACCGCATCTATTTATGGCAAGGGCATAGTCCCTGACCTTTGTCTACTCAGCAGCTGTTCTGACACTGTGATTGAAAACACGGCAGCCGAGAAAAATAATAATAATAGTAATAATAATAGTAATAATAATAAGTAATAATAAACAATAATACACATAATAATGTTCATATTATTACTAATAATAATAACAATAATAGATAGTTAATACATCAAAACAAAAAAAAAACATGGAAAACACATTAAACAAAAAACTCACACACTTTTTGCTTGAGCCAGGCCATCTTGATGTTCAAAAGCGGCGTGTTGCCGTGTTTCTCAGGTCGTCAAAACCATGCACCGTGTTCGAGGTCTGAACATTGAAATGGCTTGATCAACGGTTCGCACACAAAACACAAACACCCCTGCAGTTGGTGTGAACAATGCCCGAACAACGCCATGAGCATCTCAGAAGCCAATTGCTGTTGATGGCAATGGCCATCAATGATATTTGCAGGCTACGGGCGTTGTGATTGCATAGGCAACCAGTGACGGCCAAATCGCGAATTTGAATCGACTATCTGGCCTGCCCCGAAACATCGCACATCGCAATCACAGACAATCGCCAGCGTTTGCGCCAAGCTTAAAAACGCAAAATAAGTTCAAACAAAAACGTCCAAGGAGAAGGAGCCCTTCGCACCCAAGTTTCGGGTAAGTCTTGTCTGGTGGTTTGGCCTGGCTTGGATTTGGATTTGAAGAGCCGGTTCTTGTGGGTAAAAGGGAAACCACCCAACCCACACCTCCACTCCGCCAAGAAAACCCGACTTGGATGTTCGACCAAGTGAGTTCTCCCACTTTCTTAGGTCCCCGCCAACAAACAATGCACCTGTGGAAGTGTACCTGGAAGATCAATGCCCTCTTCAAGGTACGTGGCTGTGGCTGAAAAAAAAAAACGGTACCAAAATGAAAACCCTGGTAAGTGGAAACATGGACCAAAACCTGCGGTTTGCCCCTCCTGTTCGTTTAATTTTGGTTGCCACACCCATGGAGGGAGGGGCTTGGTGGCTTGGAACTCGAGCACTTGGCAGAGATCCAATCCGGCAAGCTCCAAGCCGCGAAAATTGTGGATGCCCAGTTTACCAAATGGAACCAGCCTCGGTTCGGGGGCAAGGTCCTTGCCCCATAAAAAGACATTCACCAACCGGCTGAGTTCCGAAGTGATGACTAGTGCCATATGGGGGGTGGTTGTTGGCCCTCCAGAAGCGATGACTTACACCAGAAGTGATGACTTACACCCTCTGACAGATTTTCCGGGTTTGGTCTCCAAAAAAAACGCGCGCCCAAAAGACAGCAGCGCCAGCGCCACGGACCGAGGCTCGGAACATCTTCTGGAGCTCTTCCACCGGCAGAGCGCGGTGCAGGCAGTGGTAGATGCCCCGAAAGGCCACGCCTCTCGGAACGTTCCCCTGGGGTGGTCTCAAAAACCTGGGGTTCCCCTGCATGATTAGAGTTAGGCCCAGTCATGGAATGTATATGGTATGGTTTGCTTCAATTTGAGTCACTGGTAATAAAATGTAAAATGTATCCTAAGTCTGCCCCTGCCTGGATAACCATGTCGACCATGCGTCATGATCCGGGTCTGGTCTGGGGTATTTTCAAAAAGTGCGGAGGACCGTTGGTTGGACCACCACCAAAAGGAGTGGAGATGTCGACCTGGGAAAATGGTCACCCGGCCGGTCATTTGCGGGGCCCTACATGGAATATTGATCAACCCCTGAATCGTCGGATTCCAGCGCCTTTCGACGGAGTGACTCTCCGCTTTGGGCGTGGACAAAAGTCGCTGGTGATTTGGGCAGGAGTCGGGACGTTTCGGTGGACATCATTGGATTTGTGTCCAACCATTTTCCAAGGCGTTCCCTATTAAAACTCAATAGCCATCCGCGTAGCGGAGATATGGGTGTCTGTTTTTGGGTACCCGGTTTTTGTGGTCTTACAGGGAAACCAACAGGAAAACCACCTCTCTCTTCTTTTTTTCTTCTTTTTTTTGGTGGGGGTCCCCAAAAACAAACACACCCATATCTCATCAGTGTTCCCAAAGAAGCTTCACGTGGGCACGCGTGCTTCAGTTTGTTGCAGCCCCCGGGGTCGCCTTGTTCTACGGAAGAAGCTAGAGAAGACATCAGGGAAAGTTCCCTGGGGCATCAGGAAATATGAAAAGTTACTCTGATCTTGAGTGAAGATTCCCGCAGATTCCCATGAACGGAAGGATCGGAATCTTTAGAGTTGAGGGACCGGGAATGTCTTCTGATAAATCACTTGAGGGATTGGTGATGTTCAAAGCTCCGGAGGACCGTTGGTTGGACCACCACCAAAAGGAGTGGAGATGTCGACCTGGGAAAATGGTCACCTGGCCGGTCATTTGCGGGGCCCTACATGGAATATTGATCAACCCCTGAATCGTCGGATTCCAGCGCCTTTCGATGGAGTGACTCTCCGCTTTTGGCGTGGACAAAAGTCGCTGGTGATTTGGGTAGGAGTCGGGACGTTTCGGTGGGCATCATTGGATTTGTGTCCAACCATTTACCAAGGCGTTCTCTATTGAAAAGAAAAAAAAGAAGAAAAAAAACTCAATAGCCATCTGGATAGCGGAAATATGTGTCTGTCTTGTTGGGAGTACCCGTGTTTTGGTGGCTGTAAAGGGAAAAGGAACACCACCATGGTTATATTTGTTTGTGTATTTACGTACTTATGTATTTCTTCAAATTACGTATTTATGGATTCATGTATTTATATGTATCTATTCATTTATCTATAGATTAATTTGTAGTCGGGGGGGTCCCCAAAAAAACGACACCACACCAGTTCTGCGAAAAAAGCTTCACGTGGGGACGCGTGCTTCAGTTTGTTGCAGCCTGCGGGGTCGCCCGTTTTCTATCTTGCGGCGGAAGAAACGAAAGAAAGTATCGATGTGAGAGCGAGCGACGGGAAAGTGACGAAATCTTGCACCACATTCAAGCCATTGTTGAAACCATTTGCTTGTTGGCGTTTACGGAATCGAATCATTCCAGGGTTCCGTAGGTGCTGGATTCTGTCCATCCACAGTAAGAATTACTCTGGTCTTCAGAGAAAAAAAGAAAGAAAGAAAAAACGGATTCCCGAGAATACCCACGTAGGATCGGACCGAGAGTCTGAATCACTGGGATGAATCTAATGATAACTCAAGCTCAAAAAAAGACCATCTTCATGAAAGGAAACATAGTCTGTTCACTTCCAAGCATTGACGTGCTTCAATGATCTTGAGTATCATCCTGATGCTTTCCTCCCAGGCCCCTCCTGAACCAACAAGCACAGACCCAAAAGAGGGTTGCTGGCTTGGAAGGCACCTCATTTAGAGAAACTGGAGGCACATCCCCGAAGCGACGCGCGGGCGCTTCATCGATCGCACCGATTTTGCCCGATGTCCCCCCATCCTGGCGAGCTTTTGGTTTAGTGAGTCATACGGCCTAGGGGTTTGTTTGGCTTCCTTTTGGGCGCCCTTTTTTTGGAAAAGGGGCTGCCCCCTTTCAAGGGGGGCCCCCCTGACAATGAGAAGCTTGACACAAACCAAACCCACCGAACCTCTGGCGTCGAGATACGCGCTCTCGAGCGCCTGCGGGCTCATCCATCTCCATGAGGCCCACCTCCTGAGGAAAAGGAAGGCGACCGACCTCCTTGGGTTTTGAGTCGAGGGAAACCGAACGGGGGAAACCTAATGCCATCGTTGATGGATTTGTTTTAAACATGTGCTTTCTTCTTCTTCTTCTTCTTCTTCTTCTTCTTCTTCTTCTTCTTCTTTTTTTCTTGGGGGGGGGCGCCAAAAAAGAAACACACACACACCCATATGGGTCATATGGGGGGGGGGTTCTTAAAATGGGGGCACACCGAAATGTGCCCCGTTGGCTATTTCCCTTGAAACACAGGGAAAGGGATCCAAAGTTGTGAGAAACCCGGCAAAAAAGAAAAAACGACATCACGACCAAAATACAACTCACCGCAAAACGCTTCAACCAGGGTTTGCCTTTTGGCGCCCTCGGAAACATCAAGGGACCCCCAATTTGGAAACCCTCTTACACTCCGGATCAAGAGGCGAATTTCGGTTGAAACTCCCTCACCTTTTCCTCGGTGAGCTTGCCTTTCTTTTTTTCTGGCGGCCATTTTTGGCACGTGTTTCTTCGGGCTTCAACCCGCCTGTTTCAAGCTGACAAGCCAGGTGAAACCCGTCGGATCCCATGGAACCGGGATTTTGGGAGACGAGACGACTTCGGAAGGTACCCCTCCGATTCTCATGGGGTGTCCCATCCAAATCCCCCGGGATCTTCAAAGTAAAATGGGCGGGCCCCAGCAAAATCAACCAGGGATTCTGCTTCTTCTGGGGTCAACATTCGAGCGGTTCCCATCGTGGGGCTTGCAACTTGTGGAGAATCAAAAAAGGGAAATTGAGGGCCCTGAAGCCTGCGTTTCTTGTCTGCGGGAAGGCGAGGGGCGGGGAGCGGGCACGATCAATTCGCCTGCAAGTGAGCCCAATTCCAGTCCCATCGAAGTGAACCAACGCTGTGGACAAGTCCACGCCGTTCGGCACCAGTTGGAGGGTGGCTTATCACAGTTGTAGCGCTCCAGTCCGTCCCAGCAGGACGTGGTCCATCAGTATTCTGATATGGCGTGTCTCAAAATAGGGGGACCGCCCAAAAGAAGAAGAATGTGGCTCTACTGTTGGTGTCCCTTGAAACCACCCAAACAAGGGGTACACTCCCTGGAATTAAACAGGAATCTACGAATCTTTTACTTTTATTTGTATTTGTTTTGCAGGTTAGTCAAAAAAACCCATGGTTTTGGTTAAAAGTCCCTGGGGTGTTTTTTGTCGACTTCCGCATTTCAGAACGCGAAGCTGACTTCCAACGATGATTCGGGCACTGGCTCCCTCAAACCCCTCGATAACCCTCCCCCGGCTCCCGCCCCCGAACTCCCCCCCTCCCCCAAAACCACCCCCGCCCTGCCCCCACCTAGGTACGACGTACGACTGGTAGCATGTGGGGGTGAGATTGACTCGGAAACTGCAATTTTTAGTATTAGCGGGCGGACACACCGTAATTTTAAGCGCACCGAGGAAATGCCGGTTCACGACTTTTCTCAGGGATATGCGAAACTGCTCCTAACATAATCAGTTTCCCTATTGACCCTGAAAAACAATAGCTATCACAGTCAAAAGGGCAAACCTTACAACCACACTTTTGCAAGCCTGCGCTTCCATGTTAAGCACATGTGTTCTCCTTTACATAGAAGTGCAGGGCCTATTTTCAGGTGCTATGTTAGGACACTTTCGTGGGTCAGAACTTGCGTTTCCACTCACGCTTTTTCTTTTACATGGAAGTGCAGGCTCAAAACAAGTCCTCAAGAATCTAGGGTTCGTGAACAAATCCTGCAATTGTCGTGGCGAGGGGCACCCTTGGCAACCTCTATGAAAGGAGGCGGTCGTACATTCCAAGTTTCTTTTCTTTTTTTTTAAGACAGGGCTTTCCCCAGAAAAAGACGGTCGAGGGAGTTCCATCTTAGAGGGACCTCTGAGAGCACGGACATCCAGAGTGTGTACCAACTTCAAAAAGGACAGCCACGCATGGATCGGACCGTCAGGATCTTTCCCATTGGGGAGCCCATCCAAAAGCAAAACAAGGTTCTAGGCACCCGAAGCAACAGGAACTAGTGCCACCGTCTTGGCTCTCATTGACAACATGTTGGATGCCCATGGTTTCATCGTCAAGCAACAAGTGCTCCAATTGATTACCCCTTTCACACATACATATTCAAGCAGCCTCCTTGAGCTGCCCCATTTCAAGCATAAAAGGGGAGCCCGCATCAAATCCTTTTTTGTCAAAACACCCCCCATGTCACAAATTCGCACCCCCTCCCCCCCCCAAAAAAAAAAGTGTACCTGTCGAATCCCTGACTTCGTTTCGTTCCCTTCACAGTTCGCTCATGTTGTGTTCCCACGAATCCAATTCGCTTCGTTCCCTTCCTTCCCTGCTCCCCCGCGCGGCGAGCCGCCTGGTACATGGCCATCTTCAGCTCGGCCACGGACCGCTCGAAATCCTCCAAGCTGCACCGCGCCCGCTCCTACGGGAGGCCGAGCAAAAAGTCCCCGGCGCGGATCCGGGGGTGAGGAAAGCTCCTTGTTATTCGCAACCCATGGAAATGCCTGTTTTGGCCGTTTGTTCCTTTCCGGAAAAAAAAAATAAATATTAAAACTCCCGCCAAAACGGTGCCCCCAAAACTCCCCGGATCCGCGCCCATGGCCTTTCCGCCCATGGCCCCTCCGCCGTCCTCCACGGCTCCCGCGCAGGCGCTGGCCGCGTTGCGCCGCAGGGCCTGCGACATCAGCGCGGAGTAGTTGGCGCCGAAGGCCTCCGGGCCTGCCGAAACCGCGTCCGAGATCCGGGTGGTTCGCTAGGAACACCACACAAAACGTACCACCAGTCTCTGGGTCAACCAAAAGTGTGGCATCGCAAAAGAAGCGGAGCGTGACCGCTTTTGGGCCAATGGTTGGAGGCCGGTAGCCCAAGACGGGTCCCGAGAGAGCCTCTGAAGGAACTGAGTTTCCGAAGCGAATGCAAACCATTCCACAGACAATCTGGGTGAATTATAGTATCTCACCAACCTGAAATAAGGTGGTTGAGGGGATATTCCCCACATAAACCACCATTTGGGGTGAGGTCGTGTGAGGTCGTTGTAATTCACCCAAAGAAATGTGCTTTCCCTCCAACGACTGTTGAGGCCAACTAAGCCAACTCCTCTCAGGCAACCCCTAATTGGTTGGAGTTGGGCTTGGATTTGAATCCCTGGTTCTTGTAGAGGCTAAATGGGAACCGCCTGCTTAACCACCAAGCCACCAATCCAAACCACCAACTAATAGAGCTACCACAGTTGGGCCTGATATAGTACCAAAGGAAAAAACATACTCAGCATCTGGACACAAAAGGAAAAAAAGGAGAGGCACGTTCAATCGAAACAGTGACTCCCAAAGACATGGTTCAGTGAACCCGCCCTTGTGATACCAGAGTGGATCATCTCCAAGGCTACAGTTGACTCTCTCAGTTTTGCCACCAGACCAAGGCGAATTGGATTACTTGCTGGTGCGATCGGCAGGGAATGAGGAATGGAATGTTCATTCCCGCATTCCCTACTTATCGCACAGCAGGCTGATGAAGACAAAAAGAAACGATCAAACCAACCAACCAAACAACCAACCAACCAACCAACCAACCAACCAACCAACCAACAAACAAACAAACAAACAAACAAAAAACAGAAACAATCAAATAAATAAATAAATAAATAAATAAATAAATAAATAAACAAACAAACAAACAAACAAACAAAAAAAACAAACAAACAAACAAACAAACAAACAAACAAGCAAACAAGCAAACAAACAGAAACCAGCGACTCTGCCGCCGCGCCAGCACCGGCGCTCTTGCCGTCGATGAACACGCCCCAGAGCCTCGCTTCAGCGAGCGCTTCAGCGAGCTTGGGAACGTTCTGGGCTGGTGAACTAAATACGTGGTTGCTGTTGACCCCCCCCGCAAAAAGTTGACAACTTGTTGAATTGGTTTAGTGGAAAACGCAACTTGATTTCCCAACAAGTTGAAGTCTAAAGATCCAACCCAATAGCAGTCAAGAATAGGGTCCCCAACCCAAAAGGTTGGTTTCCCTAAGATGATTGTGTGGTTGGTCGGTGTCCCCACCACAATTCTTCTTGCTGGTGCTCAATAGAAATTAAGGCAACGATCCTTGTGAACCATCCCTTGTGGTTTCCTTTGAGGGGACCCCTGGGTTCATTCCCACATTCCCTACTGAGTCTTGGTGGTCCCCTAAAATGCGTGGTTTCCTGTTGGTGTGCCCTTCAACACCAGCTTTGAGAAAGAAACGCGTAGCGGTCTGAGAGAACCAAATCAACCAATCGTCTGGTTGTTCGTCCGCTAACATGCCCCCTGCGAAATCCTGCACCACGGAAATCATGATTGAAACCATTGTTTGTTGGTATTTACAGGGGGATTATCATTCCAGGGTTTCTTAGGTGTTGGCACCACTTGGGATAGATGAAACCCTGAAAGGTTGACTTTGTCCATCCATATGTATGAATCCTGAGTTCCTGTTGAAGGCTTGCCAGCCTACGAAACGACCGAACCTGATCTGGGGAGAAACTCGGTATTTGCTTCTCTTCGACTGTAAACCCTCACGAAGGATCCTTTTTTGAACTTATTCATCAACCAGGGGTTGATTAATCCTGAGTCAACATGTTCTGGAAAATCGCTTTAGTTCATACAGACTATAGGATTGGAGTAAACTCAACCTCAACTGTTATCTTAACGGACTACAAACTGTTTACAATTTGTAATTTTACAAATTAGTTACGAAATACTTAGGATTTGTTGTACATTCTGGAAGGTCAACCAAAAAACAACTTGCAAATCTGAACTAGACCTGCGAAAGATTGGTAAATACAGCTTTACCAATTCTGGCTCCCACAGAGTCTAAGATGAGGTACCGCTATGGTACCCCTCAAAATGAGGATTCTTTTTGCGTCCCAAACTCAAGATAACAATCTCATCCCGCGGACAGACCCTCAACCTCTCCCTCCTTTTGCCCCAGCCACGGCGTCTCCGGGCAGCGCTGCGTCCTTGGCGTTGCGACATGGCCCCCGCCTTTTGATGGATGGCTATGGCTGAATGGAGGGGCCAACTTGGGCGTTCCTTGAGTTGCCCCCGTGCTCTCGGGTTTTCTAGAAAGAAGAAGCGGAAAGCCATTGAAGGGCGGTACCCCTGACACACGTCCATGGAACGTGGCACCGGATCCCAGTAAAGTGACCCAAAGGACGTCAGGATGATCCACAGCTTTTTGGGTGGGAGGGTGATAGACTTTCATGGTCCTTGCCCGAAGCCGAAAAACGAACGTCACGAAGGTGACGAAGGGTTGCAATGGCTCCTCTCTCTTTCCATAGACTAGCAACTCGTACTCAGAAGGAACCTGGAGGGTACCTGGAAGACCGATTTGCGTAAGGGACCGCCCTGTCAGGTGCCGTTTTAGTGGACCGGAGTGTATCCATCTTGAATTCACAGACGGGTAGAAGGAACCCCTAGAGACATTCATCACGGGCGAATCGAGCGGTGAGCTTGTAAGTTGCCAGAGCTATACACACACCGGGTCCTGGTGGGATGCGGAACCCGCCGGAAACTCACCAACCCAAGCTCGCCGCAAGAATGGGGCACGGATTGAAGGAAACCCTCGCCATGAGGGGCTTTCAATCTCCAGACCTTAAACGAGTGTGTCTCAAACATAGGGTAACCCCAAAAGGGCTTGCCCTGGTAAATGGAGAGGACATTCAATCCTGCGCTTCAATTCCTGGCAGTGACTAATTTGGAGTCACAGATGCAACTGGCACCTTGCTCTTGCGCCCCTTGCTTTGAATCCCAAGGCCCCTGTGGCAAGCCTTCGTGCCACCTTGGAATTGCCTTCGTGTTCTCGTCTGGTCATGAAATTCTTGCCAGCTCGGCACTGTCACATCATTTGGTATACCGGTGAGTCCATGCGCCCCTCGCAACTGCAAGCCGCGAGTTTCAGCGACAAACCGCAAAAACAGGAAGCGGCAACTCCTGCTTGTCTGATGTCGCTTCTTCCTCTCACTTTCCCCAAGGATCCTGGTTTGGTTGGAGGGTTTAAGACAAAGCCATCCTCTTGCAAAGGTAGCGGCAATCTTTTGGGACCCTGACTCGAAAACAATCCAACGAAACGCCGGCAACCATAAGCTTTCCCCGAGCGGCTCCGGCCCCCCGGCCCCCCGCCGGCCCCGGCCCAGCCGACAAATATCCGCTGCGAGGCGCTTCTTTGAGCGCTGCAGCAGCGACGCCGCCGACAGCTCGTGCCCCTCCGCAAGGAAAGCCGCGAGGCAAAGGGCAAGCTTCATGGCGCCAGGGAAAAAGTTGCGTTCGTCTGGAGCACGTAGAAGATGGTGACGCGCCAAAACACGGAAATGGAGTGTGGGCCTTTGGGTCGTGGATCATCGCAAAGCGCGATGGCCTGGTTTACACGGGGGATCTTCATGGCAGGGATCGCGGGGAACTCCAACGATGCCTAACAAACACCTACGCGCGCAAAGCGACGGGGTTCGCTCTCTGATAAGGTTGGAAGCGTGACTCGAGCCATGCGCACGGAGTTCGGTGGACAGGTCTCTTTAAGCTGGCGGCAGTCTGCCAAAACCCGGAAGAGCGTCAACCGCCAACATGTCCGCTGCAAGCCTTCTGCGAAAACACGGGCCCAATCCCAACAGGGTCCCTCAAAGAATGCAGATGGCCCCTCAGCGAATCACATGTTCCACCCCGTTGCAAAGCGGCTGGTTTTTGGATGTTTCCTTTAAGGACACTTGTGACCCAAGTCTGTGCACAGAAGTGGAAAGGCTCCCCCTTGGACTGCCAAAGGCCGTGCAAAAATATTGCTAGTGAGATCGAGACCAAAGCGATTCATCTGCCCCAACTCGCCTCCTTGAAAGCCCAATTGGTTTGTAGTGATACTGTGGGACGAAATCCTGAGGGTTGAAACCATATCGTTTGTTGGTATTTACAGGGGAATCGAATCATTCCAGGCATTCTGAACGGTGGTGCGGTTTAGATTTCGCCACCATCCACAGTATCCCTCGGCCCCTGAAGGCCTCTGGCGCCGTCGGCCCCCTCAGCTCCCAGTTTCCCTCCAAGCGGCAGGAATTGGCGGGCCATGGCAAGAAACGGAGCCTCACCTTTGAACACCTGGAGACACAGAACACCCAATGCATCGGCCCACAGCCAAAGGGAACGCAACACAACCCAAACGCTGTGTCAACGGATGGCCGCCCCAAGGGCCCGTTGGGCGGACCCGGTTTCAACCGGAGGCACCGGTTTTTTCTTTTTCTGCGCGAAAAACCCACCTGAGACTTTCCCTCACCAGTCCCATGAACATCAAATCATAGTGAGTCCTACTCAAACCCCCGGTCTCAAAAAATCGTCGCCATCCCGACAAGAAGGCGGCGAAGGTACCCATTTTTCTGGCTCCTGTCGCCATCCCAGCGCGCATCCCAGCGCTTCACTCTTCAGGACGCTCCCTTTTTTTTCCGCAGGCGGCGAAGGTACCCAAACGCCGGGATCATCTTCCTCTCCTCGCTCAGCCTTGCGCCACGGGCAGGCGCTCTTGAAAAAAACCAGCGGTTCAGCGGGAGGGGAACAACAAACATCCAGCATCCCGATTTTTTCCACTGGTTTTCAGATTTCATGGGATTTGGGTATGTCTTTGCTTGAGCTTTTATGCCCTTTTGTTGTGGGTTTCAGGGCAAACCAACAGGAAGACCACCATTTTGGGGGGATCACCTAAAACAAGACACACCCATTTGCGTGCGGATACTGCTTCAACCAGTGCTTCCAGTTGCCATGAAGGGAAGCCGCTGGATTTGGCGAACTGGATGACTTCCTGGCTGCGAGCACCCAGAACATCTGGTTGATACTGTAGATGGACGAAATCCTGCACCACGGAATGAAACCATGGTTGAAACCATATCGTTTGTTGATATTTACAGGGGAATCATCACTCCAGGGATTCTGAACGGTGGTGCGGTTTATGGATTTCGCAACCATCCACAGCATGAACGCTCTGCCACTTAGCTGGCCCCCGCGAGTCATTGAGTTCATACGTCTAACCATTGTTTGTTGGTATTTCCAGGATATCAGCTGCGCCCACAGAGGCCCCGTGCGAACTTGAGTGAGTGAGTGAGGCATTTCCAGGGGCATTGTTGCGGGCAACCGGTCCAAATTCGAGGCGACCCGCGAGATCGAAAACGAGCGGAGCGCCGCCTTGGGACTCTGAAGACGAAAAGCGGACGAGCCAAAAATCAGGCGAAGACTAAAATGCTGCCGAAGAGGAAATTGAAGACAAACATGTGGCGGCAAAAGCGAAGCCCGCACTACGCTACAAGCCAGCCAAGAGTGCGGCTTCTCTGAGAGGCTCTGAAAGGACCACTCCGGACAGTCTTTCTTCGTCTGCAACGAAAGTGCCGTCTGCAACTTCAAGAGGGACGTGAAACGAAAGTGAGAAACGAAAGAGAGTCCTTTAAGGCTTCCCTATGCCGCGAAAGAAACCAAAAAAAAAAACGAGTTTCAAGGCACAAAGCGAGCTTCAAGGCGTCCCCTTCGGAGCCTTCGAGCACCGGCCAGCGAAGCCCCCAGGAGTTGACCTCATTGGGTTGAAGCGCTCATTTGGACCGTCGGGCCGGCTGGGTCGCCTGGAGTTGGGTGTTCCAAAACAATGCCCTTTCGGTGCCCCGCGAATTTGTCAACCACTCCGAAATCCGTTTGGAGAAACTCCCGTGTCCAGCTCGCCGGAACAGATCGCCGGCTCCGAATGTCCGCAACCTCTTTGGAGGGAGTATAGGGAGGCCAATGGCCCCAGTGGCTAAAGCATGGTGCAAAGTCATTGCTTTGTTGCGGGGACAAATACTCAATCTGCCGAATTTCGATTTTAGAGCAACTCTCAATCGGTGCAAAGATCCGCGATGGCTGGGAAAATGATGTTCCACGTGTTTTTTTGTTTTGCTAGTTTTGTTGGGGAACTGCATCGGGAGAGAACCTAAGGCTTTTCACGGAGGTTCTCAGACCCCCTTAGAAGGGCTTCGGAGAAGGCGCTTCTTACAAGAGCTTCTCAAAAGCCCACAATACTGTGGATGGTTGCAAAATCCATAAACCGCACCGCCTCAGAAACCCTGGTTTCGGATGATTCCTCTGTAAATACCAACAGACGATATGGTTTCAACCATGGTTTCCAAGTGGTGCAGGAATTTGTCCATCCACAGTCTCTCTCTGGGCTGGGCGCGCTTTTTGGGAGCCACACGGCTGCACTGTACAAAGCCACGGCCCTCGACAGGCTCTTGCTGCTTCCTGGTGGTTGGCAAGCTGCAACGCCAACCGAAATAAATCCCAACATATCGCATTCTGCGCCCGAGGGCGAGGTTCGATTCGATATTCCTATCGAGGGTGCAACCAGAAGCTGGCTTTTGTCTGAGGGAATCCTCCATTTGCTTGTTCGTCCCCTGGAAAAAAGTGATAACATATGGTCCAGTAGTGATTCCTTCCCTCCAAAAAAGGGGAAACTCGACATATTCTGGCATTCCCTCAAAAAAAGCAGGGCAAAAACACTCCTGAAAAAAAACAGCTGCTGCCCCAAAACAGCCTACTTGAAGCCGTCCATCCGAATTGGAGGATTTTGTGTCGCTGGACATAGACGTCAGTTGCGTTGCATTAAAAACTCCCCCACTCCCCCCCACTTCCCCTAGAGGGACATCCCCCTATAAATGAACTGGGGTTGATTCATTTGGGGTCAACATTGTGATTGAACCTTTGAGAGCATCTTGAGACCTTCGTTGCGAGCGCTTCAGGAACTGAACTACGGGCATAAGACTTCACTCGCCTTGTCCCCAAGGTCGCCGAGATGCGGACGGAGACGCGACTCGCCGAGGCTTCCTTTAAGGAAGTGCCTCAGGAACTACGCCTTGTGACAACGCTGTTGGCGGGGAGCATCTTGGTCGCGAGCCAAAGCGCTGACGGCAAACTTAGGACATGGGGGATTTGATGTGCGCTCAAACAAGACTGGTCGAGATCTATCAGATGTCCCGTACGACAGAAACAGGCCCCTCTGGCTTTTCGGCAAATGGATCGGTAGATCGCCAGCACTCGGAAAGCGGCTCGGCCAATTCAAACTGCAACCAGCCGAATTGAACGCCTCACAAGCGCTGCATCTTGTGCTCAATGCCTTCGCAGCACGAAAAGAAACGAAGCCATTCACCTGAGAAGCATCCAAACTTTTCGCCCTTTCGTGCACATGTTGCCTTCAATCGATCTCTGGATGTCGTGCCACAATTCTCTTTTGACGTCTTTCAGCCCAAAGCCGGTTGGAAAAGAATTCAAATGCGGATATCCGAGCCTATTCATCAGACTGTCCCTGCTCACCTGCATCTACCCAGGCTTGTGCCTACATAACTTATGTATATATATATATACATAACTCATATATTATACACACCTGTTTAAGCATGTTGGTAGAACCAAAAGTCAATCGCCTGCTTCTTTAGGCTGGACAAATCAGGGCCTTTTTTTTGTGGGGGAGTTGGTACCCTTTTCGGCTTGGTTTAGCGGGAAACAACGAACGGAAGAACGCCATTTTTCAGCTTAAGCTGAGTTGTCCTGGAACCTCACTGGGTTCGTTTCTCGGGGTGCCCTGAATACCGGGCTACTGGGCGATCCGGGCTATCAGATCCGCCAAACGTCGAAAAGCGGTGTGGGTTGAATTCGTGGACATTGCCCGCTCGAACAACGCAAACAGGGATCCTTACACTATACACCTGAACATTGCAACTTGTGAATGGTGGTTTCCAACTTTATTTTGGTGGAAAAAGCCACATGTGTCAAATGGTTGCAAAATGGAGATCTTTTAAGGAGCCCTGGTAAAACCCTAAAAAATGCAAGCAAACGGATGGCCGGGAACCAGCAAGTCACTCCATCCGAGTCTCGCTATGTATTTTCTCCGCTTTTTGCGCGGGAAACTCCAAGGTTACAGTAAAAAGTGATTGCATGGGGGTGTCTTTTTGTTGATGGTACCTCAGTTAAAGCCGCTGGTTTCAACTTAAAGTTGTTTGGCAGGGGTGCTCAAAATTACTTGGGAGTTCTCACTCCGAAAGGGGTAACTTTGTCTTCAGGGGACTAAGCCTGAAGGTAGAAAATGGGTCGTGTTCAACTTGTGAAGAATCTTGGTATCTCAAAATGGTTGTCCCAAACCTTCCAAAGGTCCGATGCGCCCCTTGTGCAATGGAGGGTCTTCTTTTTTCGGTCCATATGGGTCTGTATTTTGGGGAGTGGGTACCGCTTATTTTGTGGTGTCTAAAGGGAAACCAAAAGGACAACCACCATTTGGGGGGTCCCAAAAAAAAGGACACACCCATATAAGCTCGGTCAAACCCTTCTTGCTCTGTGGGATTCAGGACGTGGCGGCAGAAATGCCACAAGGAGAGTCTCTCTAATTTCCCACGCCCATTTGGGGGGCAGTTATGTTTTGGGCAACTGTGTTTTGGGCCTTGCTTTTTCACCCCATGAAACCTCGAACCATCTACTTAAATGGCCCGTGTTGAAACGGGGCACTCATTTGAAACCAGGAAATCTTGAACATCTGGGATGCACTGAAAAGCTCTCATAGTTTTTGGCTCTGCTCTGTCTTATCGACCCTGGCTTGCGTGAAAAACCACAGGAAAAGAGGAAACGGCTTCCCCTTAACCAACAAGGGGGCTCCCTCAAGAAAGACAAGCCATACGGTACAGGGACGAAATCCTGGTTGCTGATTCGACTCCCCAATGTAAATACCTGAACACCTTAGCAAATCGTTTCAACCCATGATTTCATTTCGCGCAAACAGATTTCGCAACCATGCACAAGCAAGGCCGGTCCGGACATTGGTTCGGGAGGCTTTGTGGGATGCTTCAAGCCGTAAAACAACCAGCCACATGAAGCTTGTGGCCCTGAAGCAGTTAGTCCAAATTTGCTCTTATTTGTTTCACTGTTGCTCCATCAATAAACCAAGACATCCCAGATCGCCCCGGCTCCGCGGCTCCGCGGCTCCCCGCCTCAGCCGAAGGCCGCGGGCGGGCAGCCCGGCTGCAGCGTCCGCGGGCCCGAGAGCGGCGTCCCATTTCCGCCCGGGCGCCCCGCCTCGAGCGCCCGGGCGTCGCAGGCGGCGCTGTGGCCCCTGCGCGCTGCGTGGGCTCGGCCCAGCTCCCCCGCAAAAACCCAGCCGTCGTGCTCGGCCAACTTCCAGACCCAAAACATGGACATACCAACCCAAATGTGTGGCACATGGGCTTTTCTTGGCCTATTTGGGGTAGGTACAGGAAAATGGCCAACCCGCACCAACCCAAGATGTCCTGTTGACGTTCCTGTGGTTGCTTAAAGTGACATTGGCTATGATTATAATTCAGGGACCAGCCCCACGTGAGCTGGAAGAAGATTAATCCCCATTAAAGGGCGGATTCCTTTTGAATTCCCTTGAAACAAGCCCCATATTATGATGCGCAGACAAAACTCAACACCAGAATCTTCACTAGGTGAACTGATATTTTTGCTACCTCCGGAGCCGACCAGCAAGGGCCCGCACACATCCGCTTGTAGCACCGGTTTGAAGTGAAATTCAAGGGGAAGGTAGTTGTTTGGGTTTGGCCGTTGTCAGCCTTTGTGTTTGGGCGCCTGGCCCAGTTGTTCCAGGTTGGGTGGGGCCCAATTGTCCGATGTCCGCCCGCCCAACCCTCCAGCGGCCTGCCCATACGTCTCCTGGCAGTCGGCGGTCAAACAAGGCCAATCACAAATGTGCTCTCGTTGCAGATCATACCTACACTTTTGGGCCGCTCGCGTGGCCAACGCGCCTTTCCCCCAGCCCTCAAACATCCCAGAATACCCTCTTCCTCGATATGCCAACGTCTGAAGTCTTGCAAGACCCTCAACCCTTGAAACATCCTCGATTCTAGCCACAGGCCTGGCTCCCAAAAGGCCTGCAACACCCGTAACCTCTTCCGCAGGGGCGGCAGAATTGGAACTGTGGCAAAGCCAGTTCTTGAAAACAAAACCCTCCGAGCTCCTTCATTTATCCATGGCTGTGTCTTAATGCGAAGGCCGGACGGCGTTTAAAGGTTTGTCTTCGGCCGGTTCCCCAGCCCTCTGGAGATGGCACCCACAAAGGCGTTGGCATTTTCAAACTGGGGATGGATCCGACTGACCCTGCAAAGACCTGCGAAAGGGACCGCTTGTGTGATGAAGGGACAAGCAAGGTACATACAAAACGGCAAACAAATCATAGCGGTTTTGTGCGTGTGTGCCTCGCGCGCGTGCGTGCTTGCCTGTGCGCGCGCGTGCGCGCACGCGCGCGCGAGCCCGCCCGTGCGGCTACGGGTATGGGTCTGGGCGCTGCGCGCACGGCGCGTGGGCGTGGGCGCGCGCGCGCGTGAGCGTGCGCACGTGCGTGTGCATACGCCTGCACGTGTGCGTACGCGTGCACGCGTGCGAGTGTGCGTCGAAATTGGGACCCCTAAAAAAGTTCAGGTCCCTTCCAAGGGTTCTCCCCAAACAAGATGCAACCGTTTTGGGGAAGCTACGGTGGACGCCTCTGTCATATTGCAAGCATGCCCATCACCCAACGCAGGACACGCAGTGAAAGCGGTCAGAAACCGGTCGCTCTGGCGACCACTCCGGACCATGGTCTGGAAGTCATTCTCGATTTGCACGGACTTGGCGGTGATTTGCGGACCTCTTCCCGGTACTGGCCAGCCGTCCCCGATGTCGCTTGCACACTGTGGCGCAGCTCCAGGTTTAACGAGTCAGCAGCTGGGCGCTCTAGCGCAGCTGCTGCTGGCTGACGCATTATCGGGTACTGAGCCGAAACGCGACGACGCAAGCGACCAAATCTGCGACGACACAAGCGATCCTCCGACCCAAGCACTCTCAACACAGTGGTAAGTTACAGTACACAGTTACAGTACACATGAGAGTTCCCTTGTTCCCTTACTTGCAAATATGGGCATCCCCTGTACCCCAGCACAAAATGCCTTGGGGGAGTATTTGGTGCCCTTTGCAGGGTTTTGTTTTCTAAGGGACGCCAAGAGGAATCCCACCATCCTTGCGTGTTCGTCACTCATTTTCAGCACCCATGTTGGGTGTGTCGTTTCTTGAGGGTACCCCTTTTGGTTGGTGTCCCGGGACACCAAGAGGAACACCTTACCATTTCGTGGGGTCCCCTAAAAAGCAACACCTATGTTGGGCCTCCAAACCGCCCGCGTCCGGCCAGACTCCTGCCCAAGTCGTGGTGCGCACAGCCCCCGCAGCAAGCGGAGTAGTGCCGCAGCCGGAAGCAGTGCAGCAGACCCTGGCCTCCAGTGGGTGCCGAGGCCAAAGAAAGCAAGACCAAAACCAGAAACCAGCGGTCCTGTTGGGGGTTCCTTGTTGGTGTTGTCTTGGAGATTGTTGGGGGTGTCTTGTTTTGTTTTTGTCAGGGTAAATCAGGGTTTCTTGGAGCTCCCTGAAGTTTCTCGAAGGCTTGCCGGGTTGTCCCTGGTGTTCGGGTGTTCTTGGACCTTGTTTTGCTTGGTCGATTCGGCTTGTAGGCTTGTAGGAAGGAGTCAACTTGCTTTGTTTGTTTGCTTGCTTGTTTTTGCTTGGTTGGCTAGCTTGTTAGCAAGTGAGTTTGTTTGTTTTTGGTTTGTAGGTTTATTGTTTGTTTTGCTTCTTTTGTATGTTTGTCAATCGTTGTTTGGCCTTCTTTCAAATAACCCTTCTTTGGTGGTTTGATTGGTTTTCTCTTCGTTTTGAACCCCTGCTCTATGAGGTTCCAGGTAAATCTGCAGGAAGCATGCGCTCAGTTCCCCTCCCCCCAAACCCAATCTTAACGCAAGCCCGAAGAGCTCCTGGGAAAGAGGGATCCTTACATTATACACCTGAACATTGCAACTTGTAAATGGTGGTTTCCAACTTTATTTTGGTGTTGAAAAAGCAACATGTTTCAACTGGTTGCAAAATGGTTTGATCTTTCAAGAAGCCCCCAAGAAACCCTGATTTACAGAGCCCCGAGCCCTTAGAACCCCAAAGATTCCAAGAACCCTTCGCGCCCAAATTCGCCACGGGGCGGGTGCTGGGGTGCAGGGATCTACCGCAGCGGCAGCCGGTGCTGAAGAGCCGATCCGCCGACCGCAGCCAGGCCGCAATCTCTGCCTCGAACTTCTCCTTGCGAGGGCTGGCTGTGGTTGTCAAATCCGTTTTGGGATCCCATTTTGGTTGGGATTGGTGAATTCGCCACCCATTTTAGAACCTATTTTAGTGGGGATTGAGATGTTCACTGGGGGTACGGGCTTTTGACCCATGGCCATGGCTCATACTGTGGATGGCTGCGAAATCCGCGAGTCTCGCACCAGCGTGAAAAGACACCCTGGAACGATTCGATTCCCTGGTAAAATACCAACAAACACTGGTTTCAACCATGGTTTCAAAGTGGTGCAGGATTTCGTCCATCCACAGTGTGAGTGTGTCTCACACTGGTGGACCCCTAAACATGGTTGGTAGTTTCAGGGAAGCCGAAAGGAAACCAGCCGTTTCAGAGGACCCACTGTGTTGAGAAACCCAAATTGATGGCTTGGAGGATAGGAAACCAGGAAAAAAAACATTCGGGGGTTGATCAAAGGTCCGTGATAGGATGACTTTCCTTTGGCCTCTGCCACATGGGGGTTGATCAAAAGGTCCGCGATACATAGGATGACCGTTGGTTGCAAAACCCCTCAAAAGATTTGATATTTCAACCACTCCTTGGAAAAGTTACCCATGGTCATTTGGGGGCCCTAAATGGAATATCGATTGGCTTCTTCGGACGAAGAAGTCAGGCAAAAAAAAACAGAAAACCCAAAAAACAACGGCAGAGATAAAGTCCCCTTTGAAATCCATGAAAAGTCTGCAAATGGAAGGCTCCTGTAAAACAGCCAAAAAGGGTGCCAAGAGTATTCCCCTTTAAAAGTTGCTCAACACTAAAACCATCGATCCACTTTTGGAGCTCTCAAAAAGCGGGGAATGGCTCGGAAACCGACGCAACTCCCCCTTCTTTCCGGAGACAAACCGGAAAACGGCCCCCCTCTCCCCCCCCCCCAAAACCATCCCCCAAAACCACCACCCAACCCCCAACCTCGAATCAACCCCTAGACTTCCATTTGCTTGAGCCCCCTAGAAAAGATACAAAAGTAATCAATTTCCTTCAAAACCAACAAATGAACATGAACAATATGTTCATTTCAGCGAATGGAAGTCGAAAGTGGCTCCTCCAGGACCTGCTTCGACACCATCACGTCCGGCCATTGGAAACTCTGCCGACCCGATGCCAGCTCCACCTCCACAGACCGCGGCCGGATGCGCGCCACGCGCCCCGTGACCCGCTCACCGTCCACCGAAACCTCCGGCTTTTGGAGCGGCGCGCGAACGTGACGAAATTTATATGCGTTGATATACACGGATACATCTGCATCATGTACATATATATATATATATTATATGTATACATGTATCCATACGGAGTGTCTTGTTTTGAAGGGAATCCGAAACTGCGGCGATCCTTCTGGCTTCGCTTGTAAAACCAACCAAACAAGGCCCGAAAACGAGAGACCTCTCAAAAAGACACAACCATGGAGAGAGGCAGAGAGAAACGGAAACAAAAAGAGGGAGGGAGAGAGAGAGAAAGGAGGAAAGACAAAAAATGGCTTCAAAGCCACAATTGACATCTCAGGATTGAATCTTGCAAATGACCCGCAATCTCCGCGAGTTTTATGTCTACAGTAGTATGTGTGGGCTTCATCTGCTGTCGCAAATGATTTCCCCCGTGTTCATCGTCTGAATTCACCACATGGGTTCTGGAGACCCAAAAGCTGGAGTAACAGAAGCACCCACACCCATGTGAACACAGACACGAACAAACCGAAAGCAAAGACAAAGAGAAAGACGCCCAGACAGAAACAGAACAAAACAAAACAAGACAAACCAAACAAAACAAACCAAATCAACCAAACTAAACTAACAAGAACAGACAGACAATCCAAAGCAAGGCAAACCAAAACAAAGCAACACGACAACATACCAACAAAGCAACCAAACAAGCCAAACAAAACAAAGAAGCAAAAAAATACGAAAAGGAACCTGAACAACACAAAACAAGCAAACAAAAAAAGTCAATCAATCAATCAATCAATCAATCAATCAATCAATCAATCAATCAATCCATCAATCCATCAATCCATCAATCCATCAATCCATCAATCCATCAATCCATCAATCCATCGATCGATCGATCGATCGATCGATCAATCAATCAATCAATCAATCAATCAATCAATCAATCAATCAATCAATCAACCAACTCAAATCAATCAACTCAACTCACTCACTCACTCACTCACTCACTCACTCACTCACTCACTCACTCACTCAATCAATCAATCAATCAATCAATCAATCAATCAATCAATCAATCAATCAATCAATCAATCAATCAATGAATCAATCAATGAATGAATCAATCAATCAATCAATCAATCAATCAATCAATCAATCAATCAAACAAAAAAAACAAACAAACAAACAAACAAACAAGCGAACAAACAAACAAGCAACACAAACACACAGACAAACAGACAGACAGACAGACAGACAAACAAACAAACAAACAAACAAACAAACAAACAATCAAAACAAAGCAAACAAAACAAACAACCATCACAACATAACACAACACAACACAACACAACACAACACAACACAACCAGCACAAACAAACACAAAACAACACAAACACACACATACACACACACACACACACACACACACACACACACACACACACACACCATCCATCCGAATAGAAAACAAAACAACACCGAAATAGCGCAAAAACAAAACAAAACAGAACAAAGCAAAACAAATAGAACCAACAAACAAAATAACACACAACACAAGCAAACAACACAAACAAGCAACCAAGCAACCAAACAGAGCAAACAAACACAACAATACAAGAGTGCACAACCAAAACAAACGAACGCGCGAAGAACCAACCAAACAATCAAAAAAATAAAGAAATGAACAAACAACACAAACAAACAAACCAACAAACAAAGAAACAAACAAAGAAACAAACAAAGAGACAAAGAAACAAAGAAACAAACAAACAAACAAACAAACAAACAAACAAACAAACAAACCAAATAACGAACGAACGAACAAACGAACGAACTAACTAACTAACTAACTAACCAAGCAACACGGAACAAAGGGCAAAAAAAAACCTAAACAAAACAAATAGAATTAATAAAAATACAACAACACCAACTACGCAACACAAACAGAACAAACAATCCAAATGACAACACGGGTGTTTTCCAGCTTCTCGCCCTCTGGCTTCCACGCTCCGCGCGGCCGCGCCTGCACCGCTTGGTCCAGCTTGGCGGTGGCCTGGGTGAGTTGGAGCTCCAAGGGCGCCGAGTGCAGCTCGTGGGCCTTGGCGAGGAAGTCCCCCACCTCGTCCCTCGGACGGACGCGGAGTCGGAGTCGGAGGCGGAGTCGGAGTCGGAGTCGGAGTCGGAGTCGGAGGCGGTGTTGGGCGTTTTGGGCGAATCCGGGTGGGTGGAAAAGCAACATCCGTGGCGGTTCGCGTGGTTCGGAAAGGTCGTGAAGCTCAGGCGACCCAGTTGGAAGGCTTGGAAACCGAAGGGCAACACCGAAAAGGCGCGATATGTGTCCTTCTCTCCTTTCTTTTTCTTCGGGGGGGTCCAACCACCCGGGTTCGCAAGGAAAGTTCACATTGTGCCATTCCTTGTACAGACTATGGATCCCCATTCAATGTTCATGCGTGTCTGCCCTTTTGGAAGGGTAGGCTGCTTTGGGTTAGTGCAAAGGGAAACCCAATGGCAAACCAACATTTGCCAACATCTTTGAGGGGCCCTATGTTAAGAAAAACCCAAAAGTGTGGTTTGAAGAACATCCACTCACTTCAGGCCCACCCCCAAAAAAAAAAGTTTCGGATTGGTAGTCTGGATTTGGATTTGAACCCCTGGGTCTTGCGGGTAAATGGGAAACCAGCCGCCAATCTACACCAAGTGGGAAGCTGAGAACCGAAGAGTTCACTCGATGGTTGAAGCCTTGGGCAAGTCCCTTCCAATCATCTCCAATCCGTTGGCAAACAACAAAGTTCATGCCCAGAAAATCGTGGGGGGCTCCAAACACGAAGGTTCCTTCCAGGTGGGGGGGGGGGGGGGGTTTTAGCTTGGTCGGCCTGGCCGACCAACATGTAGAACATGTTTTCTGGTTACCCGGTTACCCTCCGACGTTGCCATGGCACCTGAACCTCGAGGGTCTCTTGAGGAAAATTGATCTTCGATGCGATTTGTCAGTGAGAAGGGTAGTCAAAGGAACCACCCAAAAAAAAGAGACACGTTGCTGTGAAGGCTAACGGAGTCGCCCGATTTCGCTTTCCCTGCCCCCGCCGAGTTGAGTGATGACTTTCTGTTCACAGGGATCACTCCAAGTCCTCTCTTCGGAAACAAATCGAAAGTAGCCTTTTCGTTTCAGTGGAATCCTCCAGTAAAAATTGATCCAACGATTGATTGGGGAAAGTCCAGTGCCCCCGGATTCAAGCAAGGGATATCTCAGCCCCTGGTGGTTTTCACTGGTGGAAGCTTCGGGGTTTCGCATCTAGCCACCAAAAACCACCAGGGACCCGTTCAAATCCAAACCCAAACCACCTGGCTGCAAACCACCAACTCATTAAGGGTTACCTGAATCTGTACTTACTTTTACCTCAAGTAGTATGGTATATCTGCGCATCCATACCTCAACCCATAGAAATGATGCACAATCAAAACCTGGAGTTAAAATGGTCTACCCAAATCCGCGTGAGGAAATCACCGACCCGATTTCTGGCTGGGCCTCACTTGCATTTTGCCCATCAGTAGGACATCGTTTTTGGGGTTGGTGGTTGCGTTAGACTGTGAGTTGGGTTGTGGTTTGGGCCGCTTCGGATGGATGTTTTGGACGGATGCCTTACTTGGCAAATCACGAGAAACTGGACGTTCAAATCCCCGGCTGCCCATCTAACAAAACAACACACAAAAAATGAACCTGGGAAGGAAGACAAACTCAAATCCAATGGGAAAGTGCCCGAATGTTCAAGGGTGCCAAAAGCGGCGTCGCTCTTCCCTATCACACCTGAAGGAAACTCACCGGTTGGTCTTTCCAACGAAGGGTGTCGGTGTTGCATTCCTGTAGCATTTGTAGACCCCAGGTTGATCAATCGTGCGGATAAACTGGGGCCAGTCGCCCCCCAAACGATCCTCTCTTTAATTGACAATGCCTCCTTTTTATCAACCAGAGTAAACTAGGGGCTACACGGTGTATACTACTTTTGGAGTCCCTCAGAAGAAATTGTCCTTTAGTTCAAGCGAGACAAGCAAGAAAGGAAGGAAGCAAGGAAGCAAGGAAGCAAGGAAGCAAGGAAGCAAGGAAGCAAGCAAGCCAGCTAGCCAGCTAGCCAGCTAGCCAGCCAGCCAACCAGCTAGGCAGCCAGGTAGCCAGGCAGGCAGGCAAGATCGGAGCGTGTGCTACTTGACTTGATCTAACCTAAGCCTTACCTCTTTTAAACCTCTGCATAACCGTTGTTCAGGTGGGCTATGACCCCTTCACCGATTGACCAAAACTCAGAAACATCTCAAAGCAAGCAAACCAATTCGGTGCGCAACCCGGGCCGAGAACAATTCCCGTCGAATTGGATTCAGCCCAAGAGGAAGGCCGTAGACTGTGATTCCCGATGTCTGGCTTGGGAGAACAAACCAGCGGGTGGGCGCTTGCTTTGGGAGGGAGGGGGTTGTCAAAACAGCCTTGTACCGCCTTTTAAAGGGGATGCCCTTTTAATAGGACCCTAATGTTGACAAACCCCCCCCCCAAAAAAAAAAAACATCCCGGCTGCTCAAAACATTCGCCCCAAGGTCCTCCCCACTTGAGTCATCATCAACGCCTGGTACTAAAGTCGTCTACCCAAACCCACTCGAGAGGAACCAAATCCGGTGACTGCCCCCCCCCCTTTAAAAAAAAAAAGACCACCAAAACCCGGTACTACAGGAGCCCCAGTATGCAACGAGCCAACCCCGAATCTTTAGAACCAAAAGGGCTACACATGGGTCCCTGTCTGTTGGACTGCCCGAAACTGCCAACTGCTGAACTGGGCCGTCCGAGCTGATCCCCTACAAGCATAACTTGAAAGCCCCTGCCAAACCATCTTAAAAGGAAAAAGGCGTGTGTTTTTAAACATAAAACCTGGTGTGCTAGACACCCAAACCCGCCAGAATCCCAACCAACCGGAAGCTTCGCGGGTGGAAGCCGCCGCCAATCCCCGCCCTCGAGGCATCGATCGAGGCGCATGGCGCGCCAGCCGCGCAGCAGCTGCTCCGCGGGGCTGCCGCCGGAGAAGTGGTTCACCACCGGGTCCAGCAGCCTGGCGGAAACGCCACCGGAAAGCCACTCGACCGACTCGGCGCCCAAAACAAAAAGCCAGGAGAAAACTGGCGTATAAAAAACGGTGAGGTGGGTCATGGAGTACACCAAAGAAAGGAGTGGGCGATCTGAAAACGGCGAACACGGCGACTCGAGCTCGGGGACGAGGCACGGGTCCACTCGGCTCCAAACAAGAAACACAACCGGGAGACCGCGAAAATGGACATATGGGGAAGAAAAAAAAGTGAAGGGGACTCGACTAAAAAAAAAAAACACGTGAAAATGGAGGTAGGTATGGAGTACACCAAAGAAAGGAGTGGGCGATCTGAAAACGGCGAACACGGCGACTCGAGCTCGGGGACGAGGCACGGGTCCACTCGGCTCCAAACAAGAAACACAACCGGGAGACCGCGAAAATGGACATATGGAGAAGAAAAAAAAGTGAAGGGGACTCGACTAAAAAAAAAAAACACGTGAAAATGGAGGTAGGTATGGAGTACACCAAAGAAAGGAGTGGGCGATCTGAAAACGGCGAACACGGCGACTCGAGCTCGGGGACGAGGCACGGGTCCACTCGGCTCCAAACAAGAAACACAACCGGGAGACCGCGAAAATGGACATATGGAGAAGGAAAAAAAAAGTGAAGGGGACTCGACTAATAAAAAATAAACACGTGAAAACGGAGGTAGGTATGGAGTACACCAAAGAAAGGATTGGGCGATCTGAAAACGGCGAACACGGCGACTCGAGCTCGGGGACGAGGCACGGGTCCACTCGGCTCCAAACAAAAAACACAACCGGGAGACCGCGAAAATGGACATATGGAGAAGAAAAAAAAGTGAAGGGGACTCGACTCAAAAAAAAACACGTGAAAATGGAGGTAGGTATGGAGTACACCAAAAAAAGTATTGGGCGATCTGAAAACGGCGAACACGGCGACTCGAGCTCGGGGACGAGGCACGGGTCCACTCGGCTCCAAACAAAAAACACAACCGGGAGACCGCGAAAATGGACATATGGAGAAGAAAAAAAAGTGAAGGGGACTCGACTCAAAAAAAAACACGTGAAAATGGAGGTAGGTATGGAGTACACCAAAAAAAGTATTGGGCGATCTGAAAACGGCGAACACGGCGACTCGAGCTCGGGGACGAGGCACGGGTCCACTCGGCTCCAAACAAGAAACACAACCGGGAGACCGCGAAAATGGACATATGGAGAAAAAAAAAGAAGTGAAGGGGACTCGACTCAAAAAAAACACGTGAAAATGTAGGTAGGTATGGAGTACAACAAAAACAAAGGAAAGAAAACATTGGGGCCAACCAAACTCACACACCAACCCAAACCATCAACCTCCAAAAAACATGCTCCTACTGTGGATGTGCAAAAACAAAACGCAGCAGTTGGGATTCGTGGTTGATCAACCTTTAGGGTTTTTGTTTCTCGAATTTCCACCCACAGTGAAGGGAACTCATGAAAACTGTTCGCCAATATTCGACCCCTGGGTGTTCAGATCCTTTGAGTCGAATTGGAGTTGCGAAAGTCGACCCAGTCCGCCCGGCCCCTTTTTTTGAGCGGGGATTCAAGCGGTCAGCTAAACAGTCTGAATAAACATGGGTGTGGCTCAAAATTTACACAGGAGGGGTTACGCAGGTTTTGGTCCATGTTTCCACTTACCAGGGTTCCATTTTGGTACCGGTTTTTTGAGCCACAGCCACATGGGTACTTTGTTTCACACCGGGAAATGAACCCTTGCCATTTCCATGGCCCATTTTGATCACAAGGGGATTGCTCTAGTGAGATTCGGTTGTCTCTATTGAAATTGGTCATGAGGTGCACTAAACATGTGCTAAACGTCTCCTGCTTCCCCTCTAGCCGGCCAAGTGTTTACTCCCCTGCGAATTGGCATGCACAAAAAGGTGTCCAATCCCAAGAGGAGCGTCCATAACATCTGGTGCTTTTATGGGTTCCATGTCAATCTGTGGAGTAACTTTGTCTTGGCAGGTGGTGGGGGGTCGTTCGACCCAGGATCTTGGGGCAATCAAACATGGAGCCCTGATTTATCCCACTGTCTTTTAGGAAAATTGGCCAGTTTCTGTGCCCTTTGGCTACCCAATGGGACTGGGCTGTTCCCAGCTCAGAAAAGAGTCGAAAACTTTTGGTGGTCTAGTGGAAACTACCGCAAAACCAAAAACTCAAAACCAAAAAAAACAAGTTGGGATGGCTGGGTACCAGCAAGCTTTGGGGTTGGTTTGAAGGGAAAACAAAAGGAACCATATGATGTGTGGTGTCCCCCAATTTTGAGACATGTAAAACAAAAAACAGATCTCCACACCAAATGCTTGGGAACAGGTCCCTTAACCCAGCGGCTCTTTGAGGACATGACGCGCTGAGGGGTCTGTGCCAAGCAGCTTGGAGGTGAAGCGCACGTCCCCCACAAACTCTAGAATCATCTGCCAGACCGCCTCGCGAAAACAACCGCACATGATAACATGCGACTCGACATTTAGGGTGTGTCGCTCATCGAGAAAACACGGTGGCCGAATCAGGCCGGAGAGAAAAGAAAAAAACAGTGTTTGGAGTTGGTGCCCCTGTTTGGGATTCGTTTGAGACCAAACGGAAAACCGAATCCCATTTTGGGGGTTCCAAAAACCCCAAAGACTAGCCACCCATTTCCAAAACCCAAAGGCATGGCATCAAAGCAGGCGGCCGTGAGGTTGGGTGGGCAACCCGACCTACCAACTACAAGAAAAGCTCAACCCACCAGCTCCCAATCCCGGATAATGTTTGCTGTCTCGAGCAGGGAAATGGTTCGGGCTACTCCCAGAAGGCTCTCTGGCCAGATTTTTAAGTTCTTGGAAGCAACTAGAGGCTGAGCCCGGCGTGATGGTGACCCGATTTCACGCATGCATGTTTCACCCTTGCAAACGAACCAAGGCTGACCAGAGATGGGGTTGTGGGGAGGAGAGGGGGGGTTCGCGGGGCGGAAGGGTTATTCTTTTCCTAGGTTCGGCGCGGCCTCTTTTGTCCTAGGTTCGGCGCGGTAGTCCGGACACAGACAAGCTGCAGAGGGTTTACTTTTTCGAAGAAGCTTGTTTCCAAAACGCAGCAAAGTCCGCAGAGGGTTCACTGGTTCAACCAGGGGTGGTTTGGTTTAGGGTGGTTTAGGGTTGGTTTAGGGCGGTAGGGCTGGTTTAGGGTTGGTTCAGGGTTGGTTTAGGGTGGTTTAGGGTTGGTTTAGGGTTGGTTTAGGGTTGGTTTAGGGCTGGTTTAGGCTTGGTTTAGGGTGGTTTAGGGCTGGCTGGTTTAGGGTTGGTTTAGGTTTAGGGTTTAGGGTGGTTTAGGGCTGGTGTAGGGCTGGTTTAGGGCTGGTTTAGGGCTGGTTTAGGCTTGGTTTAGGGTGGTTTAGTTTAGGCTTGGTTTAGGGTGGTTTAGTTTAGGCTTGGTTTAGGGTGGTTTAGGGCTGATTTAGGGTTGGCCTAGGAGCCAAAGCCCCAGCACCACGCCGCAAAACGGCCGCGCCACACCTAGGAGAAAAAAAAGTAAAAGACTCGGGGCCCTTTTCGCGGCGGACGGCAGAAACGCCCCCGCGCTAAAACGACCGCCGGGCGGCGTTCGGAACTCGCCGGCCCTTGCCGCGCTTCATCAACCTAAGGCTGTTCAGTGCGAGCAGGGAATTAGACATCACCCCAGGTAACGGATCTAGCGCCAACCAAAAGGATCCTGTGAATCTCGGCGGTGGGCTTGGAACAGCATTTTTGTTGAGGGAAATCGAAAGGGGTCCCCAAAAGTTGCAGTCAACTGGTGGTTTCCAATGGATTTTCCCACTGTTGGAGGTCCAACAAAGGGAAACATGAGGGCAGTGCAGGGAAGTCGCAAATGCAACTTGACCGCTCTATTCGTGCTCAGGAAGAAAAAAAAAGTGGTGGCTCTTTTCGCGGGTTTCGCGCCTCGGCGCTTGCCCAAAACCAAAAGGAGATGTTCAGATTTTGGTCCGCAGCTCTTGCAACTGTATCCTTTCCCCACACGGAGGCTGACCGCAAAAGTTTGGAAGACAATCCCGTTGGCCTTCCCTTAAACAACCCAAAAAGAATGCCCTCCACAAACCAAACCTCCAACCAGTCTCTTCTTTGACCTCTTTTCTTGTTTGCCCTCCGTCGGAAAACCCCTCGGCTTCGGAAAGGCTCCCGAATCGAACTTCTCTCGAGAATGGTCTCCAGGCCGAAGGCACAGGAAGATCTGCACGGTGCTGGGGGGGCAGGTCACCGCCGCCAGGAGCTCCTGGCCGCACTTGGCCACCACCTCCTGGCAGTCGAGTCGGAGGCGGTCGATAAGAGGGGCAGCTGAGGAGTTGTTGCAGCTCTTTTTGGTTGAGAGGCAGTGTTGTTCTTAAGAACAACAAGCAGTTCCTTTTTGAAATGTTCTTCTACACAAGGGATGACTGACTCCTTCAAAACCCGCCAACCAGGGGGTCCTGCAGATCCACCGACACCTTCCGGGGTCTTTTAAACAAAGCCTTTGAAATGCGAGTGCCCGTGGCCGGCAGCTGGAGTTGCCGGTTCTCAGGTTTCTGGAGTCTCTCACCTGAAGACCAGCCAAGCCAGGTGGCCCAACCCGTCGGGGAAGGGTTGCTGAATCAGTCAACCAAAGGGTCAAAACCCACCCACATAGAAGTCTTGACAGGTCATTCCAGCATTCCTGAAAAATAATGCAAGGGAGCAAGGGAGACTCCGCAATCATTGGTTAGTCGACTGAAACCATTGTGTTTGTGTTCATGTTGGGGAATCAACAGAAACCAGGGGTTCTGAACAGGTGGTGCAAAATGGAGTTTGCAACCTTCCACAAAAGTGTCCAAACCCAAAAAGTGACTTGAGTCCTGGAACCGAGGAAGCGAGTCTGGACCCCTTTTCAGACTGGATGCATGGCTTCAGAAAACAAAAAATACCCAGAGTCCCCATGAAAACTCAAGATGGGCGGGTTGAAGCAAGATATGCCAAGAATGCAAAGCAGCTCAACATCCAAGAAGCTCAAAGTCAATATACATATATATATATATATGCATTATATATATATATATATGGGTACCCCCCCTTCCCCGGAAACCCCCAAAAGACCTCTTTCGCGAGATTCGGCCACTTCCGTGCAGCCAAAGGCGCATAGCTGTTCGACTGCGCCCGCAGCTCTGCCAGCCACAGCTTCCGCCTGAAATTCGAAGAGACCAACGCAACAAGCAGAGGGCGGCCGGACAAAAGGAGCGATGCCTGGGAACCACCAAGGAAATTGATGGTAACTGGGTGTTTGTGAGGCAAAACCAGCCTTTGCCACCGGGTCAACCTGCCGGTGAGGATGGGCATAATGTCAGTCCCTGAAGGGCGGTCTGCTACCCCAAGTAACCAGTTAATGGTGATCATGGAAGTGGGGCCGCGGTTGGAAAAAGGGAAGCTGCGTTGGTTTTGGGCTGGGTGCCGTTTTTTTCAGGGGGTGCCAACTCCGAAAAAGGCGCCCAATTGGGGCCGTCCAAAGCCCGGCCTCTCGAGGAAGGCCACCGACAAGCGCTCCATGCCTTGGAAAGATTGAAACCGCGGATCCGAGCGCAACCATCTGGGCACCAGAGCAGGGCCACAAAAACGGGTGGTATTCCTTGTGGTGTCCAACTTGTACCCCAAACCAACATGCACGCGCCTCTGAAAAAATGGTGGTCTTTGTCACGTTCACCGGAGCCTGCCTTGGCATCAGCAGTGACTCAACCCCATTTTCCACATGCATCTGGACCAAAAACCAAATCCGGTTTCGGGGTTTCCTGTTGGTCTTCACCCTCGAACCACTGAGAAACAGGTCAGGCTAAGGCTTTCCATGAGTCCTGCGATTTCCAAGTGTTCCACATCCTAGGGTTGGCTCTTGTTCCCCAGCTGGAAGCCTTTTTGGGATTCGGCGATGTGCGGGGTGATTTGGGGGCAGCTTTCAGGCAAGTTCCCGGCCGGGCTGTTGGGGGCCCACCACCTGGTTGATGATTTCTGAGCGACAGGTCAAACCTTTTGTAGGCTGCATGGAAAAGCCATGTGCTTCCAAGGCCTCTCCGGGACGATTCGGTAACCCACGATCGAAATACTTGGTCTTCCTGCAACAGGCTGACATGGGTCCCTATGCTCCTCTTTTCGGCCGGTGTAAACAACATCTTTGGGTTGCCACCTGTAGCTAAGTTTCCTCTTGGAGTGGTTTTCAGGAGCAAAGTGTCGGGACACCTGTTTAATTGATACTCACTTCCTCAGTGGACTGGCCAAAAAGAGTAACCAAACTGGCCATGGTCCAAACCCAAAAAGTCACCAGTTTCAACTCTGGGTGGGGTGGTGTTGCGGGGAAAACTCTCTGTGCCAGTTGCTTCCGTTTGCTTAAGCCCCCTGGACAAAATCAGAGAAATATCTCCAGTGGTGAATTTGATTCCGTTTCAAACCAATGAAAGATAGATAACATACTACCGAAACAGTGACCATTTCCTTGTGTATCACTAACTTATTGTTCACTTCCCACATGATGTGAACAATAACATCAAGGAAAGATGCCCGGAGGAGTCATTTTGAAGCGACCCGCGAAGAAATTGGGGGACATGGGACATGCGGATGTTTTCTATCTTGAAAGGGAAACGATTTCACTGGAGATATGTTCTGTGAATTTGTCCAGGGCGCCCCCCCCTTCCGCCCCTCCCCTTCCGCCCCTCCCACGGCGCTTCGGCGCTTCGCCCTTCGCCGCGCTTCGGCCGCGGCGCGGCACGCCTCCTCGAAGCGCGCCAGGCGCTGCGCCAGCGCCCAGGGGGACAGGTCCCCCTCCGGGGCCTCGCGAGAAACGCCGCGGGTGGCGGGGGGGGAGGAGGCGAGGTTCTTAGGCCCACCCAAGGCGCGAGCTTCTTGCTGTGACCTCTCCTAGGTCCTCCAGAAAGGTTAGAATAAGTTGGTACCAAGGTGATTTCTTCTCTAGTCAATCTTAGTACCCCCAAAAAAGGGTAAAAGGGCACTATGAAAGGACCTAGTCTCTCTTTTGTGTTTGGGGAGAAAAAGGTTTGAGGTGGTCCTTCTCCTTTTTTTCTTGCGGGGAAAAGGAGTTTGAGGTGTTTTCACAGTTTTTGGACCACGCATTTTGCTTCTAAATACCCACCCTGTATTTGGGCATGGGCCAAAAATCGTCACCACCAGGACATGGGCCGCTGCTTTCAGTCCATGTCTCCATTTTCCAGGACAAGCCATCGCCTCCACCACGCCCAGCAGCGCCCCCTTGGCCGCCAACTTCCGCCAGAGCTCCGACAGCAGCTGCGGCACCCCGGCCTGGCTTCGGGAGGGAAAACGCGTGAGACTACTAAAAAAGCTCGAAGTTCTGGAGCTTGGTATGGGGTTTTACGCGGGTTCCACGTCTCCTCAAAATCAGCCTCTCAATATGGGGGCTCCCGTCCGTCCAGTCTCCAGTGTTGAATCGCCCGCCCCTTTTCTTTTACTGGTTCTCAGTTGGGCGTCACCGAAATTGGCATGAACCGCGGGATGGATCAGGTCAGGGACATTCCCTCACTCCCGCAATCTGCGAACCAGCAAGAGATGGAACCCTGCCACCTTAAACTCCCTTATTGCCAGGAATCCTTTCCAGCAGGCTGCAAACCACTGAACACCAGCAAGTTCTATCTCATTTCCTGCAGAGACATAGCCAAAGACACAAAGGCTTCTTCACAAATGGGCTCTTGGGGTTCCATCGTGGTTTCCCGCGGAAAAACGTGCCGGTGTCTTGAGATAAGAGCAACCCAAAAAATTCCGAGTTTCCTTCAGGGGGAAACCAACCCCAAAAGGGGTACCGACTCCAGAAAACGAGCCCACCAACCCACCAACCCACCCACCCACCCACCTACCCACACCCACACACACACACAAAAATAACACAAGCACACAAAACACACACACACAAATAGAAAAAATACATGTTGGAAACACACACACACACACACGCAAATAATAAAATAAAAAAAGCAAGCAAGACGACGCAGACGCGACGAAATTGAGCATGGACAGTTCGGGATTGAGCCTGGGGCCTCCCACATGATACCACTACACCGACGGCCCCTGACATGAGAGACGTTTCTTCCTTGCTTGTCTTGGAGAATGCTCAAACATCATCCACGTTTGACGCATTCGCGCGCAAGGTCTTCGATACGCTTTGATACAACAAGCGCGTCTCTACTGCGTCGGCGATCAAGCCGTGGTGCGTGGTGGGCGTCCGCTCCCTTAGCGCCACAGATTCGTCGAGCTTGGCGAGCGATCACGCCCGCCAGGGCTGTGGACCGAACTTGAAAGCATCGTGGGACCTCAAATCTGCGAACGCTTCCAGCAACGTCTTTCGTCCACTGCCTCACAGCACATTTGTCATCTTGCTCAACGCCTGCAACTCTGAAGCAGCAAATCTCATGACATGCACGGGCACCGTGCCAGATCTGTCAGAACTACGAAACCATGTCAGAAGGGTTTGATAGGCGTACCAAGTATGCGAGATAGCGGCCAAAGCAGGCACGCAACTGCATCTTCAGGCTGTGCTCCTGCAGAAGCGTCTTCAGAACACAATGCTGGTGGTTTTGATACTTTTTGTTCATTTGCCTATTATTTACTTACTTACGTGTGTCAGTATGTTTTAATGTATTTATTTGTTCATTTCTTTGTTTATCTAGGTATTTGTATTTCTTTAGTTGATGATTTAATCCTTTGATTGTGTAATTATTTGTTGGCTTATATATTTGTTTATACATGTTTATTTATGCATTTCTTGGTTTATTTGTTCATTTCTTCGCTCATTTGTTTGCGTGTTGATTTTCTTTGCGCGCGTGTGTTTGGAATAATTGTGCTTTTTCATTTACATTCGCACGCGCGTTTTCATTTCCATTGCTTCAGCGCCACAAGACCGCGCCTTGCAACTCCAAGTTCGCCTTGCCCCATACAACAGTGGTGTCTTAGGCCATTTGTCAGCACACTGCTGTTCTCAACTGCTCAAAGTGCACAAGGTTGTAAGGCGCTTGCTGGGATTCCCGATCAGCCACGCTAAGCCAGAAGTCAACTGCCGATTTTTGTGAGATCTCCAAAGAATCTCTACTTCCGTTTCCGCTCTTGTGCCACAAGGCCAAGAATTTGTGCGACTGTCTTGGCACTTCGTTCCATTCCGGTGGCTCAATTGAGCATGGCACCCCGCCCATGGCGTGCCCCGCCTCATCTGTTGCTGAGCACGCTCACGCGGACTGCCAGGCTGCTTTTGCCTCTCAAGACCAGGTCCGACTTCCTGAATAAAAGGCATCCAGGCACAAATCATAATTATCTTTGTGTATATAGCAAACAAACAAACACCCAGACACCCAGACACACAGACACACAGACACACAGACACACAGACACGCAGACACACAGACACACAGGCACACAAAGACACAGACACAGACACACAGGCACACAGAGACACAGACACACAGACACACAGACACACACACACACACCCACGCACGCAGGCACGCAGGAACGCAGGCACGCAGGCACGCAGGCACGCAGGCACGCAGGCACGGCACGCCGGCACGCCGGCAAGCGGGCACGCAGGCACGCAGGAACGCAGGCACGCAGGCACGAAGGCACGCAGGCACGCAGGCGCACGCACGCACGCACCCATCCTTCCACGCACTCACGCACGCACGCCCGCGCGCACACACACACACACACAAACACCCACCCACCCACCCACCCACCCACGCACACACGCCCACCCACCCATGCACGCACGCACACACGCACGCGCGCTCGCACGCACCCACCACGCACGCGCGCACGCTCGCACTCAACCACCCACCCACCCACCCACCCACACACACACACACACGCACGCACGCACGCACGCACGCACGCACGCACGCACGCACGCACGCACGCACGCACGCACGCACGCACGCACGCACGCACGCACGCACGCACGCACGCACGCACGCACGCACGCACGCACGCACGCACGCACGCACGCACGCACGCACGCACGCACGCACGCACGCACGCACGCACGCACGCACGCACGCACGCGGGCACGCACCCACCCACCAATTCACCCACCCACCCACCCACCAATTCACCCACCCACCCACCCACCCACCCACGCACGCACGCACGCACGCATGCACGCACCCACCCACCCACCCATGCACGCACGCACGCACCCGCGCACGCACGCACGAACGCACGCGCGCTCGCACGCACCCACCCACCCACCCACCCACCCACCCACCCACACACACACACACACACACCCACGCATTCACACACGCACGCACGCACGCACGCACGCACGCACGCACGCACGCACGCGCGCACGCTCGCACCCACCTACGCACGTTCGCGCGCACGCACGCACGCACGCACGCACGCACGCACCCACCCACCCACCCACCCACCCACCCACCCACCCACCCACCACCGCCCGCCCGCCCCGCCCGCCCGCCCCACCCACCCACCCACCCACCCACCCACCCCCACCCACCCACCCACCTACATACACACACACACACACACACACACACACCTTCTCTCGCGCGAAGCGCCCGCCCCCCGCAGCTCGCTCGCTCGCATGCCTTCTCGAGGGCCGCTCTGCGCCAGCGCGAGGCCAGCAGCTCCACCAGCGAGGCACCGCAGAGCGACAGGAAGCACAGCCCCGCGAAGCCTCGCAAAGCGAAGCGCTCGAGCCGCGACGGCGCGGCCGGCGCGGCGCTTCCCGGGCCTTTGGGCCTTTGGTGGCTGAGGTTCGCCGGACTTGGCGCGGCAAATGAGTGGAAGGGCGAGGGACTGCAAAAACCAAAGGACTCCCCAAAAGACTTGCGATCGGTGCAAGGCAAGAGATGCAGGGAATGAGAATTGGAATGACGAGTTTTTATCAACCACCCCCGTCTGGTGGTTTCCTTTGAGGGGACCAATTCCTGGGTTCATTCCCACATTCCCTGCTGAGCACCAGCAAGCTTACTCAGTGACCTTTGTCGGCTTCCTTCTTTTTATTTCAGAGTGGCTTCCCATCTACCCTCTACAAGAAGCAGGGGGTCAAATCCAAATCCAAACCACCAGGGTTTGAACTGTGGGTGAATGGATGCCCACCCCCCTAAAAATGGAAATGGCGAGGGTGATTCCAGGAATTCCAAGAAAAAGAGGGAGTCCCTAAAACAGCGAAAAAGTATTTTGCAACACGCGGCCTGGCTCAAACAACCTTCCAGAGATCGCAACTCGAGAATCGAGGATGAGGTTTTGGGGAGAAAACTCCAGCCTCCCACCCGCCACCCAATACAAACGTGTTTTTGGGCACATGCGGCCATATTTTGGGGAGTCCAGCTTTTTTCGGGTTGACAAAACCCAATCCATTAACCAGGAATCCTGGATACCCTGACAGGGACATCAGAGCGGCCTGAAATAAGATGTGGGTGTCTTGTTTGACCATACTTCTGGGTTTTACAGGCAAACCAAAAGGAGAACCACCACGTTGTGGGTCCAACTCCTAAAAAAATATATGTCTTTCTTCGCTTTGTGAAAAGGTTTAAAAAAAGGAAACTCGCGACAAAACATTGGCCGAAAAGGTGATGCTTAACTGAAAGCCGCCCTTCAAGGAAACTTATAGGGAAGGCCTGTTCTACTGAAAGGAAGTTTGGTCATCGTTTGGGATTGAAAAAGAAGATTGATTTTGTCTAGCTTGCTTGCTGTTTGTTGGTTTTGTTTTGAGGTCCTCCCACCAAACTCTTTCTCGCCCTGGCCGTCGTTCTCATTGTGAGTCTCGTCGGGTCCAAGTTTAAAAAAGAAAAAAAATAGTTCGAACCATCCCCACCCACATGTGTGCCGCCACTAAAAAAAGCAATACACACACAACCTAACCCAGCCCAACTCGGCCCTTCGCGCCTGCCCAGGTCACGTTTTCATTGAGCTTCAGCGCCGCAGTCCAGGCGCCCCACGCGGGCGCCAGCGCCGCTCCCAGCTGCAGGGGCCAAAGCCACAGCGGCCCGCCGAGGGATCCGCCTCGCGCGGTCAATTCGTTCGGGGAAACTGCTCAGCTTGGGCTTGCCGTTGCTCGGATGTTACTGAACTAGGTCCAGTGATTTAGTGTAGTAAAGAAGTTAGAATAAGGGTACAAACTGTCTTTTTCTGGACGTCTATTTTAGTAGGGGAACCCTCCCAACCAAAAAAGGGGTGAGAAAGGGCACCTAGCTGGGGGACCTAGTGAAGCTCATGCGGAGGGGTTCATCGAGTTTAACACAGATTTTTCAGCGAGCTTGAGCCGTACTCGCCTTCAAACCACCGAAATGGAACATTGGCGCCAATCGGTGCGGAGGATGCTTAGTTTGTTTTGTTTTCTGCCCCCCTGCAGCGCACCGCAGCTCCGGTCGGAAACTCAGGCGGCAAAACCAAACAGGCACTGGTTGCATATTGAGGGCAACTCAGCAGTACTTCCGGTGGGAGCGCGCTTGCAAAACCACCCCACTGTGGACCCAGAATCTTGCAGGGCTCCCGAAAACAAGAATATGTTGAAACAATCAGATTCCACCCCAAAGAAAACTCATCTATGGCAAGCAAAAGGCGGAAAAACGCTGAGGGCAATAACTCGGGACCTCTTTTGGAGCAGCGAGGACTGGGGATAAGACGCGATCGCCCGGAAACCCCTCGCCATCGTTCCTCTTGGAGAGATCAACCCTCGCGGTGAAGAAAATTGGTGCCAAGAAATTAGAAGGTTTACGTCTGTTGGTTTGTTTGTTGTGCATGGTCATCTCTGTTGGTTTGTTTCGGTGGACATGGCTCGTGGCCTCCTGCGGACATGGGAAGGACTGGCGAACAGGCTTGGGGTGCTGGATGCAAATGCAGGCAGGCTCTCAGTTTTCTGTTGCCAAAAGATGACCCGAGATGGGTGGCATTCTTCCGGTTTCCCTTTAAAACCATCTTTATTCCAGATCCTCCCAACCCCCCTCCTTGTGGCTCAGAAGGCTCCCTCCCAGCTTCATGCCCTGGGCCGCTAAGCCCCCAGCCAAGAGCTGCGTAGCCTAGTACCCAGGCAGGCATCAGCAGACTGGTCACCGCAGGGTAGAGCCCGGAGCCGCCCTGCACGAGTGGACCCAAAAACCTCCCATGGCGCCGCGATTTTGTAACGCCTGCGAGTTTCCCTCTGTTCAAAGGGACCACACAGGGGCCCAAAGCAAGGCATCCCCTTGACAACCCTCATCTGGCCTTGTGGATTTGACAATTCTCACTGAGTTCGGAGGTAGGTTCAAAAGCATGTGTTTGGACTTCTCTTTGCAATAAGCAGAGAACTAAAATGAGGGGTATGACAAAATTCCCTTTGTCGACCCACTGGCCCGCCAGTGAACAAACGAACGAACAAATCAACCAACCAACCCAGAAGACCAAGACAAACAAAGAAACCACTGCGGAACCAAACCAGATAAAAGCGCCCAATCAGGAACTCAAACAGAACCAAGACAAACAGGGTCATCCAAAACATGAAGGAACCCAAGACCCGAAACCCCACCCATGGGGCCCAGTTCTTGCACAGTCCCGCGCCTCCATGTTCTGTTCCAGCGCCCGGTTCAGGAAGAGGAGCTGCGCGAAGAGTAGACCTCATGGGCTGCACCACTTGGAAACCATGAGAAACCATTGTTTGTTGGTATTTACAGGGGAATCATCATTCCAGGGTTTCTTAGGTGGTGCAGGATTTCGTCCATCCACAGTAGGGCGTCACTTGGTGAAATGTGGGGATTCACTTTTGGTAAACGGTGGTTTTAAACACCGCTTGCTGGCATATGTTTGTCGTGACATTCTGCCGGGTGGGGTGATGTTAGAGGAAAAAAGCCGATGGACAAAATCCACTTCGCACCACTTGCCATTATATGAAACACCAGAAATACTGGCTGACAAACCACCAATCCCAACTCGGGCGAATTGGATTTTGTCCATCCACAGCAAGACCCCCCCCACCACCACGAAAGGTTCCGGGCACTAAAGAGCACGAGTGACCTCAAATTCGGTCAAACACCTGTTGGTTTAAATCGTTGTCCAACACGGCCTCCTGCCAGTGCCATTCAGCTGACCTAAAAAGGGCCATTTGTGTAGATGTGTTGTTTAAAACAGATTTCAGAAAGGTGGGCCCGGCCCCCTTTCCACGCCAAAAAAAACCGAGCCGTTTTAGGGCTTCCCGATTTCGAGAAAAGGCACATAATTGTCGCAAGAAGAGTTGGTTTGAACCGCCTCTCCCAAAAAAAGCTGAAAGCAAAGCGACAAAAGGCACTTTCGTCTAGCACAACCTCCTTCAACCAAAAGCGACCCAAAAATAACCTCCTTCAACCCAAGCGACCTTTCAACAAAAAAAAAAGCCGCCGCCGCTTGCCAATGGTGTCAACTCCCTCTTGGCTTCAACTGAAAATCCCCATCCCAAGGCCTCCCAGGAATGCGCTGGGCTGCACAATGTCCAGCCCCACCGAGTCCGGCAGGTGGTCCTGCCCGGAACAGCTTGTTCTTTCCCCCCCCCCCCCCGAAAATGTGAGTTGCCCTGCCAGTTTTTGGGCTGCGGGCTGAAGGTTGCGTAAGGATTGTCATGCCCTTGAGAAGGGGGAGGTGTGCCGACATCATCTCGATCGGCATTGTGAAATGGGCAGCTTTCCTTTGGTGTCCCATTTAAAAGACGACCGACCCCGCAAAGGGTCACTATCAAAACAAACAAAAAACTCGCTGCTTGGGTCTTTTCAACGAAAAGTGATGTTCGGGGCTGAATAAGAACACACCCTCTTGTCCAATGACTTTGGTTTTAATGCAACCCACAACCCTGTTCTGAGCATTTAGGCCTTTGTATTACCTGCAAATATACATGGAGCCCCAAAGGGGCGTACCCCAACAGTCTGCAAAGGGATGGGGACTGAGGGGATCCATGCTTATCGGGGAAGATACTCCACAAAAGAATCGCGATGATAGACGCCGAAACTGAACTACATTCCGAACTAAAAGCCTTTGTTGCCAAGACTAACCCAAATCCATTTGCCTGTATAGCAGGAAACCTTATTGGTCACCTTCTAGACGGGTATCTAGGATCCACTGGGTAAAAGTAGACCAAAAAAGCTTGGCGTTGGGCAAGTGGGAGTATTGGAAAAATGTCCGTGGAATCCCTCGCTCCTCTGTCTCCATGGGTTTGTTTGCCTCTTGAACGATCGTGCTTTTTAAGAACTCGCGTTGGACCCAACATCATAGGCTTAATGTATTCATATACAAACGGCATGAAGCCCCAGTTGATTCATGAACTACCCGTTGATTGTGGCTTAACTTTGCAACAGCACTGGGGAGTCCATAAGGCTCTTCATCCTTTTTCAGGCCAAGACTCCTTTGCTCCAGTGGAGGGGTGTCAAATGTGGGTCCCTCGCGGCAAACCAAAGAAAGCCGCCACATGTTCGGCAAGTGCCAACTCCCCCTTTAGAGCCGGCCAGGCCAACCTATTGGAACACATGAGTCATAATCCAAACCTGGTATTAAAACGTTCTACCATGACAAGAACTAAAAGGCGGCTGCACCCATTTATGGTTGGGACTCTCCCTTACTTAACCTTCGTCTAGATCTTTTGATTCTTGCGGCTCACCTCTTTTTCACCTCCCAAACCCCCCCCCCAACCACAGGTCTCCGATCGATTTCCGGCCTGCGCGTGCGTGTGCAGGTCCAGCCCCAGCACCGTGGTGAAGGTCAGGAACGCCAAGCCCAGGCACGCTCCCCGCGCGGAGGCGCCGTAGGCGTCGTCCAGGGCCATCTCGCCTGCGAGGACCTGACGAGAAGCCCATGGCGTGCCACGGCCCCCACAACGAAACGGGCCCTGTGGATAGACGAAGAATCAACCCTGAAGCTGAAGAAAAAAACACGGGATTCCAGGGGTGACTTTGGTGGGACGCCTTTAGACATCTGTGAATGCAGTACCCTGTGGGACGATGTGTTGCACTTCGATGAAACCCGGTATATGGGATAGACGTCTATGATAAACCGTCGACCAACGGATGCGAAATGGAGTTTGTCCACAGTATGACTCCACCAGTTTGGACTGCTAAAATGGGGAACCCGAAAATTGCGGTTCTCCCTTTGTCAAACAAGGCTGACCTAGAAAGGACCAAAGCCAGCTCTCGCCTGCACCGAGAAGACGATGGCTGCGGGCAGCAGCAGACGCCGCAGCAGCTGCATGCCCACATGGAACTTCCCCGAGCTCAGGCAGTCCTCGAAACTTTCACCGCCGCTTGCGAGACGCGACGGCATGGAGATCTCAGTTCGGGGGAGAAGGGAATGGGCCAGTGGGTCTTGTGGAGGTCAGCTTGGTGGACAAAATGATGTATTCCACCGGTCTCATTGGAAGGGATTGGGTGAGGTGAAGACTCGCCATTTGGCTGAGCCGGAGAGTACTCCCCGACAAATCTGCAGTTTGTGGAAGACTAGCAGCTTTCGGTTGTATGATTATGAGCCCTTTGGTCGTTGACCCCCAAATTTCAAACTGGCGTTGCCAGGAGAAAGCAAAGCCGGCCCTTGGTTTACCCTCTCGGAAGAGCAAGCCCCAGGAACCGAAACCATCCACAAGCATGCCCCCAACTCTCCAACATACATGCCCCCTCTAAACCTTCACATGGGAGCACACCTCCACGTCTTTGGCCGGAGGGCGCCTTTCTGTGGGAAGGGAATCCCCTCCGGAGGGTCTGGATCAAAAGGCAAAAGGCAACTGTCAAGCAGAGCAAGTCCAAAGGCTTGTGTGTCTGAAAAAAGGGGGGGGGGGTTTCCCGCTGACCATGAAATTTCGAGGGTTTTAGCCCTAGCCTAAGGCTCTCTAGGGAACCTTAAGGAACCAAAAGGAACCCTAAATCTGGGTCTCAATTACCCAGACCCCCTTGTACCCCCCGAACGGGATTCTTTATAAGCTGACTTTCCCTTTAAAGACCATCCCAAAAGAACACTTGGCCTTTGGGCCCTCCACTGTTCCAGCGGAAACAGCAACACCCAAAAACCACGGGAACAGGTCCAGGGACTCGACCTATTGGCCACAACCTCTTCCGAGAAAACCCAAAAAGAACCAAACATCTGCCGGGTCGTTTCAACGGATCGGTCCAACCAAAACATAGCCCTGGCTATTTAACCCCCATGAAACCCGGGAAGCGACCCACCTCGGTGTCCCCTTTTAGTCTGGGTTCAAGACCACTTTGGGAGGAGACACCCCCCTATCAGATATCAAATTCCATAGGGATTTACTAACATCCGCGGTTCCCACCCTCCAGGAACCGTTAAAAAAAAAAAAAAAAAAAAAAAAAAAAAAAAACAATGGCCCCTCTTGAAGCCTCGGCTTGTCTCGAGCGCTCGATCGCGTCCTTCTCGGAGCTCTCGTCCTTGGACATGGCGTGGGGCAGTGAGATCACCAAGAGCCACAAGGCCGTCACCGCCACCGCCCCGTAGAGCCACCCCTCCTGCGAATGGGTCCAACGAGCCCGAGTCGGAGCGACCGGAAACGGAGGCATCCGTGGGTCCGCTAAAATGCGTCTAAAAGCTGTGCCTTGGTATTGAGGAACACTTGGAGAATAGATTTGGCCGTGCCAAAACTCTAAGAGGTCCATGCCCCCAACGATTCGATGTGCGATTGACCGCTATATTACAACCACATAGCGCTACTAATCAGAAACATTTGCTGAGTGGAAGAGTGTCCAAAACTGAAGAACATAAAAAAGTATGGGTCAGGCTTGTTTGAACAAGGAGGAGTTAGAGCGATATAGTCGACAGCTCATATTGCACGAGCTTAGATCGAAGGTCAACGGCGCGAGGATGCAAAAGTTGTGGTGGTCGGCACCGGAGGTCTTGGACTACCACTTCTACAACGGCGGTTGGAGTACACACAGCAGAAAGTCCTATTCTTGGTCGATGACGTTGGTCACCCAAAGGTTGTACATGCAGTACGGGGCAAATTGACTTTGAAGCTGCACCGACTACAGGAAATATTGTAGTTATATCCACGTGGCAAGTGCGCCGAGCGAATGCCCGAGGGCAAGGGTCACAGACGTATACCTTCCCTGGATTGAACGCCATTTCCCTACAGCGGTTTGGGCGCGGTGGAAACCCTTTCAGATTGAGATCTTCGAAAACTAAAACAGAGCTACCCTCCCAAGAGACTTCCAGGAACCTGCATGGGACCGGTTCCTGGAAGACCTTTTCCTTGCAAAGGGACCGGTTTTTATGTAGGTCCCATGGCTTGCTGTTGGAAGAGTAACAGCCAGCCTGCGTCGGGCTTCAGCGGAGACTCCTAAGGAACTGGAGACTTCCGCCGCGCACATGGACGCAGCTTCTCAGAAGTTGGAACCGCCAAGGCTTTGGGTTTTCCCTCCAAACCAAACAAACCAGTTGGGGTTCCTTAGAAAAACGACACACCCATCTAAGCAACCTCTTGTGGGGGTTCCTTTTCCAGGCCACCAGGGGGTTTGCTGCAAATGTTGCTCAACCCGAAGGTAGACCCAAACCTGGCTGATTCCCCAAAGGGAAACCAAGCCTCGAGGTTTGCTCACAATGATCAACCCCGCTGGTGAGCGCTACAGAAGATCAGAAGATCCCAACTTTGGGTCCAAAACACCCGGCTCAGAAGCAAAAGAAAGCAAAAACAAACCCAGGCAACAGCCACAAGCCATGGCTTCCCTTCAAAAGGCCAAGCACCCGGCTCGTACATCCAAAAAAAATCCACCTGCTTTAGGATGCGGATCCGCCACATCAACAACTCATCCATCCTGTTTCTTTGGACCGGTCGCAGGTAAAAAACGAGTGCTGCAAAACCGCCCTCCTTTGCTTTCCGTCAGAGAGCCGGCGTGGGCTTTGCTCACGTTGTTGCTCACACCCAAACTGCCATGTCCCCTAACCAGAATCTCCTGGTAGCTCCGAACAGCTCCCTCTTTAAAGCTGAAGGCAAACTTGGGTCTGTCTTTTTGTGAAGGTCCCCCCTTTTTGCGGTGATAAAGGAAAACCACAAGGAAACCAAGCATTTTGGTGGGGGGGTCCGATTCCTACAAAAAACGAGCCACCCATTTCGACACTGCTCCCTTCCAACCACCAGCAAATGTTTCGCCTGCCGCAGCGTAGGCGCCAGGACGTCCAGGGAGCTCAACAGCACCGCGTCCACCACCAGAGAGATCAGCGCCAAAGCCTTGGCAACCGCACCCCCACCGCAAGAAGCAGAAGGATCTCGCGAGTTGGTTCCCTGGGAAAACGATCAAAAAGTTGAACAGTTCTAGGGCAGCTCTTGGTTTGTGGAGAGAAACACACATCCCAAGTGTTGCTGAAAGGTTAAAATTGAATAACTTGGTTGTGTCGCACGCTCGAAACGAGCCTCCACCTGCATGTCTGCAGCTTGTGGTTAAAGCACAGATCCCAAACAGTTATAAAGATTTAAGTTCGGGCCCCCGATTAGGAATCGGAGCCCTTCAAAAGGCACCCAAAAGGAAGCCCGGAAAGCGCCCCAAGAACGGGCTTCGTCGCTCGGAATCGCTGTGGGGAGTGGGGAATCGATTCGCCCGCATTGAAGACGACCAGAAGGACGACCATAGGAAAAACTCAGCCAAGAGGCGTTCATCCCCGAGATGCGTAGCGTCTTCATGTGCGCAGGGACGGCCTCCTGGCTTTTTGAGATGCATAAATCGGTGAGTCCAAATAGTTGGAATGGAAAACTATGGTGTACTTTTTTCGCCAATATCAGTCATTCCGGGGGTTAATTGGTAATTACTTAGACCCTGAAATATGATCTTTCTTTGGATTTATTGGCCCCAAGACACACAAGGAACATGGGGCTCGCATGCATAGCAAACACCGGATGTGCACCTGAGAGGGGAAAGCGCCTAGCGGTTGGCCTCAGCACACCAAGCGTTTGACAAGCCCCCCCCCGACCAAAAACAAAACTGGTGACCTCCCCCTTCCGCAACTCCGGAAGCCTTCCGCCACCGCCACCTCGACCCGCCGAAAACTCCAATCCCCAAAGCATTTGGGCGATCCCAACCAAACAGCCGGGGGGAAATAGGGCGGAAGAGAAGGTACCTCTAGCAACAGCCAGGTCCCAGGAAGGGGCTGGACCAATCAACTTGACGGACTCCGGCGCTGTTCCAAAAAAATGATCTGGGCTCCCTGGTCTAAATGGGACGCCCCCTATGAATCAACCCGCGGTGTCATTTCATCCCGGGCCACAGTGAGGTGGATGTGTGTGTGTGCGTCTGGCATTGCGTTGCGAAGCCAAGGGGCAAAAACGCAGCTTGGGGTTCCCCTATTTGGAGATAACCCAATACGTGGCCAAATTGTTGGACATGCCGTGCGCTGAGCTTTCCACGCCCGGCGGGTTTCGCTGCCAAACCCCTAGCCAGGCAGCCAAACCCGGATGGGAAAACATGTCTTTGTCCAGCGGTATTGGAGTCAGGGCCGCCCAAACGGAGTAAGCCGACCAGACCAGCTTTTTCTCTGCGGCTCCAAAAACGTCCTGGGAAGGGCCAGAAAAGCTGCCCCAACGTCGCGTTGACCAGGAATTGGTTTCCCATCAAGGGGCCCAGGGGAACCTCCCTCTTGGGGGGGAACTCAAGCAGTCCTAAATTTGAGTACGTCTGCCTTGCAGTCAAAAAATGAAACCCATCCAACTTGGGGTTTGACCATCCTTGCGGAAGGCCTCAGAACAACGGCTGGGAGACTCGGCGAACTGTTTCTGAGATTGTGTGCTATTTAAAATAGCAACTCTAAGTATCCATCTGGGCCCATCTGGGTAAATCATTACAAATCACAAACTGGACACCACAACCCTATTCCAAATCTTGAACAGCCCTGGCAGCACCTAGCGGATCCAAGAAAAAAGAAACACAAAACACGTGCTACTGTGGATTTTTGGCGCTTTGCTCTTAGTGCATAGATCACAGGTGGATCTAGCGTTGCACGGCACCAGACATGATCGTGCTACTGTGAATGGACGAAATCCATTTCGCACCACCTCAGAGACCCTGGAAGGATGACTCCCCTGTAAGTATCAACAAACAATGGTTTGTCATGGTTTCAAAGTGGTGCGAAATGGATTTTGCCCATCAGTATGTTTTGCGTGCGCCACTAAGATGGCCCAAAAAAGGGTGACCCAAGGTCACTTTACGGTGAGAGGCCTTCAGCAGCTCCCGGCCCCAAGAGACGCGGCGTCGCGTCTCCTGGGCGGCGGCGGCTCTGCGCCGCAAGAGCGCCACCAGGAAGAAGACCGCCTGCCAAGTTTTCCCGCGCCCCGACCGTCTCCAAACCAAAGAAGTGGCCGGCTTCCCTTGAGCCTTCTAAACCAAGCCCCGGAAAAAGCAAAAAGCGGCCCCGGACAAAAGGAAAATGCGGGCTTGGCCCGGCTTCTTTCGGACGAACCCGCCCAAGAGTCGGTGGATTCCGATCCCCCCACTGAAAGAGGACCCCCCCCGAGAATTGAGATCATGTCCGTGGGCATCGCAAGCCTCACCGCCTCGATCCAAAGTCAACAGCAGCTTCCAAGTGCTCTCTGCCTAACCAAAGGCTGGTTCAGCTTCTTGAAACAGACCTGCCAAGTTCCTCAAGATGGCTGGAGGTCATATATCCATACATCACCTCAAGGCAGATGACTCATTTGAAAGTGGCAACCAAGATGCTAAGCTCAAGAGCCAACAGCAAAAACAGGAATGAACCTGCAAAAACCGAATCGAGCCAATGGTGTGGTTCCGGTTCGACGCCGTAGAGGATATTCATAGAATCTTGGGGCTTACCTGCTTCCCCGAAAAAGCTCCTCATTTGTATCAGACGCAACCTCTGAACTTGAAATGGGCTTGCGTCAAAATAGGCAGTTGGACCCTGGTTGGATGATTGTTCTTCTGGTTTCCCTTTCAGCCAACCTGACCCAGATAAAGGGTAAAACTATGCGTACGATTCTCTCCGTTTCGCTCGCCTGGCTCGTTTGTTGGTCTCTCCGGGCCTCAAAGGCCTAGAGTCTCAATGCGAATCTCTTCCCCGGGAAAGAGATCGAAGAGGCGCTTCTTTTCTTTTTGGCTCGTCTGGGACCCAAGTCCCGAAGCCTGGGTCGTTGAAGTTCCCCACTTATGCCAAATACTGGCTTCCCTTGCATCCCCCCCCCCCCCCCGTGAACAACCCGGTAGAGGGTGGTTTGGCTCCCCAGCTTGGGGAGGGGTTTTCAAGACCTAGATTTATGAGTGTGGCTCAAAAATAGGAATCGGCCCAAAACGGGTTGCCCTGAGGGAAATGGAAAACCTGCGCTGCGGTTTGCAAAACCTTTCACGAGCATGTTGGTAGAGCCAAGTGTCAATAGGTTTGGGCGCTCACATGGGCTCTCGACTCTCGAAATGGTTGCTGGTTTTGATGCATACCCACTTGACCCTCGTATTTATGGCAAGGTATCCTGTTGCAATAAGCTTATGCCTTAGCCTCACCTCGCTTAAGCGACTGTAGCAGTTTTGTTAAAACGGACGCGGTCACGGAACCCCAAGCAAACAACAACTGAGTTGCTCCAAGCCGCTCTGAGCAGAAAGCCTTTTGCAGGTTTAATAGAAAAACCACGTGTTCCAAAGGGTCTCTCCCAAAAACATTCGGTCACACCAAAAGCCATGATGATACCTGGGATTTGGTCTTTTTCGGGGCAAGAGCATCGCCGATGTTTCGTAACGGATGGACGGGCCCTTGCCCACATTGCCTCAAGCAAGCTTTGTCTTGGCGCATGGCTTTTCTGCAAGACAGGCTGCCAGCTTTGAGCAACTGCTGCTTGCTTGATGAGAAGTCACGTTTTGGTGGGACCCGTTTGAAGAAAGCCAAGCGAAAGGTTGAGAAACCCAAATTGATGGCTTGGAGATTAGGATGGTTGATCAAAAGGTCCTTTACATGGAATGACCATTGGTTGGAAACCACTAAACATAATCGATATTTCAACCACATGGGAAAAGTTAGCTGTGGTCATTTGGGGGCCCTAGATGGAATATTGACACCCCCATATCCACTTTTCCATTTCTTAGAATCCCCCAAAAAAGCCCAACTTGGTGATTTCCAGGTTGGGAAACCTGAAAAAAGCAAAAACGTCTCCCACCCCCACCTACCTTTGGGCGCCTCACCGGAACCCCACCCCTGGCTTCTCCAGAATGGCGCTTTCGCCTCCACGGCCGCGAGGCTTCGCAGCACCCAGTGCAAGGGCAAGGTCCAGGGCAAGGCGCACAAACCTGAGGCCAATTTTGCGGGATCTCTGAGAGATCAAATCAGAAGGCGCAAATCTTTGGGCGCCAAGGCAGAATTGAAGTCGTGGTGGATCAAATCCCTTCGCACCACCCGATGAAACCATGGTCGAATCCGTTGTTTGCTGATATTTGCAGGGGAAGCGAATCCTTCAAGGGTTTCTGAAAATTGGTGCCCATCCCCAAGAAATCGTCCAAAACAGGCCTTCGATGCTTCTTGTTGACGATTTCTGGTTGAAGTCTACCTGGTAACTATTAAGCAACCTCGGACTAAGCAGACTTCCCTGGTTGATTGATAGGGTGTCGCTGGTTTGGTAGCTGGATTCAGACCACCATTGGGGAGCACTCCCTCTTAATAGGACAGGTTCTGCTTACATCCGGGGACAACATGTTATTGGGTTCTTGAAAGTTTTGAGAGTGAGTTGGATTTGTGGAGGGTCTCGTTCTCAGGTTGGCACTCTAGAGGGATTTGGGACATATGGGTGTGCCTGTTATTGAGGCTCGGTACCCTTTTTTGGGGGTGACTTGAAAGGGCGCCATGGGGAAAGCCACCTTTTTTGTGTGAAGTTGATTTAATTTGTGGCACGGGATCAGCGAACCACGTTGCAGAGAGTGGCACTTTCGCTGGTTACCCTTAAGCCTCGTCCGATGCGGCCCACGCCAACACTTCAGCTTTGTTTGTACGGTGGATGAACAAAATCCAATTTCTTAGTAGGTGGTTTTCCCCTGGGATGGATGAACCCCTAGAAACAAGGCCTCAACCAACTAGGTTTGGGGGACAAATTTAGGGGCTCCGATTGCTCGTTGAGGGCCCCAACCACGGGACTTGTCCCAAAGCATGCGGAGCCCAAAGGAGATGTCGCGCAAGCGTCTTGTCCCAGCCATCCTATAACGGTAAGCCTTATATATATATATATTAAAAAAAAAAAAAAACAAAAAAAAAAAAAAAACGAGCCACCCAAATGGTCGCAACTGTTGCTTTCCTTTTGCTTTCTCCTTTAAAGCCACCAAACCTAAAATTTGGCACCCAACCAAAAAAAAGAGAAAGAGTTGAGACGCGCCCCCCCAAAAAAAGAAATGGAGAAAAAAACACATTTTCTGGGGATTCTTGTAACCTATCCACCTGGCCCGGAAAAAAAAATCGGATTCTTCGGGTTCTTCGGGTTCGCTTCGCTTGCAGGCCGCGAAGCCCAGCCACAGCAAAATCCGCAGCCCGTGCGGCAGCAGCAGCAGGCCTCGCTCGGAGGCGTGGCTCGGTCGGCGAATCGGTCGGCTCGGGTCGGCTCGGTGCGAGTCGAAGCCCCGGTGAAAAGGACACCGGGAGAAACCCGGAGGCGAAGGAAGAAGCGGAAAGGGGCACCCAGTTGACCTTCTCTTTTTTTGGGGGGATAAACAAAAAGGAAGAGAATTCATGCCTACTTAATGAATAACCAAAAAGAAGTGGAAAGAAGTCCAAAACCAAAATAAGAATTGGAATGATGGACCAAAAGGCTACATGATAGTTCGCTCGTTTTACTGTAATCTACCCATAAGGAACCGCTCCTTTGAAAAGAAAAGTGACAATGGAGGGGGGTCAACTCCTTTGGGTTTTCCTTCAAACCCAACCAACAATGTGGGTACCAACTCCCAAAACAGGAATCACTGCCACTGCCTCCCTTTCTCCGATGGAAAAAGAAGAAAAGAAAAAAGAAAGAAAACGTCAGCATCGCCTTCTGGTGCAGGAAGGCTTTTTGTGCCCAGCTTCGGTTGTGGGGAGCCTTCTTTTGGGACGATCGCACATTTGAAAAACAAAAGGCATCAAGTCAAATGTGATGCTGTGGATGGATGAAATCCTGACCACTTCAAAACCATGAGAAACCATTGTTTGTGGCATTTACAGGGGATCCAGAGTTTCGTAGGTGGTGCGAAATGGATTTCGTCCATCCACGGTATCAAACACTTCTCAAAAAAGAGCCATGGAAAACCCAACAAAAAAAGGTGTTTCCTGGTTCCGTTCCTGGTCCATCATATTCAGCCAGCCTCCGCGAACACCAAAACTCCCTGCCCAGTGACCCCAGGCTGGCAGCAGCAGCGCGCACACCGCGCTGCGCACCAGCGTCTTGTAGCCTCAGCTGCAAACCGCCCGTAGCTGCGGCTTGGCGAATGAAACGACGAGTGACCCCGCGGATGGTGGCGAAATCCACACATCCATACATCGCGCCGGTGAGATTTTCTGATGCGATTCCCCCAAGTGGCTACCAACCAAACGAGGCATTTCAACCACTCATGTCCTAGATCCCCGAAACCCATTTCCGGACGTGGATTCAACCAGGGTAACTCATTTCGTGCTGCGACGCAACCGGACTCGCAACCAAGTCCCATCTTTCGGGCCCAGGCCCGACCTAGATGGGGGGTGGAGCATACATATACATATATATATATATGTATATATATATATATATGTCACCGCAAATACCGGTGAATTCTGCAAACAGGTGGGTTCGGGGGGGGGGGGGGGTACCATAGATAGATAGATAGATGGATGGATAGATAGATAGATAGGATAGGATAGGATAGGATAGGATAGGATAGGATAGGATAGGATAAGATAAGATAAAGATAAGATTATATTAGATTAGATAAGATTTGATTTAGATTTAGATTTAGATTTAGATTTAGATTTAGATTTAGATTAGAGTTAGATTACATATAGATAGAGATAGAGATAGAGATAGAGATAGAGATAGAGATAGAGATAGATTAGATTAGATTAGATTAGACTAGATTAGATAGATAGATAGATAGATATATATATCCGTCTAGAGGTTCGGGTGATCCCGCCCGAGAGGCGCCCCAAAACTGGCGAGCGAGGTGCTGTCCCAGAAGAAGAGCAGCGCCAGGAGCTCCCAAAGCGCCCCCAGCGCCTCGCAGCTGGAGTCCCAGGCGCAGGACCGCAGCTCGGCCAGCGAGCCGCAGTGCAGGGACGCCTGTGGACGGATGGAGTGATGCTTTGGGGGAAACATAAAAGAAATCCAGCTGTTGTATTTTATGACCCCGGGTCCTGGGGGACATGTTACACGCTTACCATGGAAGATATGCAACAAACCAGGGCATGGCTAAAGCTGCGTGCAAGGTTTTGGTTGGCGTAATCGACCATGCACTGTAGTCGTAGACCCCTTCTTGGCTTGACAACCAGAAAAGTGGCTGGGGGGTAAGCAGAAACCCGCATGTGAGCGTGACAACCATGGAGAAAACTAAAGCGTACATCCCGTCTTTCTCCCCAAGCGTGACCCAAAACCCCACAGCCTCCCGACTTTCTGACGCCGAGCGGCCTTCAGGAACTCCAGGGCCCTGACCAAGGTCAGCAGCGCGCAGAGGCACGCCAGACCGGTGGTGAGCAGCATCCAAATGTCCGAGGCCAAGAGCCGCACCTAGACCACGGCAAAAAAAAAAGGAAAACAAAAAAACACAGGGAACCCCGAAGCTACGGAACCCCAAAGCCAAAAAGCTCAAGAGGGAGCAATCCCTCTGATAGGGAAGCCCGGAGTCTCCGTCTCCTGAAAACAGGGTGAAAAAGGGGAATACCCATCGGAAAGCCCTCTTGCAAACAAGTGAAAGCACAAGGTACCCTTTTTGGTTGATGCTGCAAGGCGCAGTTTGTTTGTTTTTGTTTTGTTTTTGTTTTGTTTTTTTCCGGAAAACCTTGTTGTTTGTTGCTGGGTTGAGGAAACTATCCTGAAAACCGGTGGACGACGGCGCTTGCCTGATTTGGGTTGATGTAGGGAACCCTTTCGACAAAACCCCGCAGCACACTGGTATTTTGCGCAGAAAAGCGCTCGCCTCATGTTTTGGGTTGATGTAAGGAAGGTTACCTTCCCAAAAAAAAACATCGAAAACATGTGCGCAAACACGAAGGAAAGAAAGCCTTCTGAAACAACTGAAAATAAGAGGTGCTGTGTGCTTGCTGACTTTACCCTCCAGAAAACATGTGGACAATCTGGGCTGTCCAAAGTGACCCCCAGCAAGAAATGAGGTACCTTGGTTGAGTGAGGCAACCTAAGGGAGGCCCAGCACCCGGAATGTGTTTCTAAACAAAAACCACCTTTTTCGGAGATCCAAAAAAAACACCCCGAAGCTCCCCGCAACCAAAAAAAGGTTCCCTGCCCCCCTCACCCAAGCCTGGCAGTTCAGCACAATCCTCAGGCGCTGCACCAGCGGACTACGCGAAGCGCCCGGCGGGCCGCCGGCTTCACGCTCCCCGCAGAACACCGCGCCCAGCGTCGTGGGAACGCGGTAGAAGGTGACCAGCAGCAAACTGCCCAGGACAAAAGCCGCGTAGTCCTGTTGGCGCAAGCAAATACAATATGTAAATGTGTATGTTGTATATATATATATATACATACATGTATATGATTGTATATGTTTCTGCGTGTGTTTTGACATGTGACATGCATATATATATATATACATATATGTCTCAGCGTTGTCATTACTCCTTGTTCCAATGGCCTTCCGCCCTTTGGCCGATCTTCCGCGAACTTCCGCGATGCAGGTAAACCACGCTTTCTGGCATGTGTCTAAACACACACACACACACATGATACTGCAAGGAAGTAGTACAGCAGTCCAAGAGAAAAGCTCAGCAATCAAGAGATTAGGCATTTTGAGAAGGAGAAGCAGAGGTAGGAAGCGGAGCAGGAAACTGGAGAAAGAGAACAAACGCAAGCTAACGTCACACTGAAATGGGCCATCCCTCGCGCAAGGCGACAGCTCCTGTTCCAGGGATTTCGTGTTGGTTTCGCTTTGGGTATCGTTTTGAGCACTGCCACGCCGCTACAACTGTGACCCCGGCGCGAGCAAGAAGCACGAACAGGAAACACTTTGGCAGCTCAAGCTGGACAAGTCCTAGGAATCGCGCAAGTATCGTTTGGAGCATCGTTGGGGGGTATGTTATACATGTGATTGTTGATGGCAGCTTTCATTGTGTCTGGTCGCACCTTGACCCATGTATGAATATGATTTGCATTTGCATTTGTGTTTATATTTTTGTGTATTGGCTGTTTATCTCTGCATAGCCATATACGTCTGTATACTAATTTGTGAATATGCATTGAGCGGTCATAGCAAACAAACATTGAGTATCCGTGTTCTTATATTTGCTTGCGTTCGCTTTTCCTTGACCTGTTTTCTTGTTGCTTTGTTTGCTGGGGTGACCCCAGCGCCAACCTTGCAAACACAGCCCCACCGAACCCCCCAAACAGAAACGCACCCGCCCACACCCAAGCCCCAACCCCCCACCCCTCAAAATAAAAGATAAATTCTAAACCAACAATATGCACAACACCAAAAGCCAACGACTTCTCTTGATAAGGGTGTGTCTCAAACCAGCGTACCTCCCAAATGGTTGGCTGTGCTGGTTTCCCTCTCAAGCCCGCCCAAAAAGGGGGTACCCTCCCCCCCCCCAAAAAAAAAAAAAAAGACGACCCTGTGCTTTGGCCCTCCTGGCAGAGCTCTGCGGCGAAGATCTGTACCAAGCGCCTGGCTCGTGTTCCGAGCTGAGAATCGTTGGTCTGAGACAATTGGGTGGGTGTGCGTTTATGCTGTGCGTGTGTGCTCTTTTAGGGTACCCCTTTGTTTGTGCTGTTAAATGGCAAGCAAAAGCAAAAACTGGGGAAACCTCTGTTTCGTGTCGGTGTCAAACTGCAACCTTGAAAGGGTACACGAAAAAGAAAAGAAACTTGCCAAATTGGGGGTGACCAGTTTAATGGGGATTTCAGGATCCTCGAAAAGAAACTCGAAAAGAAACTCACCAAATGGATGGAACTCTGAGAAGCGATTCGTTCAGACACCCGGAGTCCTGGGTTTCTGAAGCTGCGGGGCGCCGTCCAGTTCTATTTCTGACAAAGCAACCTTTCAGTCAAAAGGATCAGGCATTTTGCCACTGGTCAACCTTTTGCCGCCTCTACAAGTGGCGACCTTGCTCTCTTTACCTAAAGTGAAGGCTCAATGACATGGAACGGATTGTGTCATGCATAATGTTTTCTTTTGAATCTGGACAGAAAGAAAATTACAGCCTCTCCCCTGGTTTGTGTGACAGGTTGCACTTGTGCCTTAAAATGGGGGAACCTCCAAAATGGGGTTCCCTGTTTCCAACTCCCAAAAAGACGAGCCACCCACTTCTTTTGGCGTGTGACCAGCTGACCCATTCAGATAGCCAGTTCATTCGGCCGCGAGTTCAGCCCCCAATTCGCTTGGCTTCCTTCTAGCACAAGCAGTTGGTACGCAAAAACACAGACCTGCATTGCCGTGGGGCATAACCTATGGCTCCCTTTCGAGGTGGATGAACATCCATTTGCCACCTATTTTGATGTTCACCGTACAGGGGTTTGACCCACAGCCACGTGGGGAAAACTTGAGGGGCTCCAAGCGTGGTGCTATTACAGGCTAACTCGCATCTGAGCTGACTTTTTGGAGCAAAAACAGAATCAGTTGCGCCAAAAAACATCATCTAACCCGCCTTTTGGAAGGACATGTTGCTCTCGGTGAATTGTAACTCACAGGCCGAAGCAGGGATCCAAGGAAGGAATCTTCATGGGTAGATGCGGGATGGAACTAGGTCCTCCAGTAGAGAGACTAGAATAAGGGTACCAACTTTTTCTGCAGTCTATTTCAGAAGGGAGAACCCTCCCCCAATAGAAAGTGCATCGGGTTTTGGAAGGCGTCCACCTTGTTTCAGACCTCCTGACTTCCATGAACTCAACCTGAAATCAGAAATGGACTTCACTGTGAAATCCGCGGCACAAATCAGAAATGGACACGGGAAGGACACTTCACTGTGAAATCTGCGGCACCCCACACCCCTCGAACGTGAGGTTCCAAAATGATTTGCCCAGAAGAGTAAGCAACATAAGGGGCAAAGAATTCCTGGCGCACTCCTGCAATGGTGACTAAGTTTGTCTTTGCCATGCCGTAAAACTCCAATGCTAATAATTTAGGCCCCAGCATCTGGGTGCTTCTCGCTACGATCATGTCCCCAAATAGCTCGGAATGGTGTTTTGCTGGACAGGGAATCTGGATACCCCAAGCTCCGCAACGGCTCCCTTCCAACCACCAGCTGGAATATGTTGGATCCCTTCCAGGTTGGTGTGGGTCAAAAATTGGCTAACCTCACAATGGGTTGCCCTGGTCAATGGAAAGCACAAAAACCTGCGGCCCGGTTTGATTTGACCCATACCCAAAAATTGGAAAGCCAAATCGGGGTGTTGCGCCTCAGTATTTGGTTGTTTCTCATAAGTGTATGGGTCAAAACAAATTCACCACCAGACCGCATGTGTTAATCCTGTCCATTCACCAGGGCAACCCATTTCTGGGGTTACCCTATTTGGGTGTGGCTCAAAACTAAAGAGCTAGGGTTACGCAGGTTTTAGCCTTCCATTTACCAAAGCGTTATTTGGGGGCCAAATTTTGAGCCACGGCCATTTCTTGACAACACACACCCCCCCCGGGCCAACCCCAACCCCCAAACCCCCTAAACCAAAGCCCCCCAAACCCCCCAAACCAAAGCCGCCCAAACGCCCCAAACCAAAGCCCCCCAAAACCCCCAAACCCCCCCCAAAAAAAAAAAAAGAAGAACCTCCCCCCCCCCCCACCCCCCACCTACTATGGACCCCACCCGCCTGTGCTCCACCAGCGACTTCCCGCAGGCCGCACGCAGGCACCCGCCCTTCTCGGCTCCTACGTGGCGAAGGGCTCGGAGGACAGTCAACCCACATAGCTCGGTTATATATATATATATGTGTATGTATATGTGTATATATATACATATATATACATACATATATATATATACATATATATATACATATATATATATATATATACACATACATACATACAACATATATATATATATATATGGTAGGAACCCCCGCAATACCAAGGTTTTCCTGCTTTAAAATGTACATGTTGCATGTTTTTGTGTCTAGAAGGTCGCTTGATTGAGGAAAACCTGGAGTTGAGTTGGGGTCCTCCTAAAGATCAGAACACATGTCTTACTACAAGTGCTTGATCATCGTTCTGCGTCATTGGATGAGTTTGGGTCACATAACTCACTGACTTTTAATTCAGTGTTGGAGTTTATAAACGTCCAAGTCTGGCTTATAAACTCTTGATCGTTGGATTGGGGGGGGGGGGGGTCCGTGGCAACTCTTGAGAGGGGGGGGGTCCGCGGCAACTCTTGAGGGGGTCCTTCAAGAGTTGCCAGGGAGGGACCCCATCCAACTGCCAGGAGTCCAAGAGTTTAGAGTTTATAACCTAAATTTGCGGGGAATGCTGAGCCTCCACAAATTGAGACCATTTCAATGCACAATTTCAATCTGTTTAATGAACGGCTACTGGCTCGGGCAAATTCAAGCCTATCCCATTCCCGCGCTAATAACCACAATGGCTTGGTATCTCGAGGGCATCAAAGCAAATCCTGCGCAGATCAATCTAGAATCAGGAGATTTGAACCTCCGAGATATCAAATGTGAATTCCTTTGCAAATAAGATGTTGCTTCAAATTGAATTGACATTTTGAATGGACTTTAGTAAGGCCATAGTTCATGTGAAAATCTGTATTCCATTAGAATTTAGATAAGAACCCCTTTCCAAATCGGAGTTAAAGGCAATTATTCAATTGGCCTCTGAACATCATTTCAAATAGGAGCTCATTCCCAAATGTATTTAGATTAATTGTGGCTTAAACAATAGTGGTATTTGTTTTCATGACGAAACCAGTCCAACCACAACTTAGGTTTAAAATAGGGTTTGAAAATGAGCCCCCTTGCAAACATTGCTTTAATTAAATGTCATCTAGTAAGGACAAGGCTTTGCATTGCTATTCATTACTCTTGTTGGTCCGCCGGATTTTCTGTCTGTTTTGTTCTTTTTGGGCCTGTGCAAGTTTCAGAGCTTTCATCTTCTTCAGGTTCTCTTTTTGGGCTGAGAGGGGGCGTAGGCCCAGGTTCAAACCCCAGTAAAATGTGACGAAGCGGGTGGCCCACTTTGGCATTTCAGAAATGTTGGTTTGGTTCACACAACCATGAAGGCAGGATTTCACCAAACGTGCTCAAATGAGGTTGGGTCAACATACTTGGTATAGCAACCATATGAGAATCAATTGGACATGGATTTGGGGGTGTACGGTCATCAGCCCCCCTACCGATGGCCCCAGGTTCCTGACTGGCATTTTATGGGGCTCAAGCTGCAAAAACAGATAAACATCAAAGTTTCCAATCAAAACCATGCTTGAAGCCATAAGCCGTCTTGGACTTATTGCCTTTCTCAATCCTCAAAAGACGAAACACCTGCTACCGTAAAGAAGGTGACAAATCATCAACAACACCTTATGTTGCAGCGCTTTCAGTCATGTGGAGAAAGAGGAAGTGCAGAGTAGATATGACGCTTTCCAACTAGCGGCCATCCACCCCCCCCTACCTTTCTACACACCAACTACACAAAACCTCTGATTTTATAGGCAGAAGTGAGAATCGCAGGGAAACAGCTTTGTGTCCCAACAGGAATGGTTGTGCTGTCCTGCAACGCTGGTGCAAGAGTTCGGAATACGAATCGCAGCAACGCATAGGCTGGGTTGGAGAACTTGTGACTTGAGCCAAACGTGGCCACCACTTGTATATGTTACAAACATACATGTCGCTGTGGTACTATTCACAAAAACAAGCAATGAGTTCATAAACTGTCCAATTGGTTGCTGGAAGTCACCTCTGCGTCTGCCCTGCAAAGCATCCATCATTTGCCCCACAAGTCAAATAAAACAAAAAACCTTGGTATTGGGAAGGGGGTCTTAGCATATATATATATATATATATGGATATATATATATATATAGCAATGGAACAAAATCAAACAAATGATAATGGGAGAACTGGGGCTACACACCTTCAAAAAAATCAACAACATAGTTTTACCCCACATTTGTGGGTTGACCACCAAAGCAATGGCTTGAACACATGATTCCCAAACCCCAAACCCCAACCACTCCCCACGCTCCCAAAACGTAAACGAGAACATACACAAAGAAAGACGAGCATGGAGACCCCCCCCCCCCTCGGATTTTTTAACCAAAAAAAATGTACCCTCTCCCACCCCAACCTCCCAATGTTGAACCCATCAATCAACCAACCATATGGGGGATGTTCCCCTCCAAAAGTGTCTGATTCCAACCACATTTCAACCGGACAAAAACCACCCTATTGGTCAACTGGACGGTTGACGAAAATCTATTCCCCACATTTCAAGGGAAAAGACCCCCCACCCCCCACTATTCATATAAACTGGGGTTGATTAATACTGTGGATGGACCAATCCTGCACCTGGAAACTATGGTTGAAACCATATCGTTTGTGGGTCTCTGAGGTGGTGCGGTTGATGGATTTGTCCACATCCCCCCCCCAACCCCCCGGCAGAGGCTCCTTCCGGCGCCTGCCCGGCCTCCAGGTCCCGCGCCAGGTCCATGGCCAGGCGCTCCGCGCGCCCCGAGGCCGCGCAGATCTTCTCCAAAGCCAAGGCGTGCTCCTGGGGGTTGAACCTCAGCCACAGCGAAAGGGGGTAGAGACCTATGATACTGTGGATGGACGAAATCCATCTCGCACCACTTTGCAACCACGGGAAACCATTGTTTGTTGGCATTTCCTGGGGAATCATCATTCCGGGGATTCTGAGGTTGTGCAGGATTTCATCCACCCACCGTATCAATATATATATATATATATAAGTGTACCTTTGTGTCTGAGCTACGTATGTATACATTGCTTATATATACATACATATGTATATGTTATGATATATGAGGTGTATCGTACATACTGTACATATCTATACTTGAACCTAAGCCACAGTCAAAGGGGGTAATGTCGATCCCGTATTCATCAACCCCAGTTCATAAAACAAGGGGGTGTATGTGTATATATATACATATATATATATATATATATATGTGGATGGTTGAGACATCCACGTTGCACCACGGTTTTCTTGCATCGTGTTTGGGCCCCTCTAATGTTGACCCAATATTAATGGGCTGGTGGACACAAATCCCCATCTAAATGGACACCGGGAATGAAACCATTTTTGGTTTTTATTTACAGGGGCAGGGTTTCTGAACGGTGGTGCAGGATTCTATCCATGGCATGCTGTTGTTTTGTTTTTAAGTATGTATGATATCACTCCTAAAAACAATGTATACATACGTAGAGCAAGGGTATAAATCTAAAAGGATGTGAAAACATATACACGGCGTGATGCCTTTATGTCCGGAGTCCGGGGCTCCGAACCCCACTGCGTCAATAACCTCAGGCTTCCCAAAAAAAAATCAAGAAGCGAGCAAAGCGCCCCGGATGTCAGGAAACCCGCACCAATCATCCGGCAAACCATCCTCTTCCCCTCAAAGGGAAAAAAAAGCTTGCAAAAACCTTGAATACACCCTTTAAAAGAATGCATACTCCCAACAACTCCCAACACCTCACCATGGCCCAACCAAAAAAAACAACAACCCCCAAAACGTCCCCAAAACCACACCCTCCGCCCCAAAACAACCCTGGCGAGTCGCTTCTTCTTCAGCAGCTGCAGGTTGGCGCCAAAGGCCAAGGTGGGCCAATAGCTCGCCGCCGCGTCCTGCAAGGAGGAGCACAGCCTCGGAGTCGCGGCAGGCGGCCGGGAGAGATGCGCCCGGTGTAGATCGAAGGAGCCGAGAAGTGAAGCTGGCTTTCGGCTTGTTGGGATGTCTCCCAAGGCGTGCTTTACACATTTCCGAAACTGACAGGAAAATGTGGTTAGGTTTGGAGTTGCTTTCTTGTTGGTTTGTGTCCAAATGTGTGTTAGGCCCACGAAAAGTTCAGGGAAAATAATAATATCTTTTCCTGGAACCTTGTGTTCACCGCTTCCAGCCCAACTTCCAAACCAGTCCGACCCAATCCGAAAGCAAAACATACCAGACAACCAACCATCAAACAAACAAACCGACCAACCAACCAACCAATCAAACCAATCAAACCAAACTAACCAAACTAAACCAAACAAACCAAACAAACCAAACAAACCAAACAAACCAAGCAAACCAAGCAAAAACAAACACACACACACACACACACACACACACACGCAAACTGGAAACAAACCAGGCAAACCAAGTAAACCAAGCAAACCAAGCAAAGCAAACCAAGCAAAACAAAACACACAAACACACAAACAAACTGGAAACAGGCAAACAAGCACACTGCAAACAAGCAAACAAACAAACAAAAACAAAAACAAACCCTACCAAATCAATCCAAACCAAGCCAAGCCACACAAACAAACCAAGCAAGCAAACAAACAACACAAACAAACGAACAAACCAACAAGCGAGCAAACAAACAAACAAACAAACAAACAAGCAAACAAACTGACTAACCACGCAAACCAAACAAACCAACCACCCAAACAAACAAACAAACAAAACAAAACAAACAAACAAACAAACAAACAAACAAGCAAACAAACGAGCAAACGAGCAAGCAAGCAAGCAAGCAAGCAAACAAACAAACAAACAACAAACAAAAACAAACAAACAAACAAACAAACAACCAAACAAACAAAGAAGCAAGCAAGCAAGCAAGACAACAAACAAACAAACAAACACGCCAAACCAAATGCGAACCACACGTTCCTATATCTCCAACAATAGCAATAACATTCACCCCGTCGCCCAAATGCCCCCCCCACCCCCCACCCGTACCGCCCAAGTGGCACTTAGTACCACCCCCAATAATTGTCAATGGAGCGGACGCGGGTCGGCTTATAACTACAAAGGGGAATCAGCAACACTTTTGGCAAACCTTGGACCCCTCCAAACACTGGCAGTGACCGCAACTACCGTTTTCATGGTTCCAAAAACACAAGTGGGGGGATGGTCCAAACTGGTGGTCCGGAGCCCTCTCAGACCCGGCGTTTTGTTCCAAGTGCCCCTTGAAATCTGGAGAGTTCACGAAAACATACCCTTCAGCTAGGATCCCACCAAAGCTAAAGAAACACTGCAAAAAAGTCACCAACAAGACGCGAAACTATCAAAACGTGGCCTAAACCGAAACACGAAACCCGGTAGGACGAAGCAAACCAACTCATGGGAGTTAACCGCAACCCCAACCCCCGTTGTTTGGCAACTCGCCCCAAACTCCAGGCCAGCCTTGTTTCGATTGGTGGTTTGGTGGCTTGAAGCCCTGGTTCTTGTAGAACAATTGGAAACCACCCCCTCAAAATACTGGCCTCCTAAGATTTTGCTTGGTCCCTATTTTTTTGGTTCTCCCCCAAATGCCAACCAAAAGGGGCTCCGAAATCCATGAGGCACACTCATTTCTCAGTTTTACCCGGTTTGCGGCAGGTTGGGAAGCAAATGCCCATACCAGAAGTAGCAAAATACCAAATACACTGGACAAAAAGGAACCACCTCTCTCTTTCTCCATGGAAAACTCCGCGAGCAACAGGCTCCAAACATGCCGCTGAAACTACCACGTGCCTAGGCTCGCCCCTTTCAAGGCACCGGACTCCCGAAACTCCGAGACTCCGAGTCCCGAAACCCACCAGCTCGAAAAGATTTCCTTCATTTTGGCCATGCTCCTTCTGGTTTTTCACCCAAATTAATGAACCCCGGAAAACTTGAATTGGGCGGATGTCCCGCGGTTGAGTGGGGAATCACTAAACGAAAATATCCCAAACAGCGGGCACCAAGACTCAGATGCCCAGTGGCCATGAAGAAAAAAACATCTTTTTTTTGGCTTTTTGGTTGGTTGACTTTAAAGTGGAACCCTTCCCATGTTTTTCTCTTTTTTGTTATTTTTTTCAAAAAAGAAATGGGCAACAAGTTGGCGCCGCGAATCCACTGGTTGCAACCGGGAAAAGAACCAAAAAAAAAAAAACGAGGCACCCGCCCCCCCCCCCCCCCCACCCCCGCTCCGCGCGGGCGTCTCTCTCGGAGAGCGGAAACGCCGCGCCTCGCTTTCTCCACGAAGGCCTCGGAGCCCTGGCGCCGCAGCTCCGACAGCAAGGCGCGCTCCTCTCGGCTTGCGGCGGCTGGCGGCGGCTTTCTTCGGTGGATGGGGCCCGGGGCCCGGGGGAAAATGCCGGCGGGGGGGGGGGGGGGGGGGTTGGCAGGGGCAGGTGGGTTTTGAGGGCGATGCGGGTCTTTTTGGAGAAGTTTGCTTGAGACGTTTGTGTGTGTTTGTCGCTTTCTGTCTTTTCTTCTCTTTTTTGGGGGGGAAGGGGGGCCTGTGGTCAAATGCCCTCGATCAGTTGCAATGGTCCCAGGGTAACTTACCAGGATATCGGCTTGAGTAGGCCGTGCTCGGTTCCTTGTGGTGATATATAATATTCGCGGCTGTAATATTGAGGGAGCCTTTTTTGGGCTTGGTTTAAAAGGGAAGACAGAAGGAAACAGTTTCCACGGACATCATCGATCCCTGCATTTTAATGCGCCTCCCTATGAAGATGCACTGCCATATGGGAACCCCCGACCCTGCAAACATCCTATGTCTTGAGTTACCCTGTCGCCTAGGGAATCCCGAAAGGAGCCAAATTTTGGCTTCCTCAAAATTGACCCATTTCCTAAAATGGTTGTGGCGTCTACCGTGAGGAAAAACCCAAGTGGTGAAATCGAAGAATAAATGGCCATGTCTGCTCGTCACAAGAAATTTGGAGACCCCAAAAATGGGTGGCGTCCCTTTTGCCTTCCCAAAGCATCCTTCGGGTACCTCCATTTGCTTCAGTCATCTAAATATGCCCAGTAGTACGACACATGCCCATTGAAACCAACAAGGGAAAATATAACCTATTCTCTTAAGCAAATGGAAGTGATTGGTGATCTCAACATTCTGTGCGGATCGAAATCAACCAACCACCCAGCCAACCAACCACCCAGCCAACCAACCAACCAACCAACCAAAACCCACCAAAACCCAGCAAAACCTCCGCAGAAATCGACACGATGTCCACGTCCTTCTGCACCGTGGGCAGCGGCGTCCGCGCCCGCTCCGCCGCCGCCACCTGCTGCAGCCGCTTGGAGGTCCTCAGCTTGCGAAGAGGAGGCGCGGGATTGGCTGTGGGTCCAAATCCAACTCGTAGGTCCAGTGAACGAGACCCAATCCAACCACTAAAACAGGGACTCCAAAATGGGGGGTGAACTCACCAATCCCAACCAAAATGGTATGGCATATCTGGCCATCCTGAAACAAGGTGATTGGGGGGCTATTCCCCGCATAAACCACCATTTTGGGGTGAGGTCGTGTGAGGTCGTGTGAGGTCGTTGTGATTCACCCAGTCCGTATGGGTGTCTCAAAACTGAAGAGCTAGGGCTACGCAGGTTCTAGTCTTAAACTTGCCAAGGTGTCATTTTGGGCACCTCTTTTCGAGCCAAAGCCATTGGGGTGGCTGTCCCTTTTCTTGGGGGACCCACAAAATGGCTGGCTTCCTTTTGGTGGGCTTCCTTTTCCCTTTAACCCCCCCCCCCAAAAAAAAAACAAACAAAAAGAAAGGCACCCTCAAAGCAAGACACGCAATCGGCCAAAAATGTGATGGAAACCCCTCACCGGCTATGGTAGACCTCCATCTTGCTTGTTTGCTCGTTGGCTGTCATCCCTCACTCGCTCGTCCCCAAGAACTAGCCAGTTTAAGCGCCCAGTCTTCGAAGAAGCTCATTTTGCTGCTTAAGCAATGTCTGAAACTCCAGTTGTTTCAACCCACCACCCCTTTTGAATCAGCCGTGTTCTTGACAATTAAAACCATGGTTTCAAACACAAGGCTGTTTCATCAACCTCCTTTTAGCCTTCTTTTAAAAGGTGCCCTTTAGAACATTGCCTTTCTCACCATCGGGAACCACAATGTAGGGTTGACAATGTTCAGGTAGATAATCCAAGAACCCCCTGGCAGTGTGAACAACCTCTTTTAACAAATTGTGCAACCAGCCCTGGGTGTGGGGCGTTGGACAGTCCTGTTGGGCAAACGTAGTCCTTGTGTTCCCCTAGTGACATGGAAAAATTGGCGAGCAGCGGGTTTTCTCTGTCGACTAAAGTGAATCCCCGTGAGTCTCGAGCGGTTGCCCCAAATTGACCATAGACTGGATTCCTTAACCCAACCTCAGGTGGCTCTTGATTTGAACGCAGACTCCGGGGTGGTCGTGTAAAAAGGGAAACCAAAGGAAATGCTGGGAAGGCCCACTCAAACGACTGGGGACTCCAGTGCGAAGAAAACATTCAAAGGAACTCGTTTGGAATACTTGGAAACCAAAAGGAAGTGCCCATTCAAAGATACTCTGCCGGGCATTACGCTTGGAACCCCCATTTAGACATTTGCCTCCGACAAACCCTGGCTTGGTGCAGAGTTGCCCGCTGTCCGAAAGTAGCTAGGGTAGAACCCTCCTCCCCCTTAAAGTGAAACCCGGTGATATGTTTCATTTGAAGCCGCCCTTTGAGGCAAATGTTCGACCCGGCGCATGCACGTGGCAGCCGAATAAAAAGATCAAAGGCCACTTCAAAAAGGGGAACTCCTTCATAGGGGTGGCCCCTTTGCCACTTGGGGCACAGCTCCCTTCCCCACAGAAAATCCAAAATCCCACCCCCCCGCCTACCACCCCCCTCCCACCCACACCGCCCCCCCCCTCTTCCCCCCCCCCCCCCGCACCACCTGCCTGGCGGGGGGGTCCTTGGCCGCCGCGTTCAGCGCCGGCTCCAGGCCCTTCTGGTACCGCCGCAGCATGGCGCTCTTGAAGCGCAGCAGGCCCAGCGTCTGACGTCCAACCCGGAGAAACCGGAGAAAACGGGTGGAAAGCGGGGGGAGAACGCGGGAGACGGCGGTGGTTCCTGTTTCGGTTCCTTTTCTTTTTTCATTTCGGCGCAAGAGAAAGCCTCAAGAGAAGAAAGATGGGTTGAATGACCAAAGTTGCGTTGGGTTGGGTTGGGTTGGCTTGGATTCCTATGAGTTTTCAGCGGGGAACCTTTGGTGGTTCAACCGTATCTCTAGTGTGGTAGTTGCGCGCTCGGGTGATTTGCAGTAGTCGGGAGCTGTGGGGGTTGCAATTGGGGGATGCCTCCAAGGCTTGAAGGTCAGACCAAAGAGCCACCCAGTTTCTTGAGACAATTGAATGGTCAGCTTCCCTCGCTTGGGCTTGGAACCGAATCGGTTTGGTGGCGTTGGGTGTCCCATTTCGCGTCTTCCCGAGTGGAGAGTTGGTCTCGACGCTCCGAACAGCTCCACAGGCCCAAGCCAACGGGAATCTCTGGGCTGTAGCGGAGCAGCCTCCATGAATTTGACGGTCACTGGATGTCCGCTTCAAAGCTTGGTCAATCTGCTGGTGTCCATTGAAACTGCCACTTTGGAAGAACAACTCTTCAAATGGTCCCACTGCGAACAATCAGCTGACTTCATGCGAGTCGGAATTGAAACTGGCATCAGAGCAGCATTCCCGAATTCACAAAGCAAGAGGGCTGTTTTGTTCCTGTGCCTCAGGTTCTTCAAAAAAGACATGTGCGTTCTTGTGGAAAAATGGATGGATCACACACTGAGACTGAGACACCTGTCAAGGCAATGCACCAAATACACCAAGGTGATTTGTCGCGCGGCAGCATCTTGCGGGGGAAACCCTTCAAATCAAGGACATGTTCTTCAGTTGGGTATCTAGGCAAATTGACATACTGTGGATGGACAAAATCCTGCACCACCAAACAAACCTTGGAATGGTGATGCCCCTGTAAATACCAGCAAACAATGGTTTCCCATGGCTGTCCATCCACGGCACGTCTTTGACTTCATACACCTGAAAGAGTAGAAAACAAATGGTCTTTCACCCCTTCTGGGTTCCTGGCAAAATGGGGGGGGAGGGGGGGGGGGGGGGGGGTTTGGCTGTTGTGTTTCAGTTCCTGGTTGAACGTGGGGCGTGTCTTGTCCCAACTGCGATTGAAGCGGAAGCGGCGCTTCCGCGGCAGAAGTTTTCCGAGACCGCGCCTGCCGCCGCAGAAGCTCCATCCAGACCTCACGGAAATGGAGCCCATGGAGCCTAGGTCCAGATTTGAGAGGTTAGAATGAGTTGGTACCGTGTCGAAATTTCGGGTTTTGTCTATTTTAGGGGAACCGAATCTCCCCCAAGGGGAAAAGGGCACTGGCAAGCCTAGGAACATTCGAGGGAAATGGGTAGGTTACGCGGGTGTGGGTTGAGAGCCCCTGTCGGGGGCCTTCGGGTTTTGTAAGGGTTAGGGATTCCACAAGGCTTTGGAGTCAGTTTGGGAGACTCTCGGGAGTCCGAATCCTCTGAATCCTCTCCTTTCCCATGAGACAAAGCCGCAGCAAAACCCAAGAAATCAGACGCCCTGAGACTCCTAGACCGGTGTTCTCCGCACAACCCAACCTCCCCCAACCCATCCACCCGAAAAGCGGCGCTTTTCCGGCGCCTGGTTGGGGCGGCAGGCGACGTAGGTGCACTGCACCAGGCGCCAGGGCGCCAAGATGAGCAGAGCAAAGAGCACCAGGTGCAGCAAATCCAAGATCAGCTGCCAGAGCCTCGGTGAGTTAAAGGGAGGCCAGAGCCGTCTTTTTCACTCCATGCGGAAACCAAAAGGAGATCCTGGCCTTGTCCAGTGATACGCCGCACAAAAGGGGACCCTCAAAAAAAAACTTTTTGGTGGCCGGGTTCCCCAATCGAAAATTGAAGCCAAGCAAGCGGTTTTCAGGGCTTTTGAGACAAACCCGAGTGAGCCGACTTGGCGACTTGGGCTGTTTGGTCGCTGGATGCCCATGAAAGTGATCAAGTCACGGCCGTTGAGTCATCACAGCCTGGGAAAAGAAAACGATCGACCCAGAACCATGCATGGTTGGGAGTTGGGACTATCGCCTTCACCTTCCATCTACCGAAATCGGTTTTGAGCAAGCGGCTGACCTCACCCCCAACCCCACCCCAACCCCATCTCCCACCCCATCCCGCACCCCACTCCCCACCCCACTCCCCACCCCTCCACCCCACCCCTCCCCCTCCGCACCCCACCCCCACCCCTCCCCACCCTGCCCAGGCGCTCCCGGAAGGCACAGAGCCACAGGGCCGCGCGCACCCCCGCGCCCGCCAGCAGCGGCCCGCAGACCGACTCCAGCGGCGAGGTGAGCACCTGCTCTTCCTGAGGAGCTCGGCGCTCGGTTCTCGTCCGTGCCAAAACCGTCCGCTTGAAAAAACATCGCACCCATAGGTGTCCTGTTAGAGGGGTCAACTAGGAATCGCCATCGATTTTTTGACCAAAACAACCAAAAACGACACCTATGATCGCACCCCTTAGGCTGGAAACTGGAAACCGGAGATGTTCCAAGGACTTCCTGGGCTTTGCGTGAAGGTTGCAAGTGCCTTTTGTTGTTTTGTCTTTTCTTTTTCGCTAAGAGAAAAACAAAGGGCCAGCATATGAGGTGTTCTCCTCTACCCTTTTGGGAAGGCCATTTAAGGAGAAGCCAAGCGAAAGCCTGAAACCACCGTAATAGGAGGGGCTTGTCCTTTCCCATGTGGGTTTATCTCAAAATGTCTCTGTCTTCTTTTGAGGGTACCCCTTCTTTGTGCTGTTTCAAGGGATACCAACAAACAAACAAACAAACAAACAAACAAACAAACAAACAAACAAACAAACCAATTTGGGGGGCCTCCTAACAAAGCACACCCCAAAATGGGCAACCCCAGAATTGGCGGCGTCTCCTTGTTTCCCCTTTACCCCAACCCGACTTTTTGGCTCCATCAGAAAGCAACCCCCAGCTGGACCTGAAGCCTCCGAGAAAGGAGGTGGACCTCGCCGCCAATCAATCCCCACGCTGTCCACCACCAATCCCCTTTTTCAAACCCCTGAAAAGTCACGCCCACATGGGGAGCTTGAGAAGTTTTGGGGAATTTGGGGGAGTTTTGGGGAATTTTGGGGGGGAATTTTGGGGAGGTCGACTGTTGAGCCTTTCAAACATGGACGAGGCCTTGCGGCGCGGGCTTTGGAGGTGGGGCTCAACTCTGGCCGCCAAAGGGCCACCTCCACAAAGTCCCCCGGAGTCCGCACCGCCCGGTGCAGCAAGCTCATGGGGATGGGCAGCCGGGTCAGCACCTCCTCCGCCCCGTCGGGCGCCTTGTGCCTCAAACCCAAGGCCATGTCTCGCCCCGTCGGGCCGGGCGGGCGAAAAACATGGATGTGTTTTTTTTTGTGGGCGAGATGGCGTCGGTTTTCCTTGTGGTGGATCTATGGTGGAGGAGCAAAAAAAATCCCCCCGCACCTCCTATAAGAAACACTGGAATATGTGATTCCCCAACGAAAATCAACAAACGTGGTGGTTTCAACCGTGGTTTCAGTGTGTGGTGCAGGATTTCGTCCATCCACAGTGTGTGTTTGTTTGTTTGTTTTTCTGAATTAATACAGTGGGTGGACAAAATCCATTTCGCACCACTTCGGATATTATGTTGTTTGCCAGCAAAAAATACATACTGGGTTAAACAATTCCCAGCGGGCCCGACATCGTGGACCTAGAAAGATGTCCAACCGCTTCAGCACGGTGGCTCCAGGTCAAAAAAACTCATTTCCAATACGGGCGGCAAAGGGTAAGTCTAAACACAAACTCCACGAAAGGACCATACCACCACCACCAACACCATCACAACCACCACCACCACCACCACCACCAACACCACCAACACCAACACCAACACCAACACCAACACCAACACCAACACCAACACCAACACCACAACCACCACCACCACAACCAACACCACCACCCCCATCACTGGCCACTAGAAAGACTTTGCAGCCATCCATTCCGGGCGCTCAATCTGCACGCACATGGTGATGGACTCTTCCAGCTGCAGGATCTTCTCCTTGAGGCCCTTCCCGCCCATTCTCAGCTCGATGGTTGCGTTCTCGTGCAGGAAGTCGCTGTACTTCAGGTGCTGGCCGTCCTGAGAGCGAAACGGTGGCGCTGAAGCTCCTTCAACTTGGGGTAACCAGGGGGGGGGGGGTCCTTTCCGGGAAGGGGGGGGGGAGGGTGAGGTCTGTAGAGGGTTGACATCAGACCCTAATCAGCCAGGTATTTGCAGAAGCCCGCGAAAAGCGGAGAGCACCAGTTTTGCGGGCAGCTGGCGTCACTCAAACCGCGACAAACCAGCCCGGTTCTTTTGACGCCCCATTCAGTCACTTCGGGTCCTCCATACCAAGCCCCATAGTGTGGATGGACAAAATCCATTTCGCACCACCTAAGAAGCCCTGGAATGAATCGATTATCTTGCAAATACCAACAAACAATGGTTTCAACCATGGTTGCCAAGTGGTGCAAGATTTTGTCCATCCACAGTAGGGAAGAACACCAGACATGGACCGCGCCGACGGTCCCCCCAAAAAAAAAATAGCTGCGCCTGCCAGGGTACAGCTGCCAAGCAAACCAACTTTTGATGCCAAACATGCCAAAGAAACCCAAGAACGCCAAACATGCGAGCCTTCTCCCCAACCAGAACGGGGCAGTGCCAACTCATGCTCGTTATAACCGCGCTATTTGTCCAGAATACTAGGGCTACTAAAGCCCTGGTTGATGGCGCGGTGCTCTAGAGGTCATCCGGATCACTTTTGGAGGTTCCTTACCCTGGGATCTCCCACGACAAAAACTCTTGGCTTTCAGGGATAGCGCCCCCCCCCCTCCGGATCATCTGATTTGGAGCCGACTCCCCTTGCAAGTTGGGGAGTCTGCCCATGTGAAAAGTCTAAGCAGGGCTGTCAGATCCCCTACTAAAAGTGAGTACCTTGCGGGTTAAATTCGGAAACCCAACCGCTCAGAGGAGAAACCCAATCAGAACCTTTCAGAGGAACCGGCTCACTGCCACCCCCCACTAGGATGTCAAAGCCAAGTCGGCCGCTTGCCGCTCGCCAACTTCCACCCACCCACCCCCCAAAAGAAACATCCGCCCACCTCCCCCCCCAAAAAAAAAAACTTCCGCCCCCCCCCCTAACCCTTCGCCTCCGCGCAGGGTCCCCCCAACGCGACCAGCGCCGCTCCTTCAGGAGGAAGGGCATCAGCGCCTGACCCAACGAGGCGATGGAGGAGCCCAGGGAGCGACCCAGCTCCTAACGACATCGCGCGGCATCATCCCCAAGCATCCCAAGCATGTCCCGCGAGAAAAGAAAGGTGGGGTGAAGTCGGGTGGGGAAGAGTTCCCGCAAAAAAGAAGGGGGGGGGGGGGGGGGGGGAACTTACTTGGTGGTTTGCAGGTCAGGGGTTTGACGCTTTGGAGGGAACGGGGGTAGCTTCCCTGTCCTCAAGAAAAGAACCAAGTTGGTGTTTTCAAGAACCCTTGCGCAACCAAATCCAGATCCAAACCAATCTAAACCGCCAACTAAGATACTGTGGATGGTTGTGAAATCCATTTCGCACCTGGAAATCATGGTTGAAACCATCACGTTTGTTGGTATTTACGTTGAGGAATTATTGTTTGTCTCCACCATATCCTTGGTGTTTACGTTGAGGAATCAAACAAATCCACCAGGGTCCAGAGAGATCACTGGAAAATTAGGATTTCGCAGCCATGCCGAGCCCTGTGGTTTGGGGGCCTTGGAAGGTGAGGCAGCCGACTTCTGCCGTCTAAACCGATGGCAAAAAAGAAAAACCGAGGAACACCTTTCCATGAATCAAAAGACAGGGGTCACTGGAGTAGCCCAAATCAAAAGTTGATTTGAGTTTACAGACTTTCAGTAAAACGATCGCCACTTTGGAGGTGCCCTTACAGGGAAATGGAGGAAACCCTGAAACACGTCCGCTGTTTCACCCAAAAATGGGGGGTATGTGTTTTGGGAAGCCTCAAGAAAACCAACCCATAAGAATCAGTTTCTTCTTTTTTTTCGAGAAGGGTGGTTTGGAGCCCGTTAAAAGGTGTGGAGGTTGGGTGGGAAACCCATTTACAGTCTACTAGAGCCAGGGTTCAAATCCCCAAACCAACACAAACCCCCAACTGAGGCGTCTCTTCCCCCATAGAAGCGCAAGGTGCCAATAAGCCGGGCCTAAACACCCGTTGTCTTGCAGCAACCATAATGCTTAAACCAATATGTGTTGGGTTGGTCTTTTACACCATTGTGGCTATTTGCAACTTAAAAGGATAGTTGGTGGACGTCACTTTCATGGGCCCTGTTTAGACAAGTGTATGCAGGTGGTTAAAGAAACCTCTATTGGGCCTCCCTTTGAAGGTGTGTAAAACACCTTTGTTTCAGGCAACCCCCTGTTTGAACATGTTCAAGCCACAATCGTCCAGTTCTATAACCCCAACAGCTCAACCTGCAATTTGCCAGCCACCTTTTGCTTCCCCTTGACTTGGATTTAAAACCATAGCAAGGGCCACAACCTGGCTCTGAATCAGTAGGTGTGTCTCTTCTTGAGGGTACCTTGATGTATCTGTTCTTTTTCCTATTTGTTGTAAAGGGAAACCAATACGAAAACCAGCCATTTCGGGGATGCGATTCCTATGAAAAAGGCATTCCCACATGCAATGCTCCTCCCAGAAGGACGCAGAGATCACATTGATGCGCAGCACGCCTAGGTCCTTGCGCTCGGCATTTGGGGACCTTTTTGGGCAGAGGTGCTTTCGCCCTACGGAGGGTACAGTACCCTGCTTTCCTGGGTTCAAAGGAAAACCAAAAGGAAAACCACCCTTTATCTGTTTATTGGTTCTTTCGGGGGGGGGTCTTCTAAACAAAGACATGTTTAGAAGACACACCCGCGCGTCTATGTTGCAACCTGAGTGCTCCGTTCGTGCTTCCTCCGATTGTCTCTGCAATGTGCGAGAATTGCAAACAACAAAAACAGGGCTGTCCTTGGTTATAGTGGGTCAAATGGCAACCCCCACTAAACCAGCCGAGAAAAAAAAAACTGAACATCTAAGGAACCGGACAGGGAACCCAGAGGTCTGTAACAAGGCAAAGCAAAGCACTTGATTGCAGCTATTCAACGCAAGCCAAGCTGCGGCAAAAGGAGGGCAGTCACGTCACTGGCCCGGTTTGCTCATCTGAGGTGTGTAACGAGGGCGTGTAACGAGGGTGTGTAACGAGGGGTGTGTAACGAGCCAGCTGGTTTTGTTACAGAGGTCTGTAACGAGGTCTGTAACGAATGTCCGCCGCGGCTCTGTTACAGACCCCTCAAAAAAAATCACTGCCATATATGTGGATAGATAGTCCCCTACAGATTAACATGGAACCCCTGAGAAAACACCCAGTAGCATCGGACACTTTTCGTGGGGGAGCTGCCTTTTGAGGCTCCTTTGTCTATTATGCCCCGAAAACCTCCGTCCCGCCTGGCGCAGGCGGCCATCGTCTTGCACCGCCTCCGCCTGGAACACCAAGCGCCGATCCGCCTGGCGCCGCGCGCCGCGCGCGGATCCCTTTACGCGCCCTTGACGCGCCCCTCGGAAGGCCGTGAGGGGACCTCACATGCCATCCCTCCAAGTTGTGAACTTGGACCCGACATGGTGGACATTTAGGCTATGTCTATCGGGGGGTCCCAATGCGGTGTGTCTCCCAATTTTTTGCTCGAGGCCAGCCTTTTTCGGCGCGGCTTTAAAGTGAGAAAACCAAACGGCAACTAAGCATTTGGGGCGTCCTCCATTTTACGACTTCAATTTGGTCTCCCCAAACGCGAACCCCAACAAAAGGTTCAGGGTGCACCAAGCGCAAAACCTTTTGCAGGAGCCAAACCGCAAACCGCATGTTGAGTGTGAGCGCCCAAGACTCATTGTTTTTGGGCTCCGCCAACATGGCTAAACAAAAAACTATATAGGCTTTGCTACACCCGCAACGAAATGGGTGCACAAAAAGGGAGGTTGTAGTTAAAGCCCATGTTTTAGTCAAGTGGTTAGTCTTTGATTGGCTTCTACTAGGTTGTAGAAGAACCACCAACTAAAATGGGCCTGTCTTCTTTGAGGGTACCATTCGTTGGATGGCTTCAAAAGGAAAACCAAAAGGAAACCACCGTGGGTTGATCTAAGAGTGACACGGGGCGCTCCGTTTTCACGCGTTTGCACCGCTCGGGACATCCGTCCTCGGTGTGCTCCGGGCAGCGCAGGCGTAGGCGCCGCACGCGCAGCCGGGGGTCGCCCTTCACCTGGCGGGCCCGCTGCGCGTAGATGTCCAGCAGGGCCTGGCGATTCTGACCGCTCGGGTTGATTCAATCAATCAATCAACCAACCAACCAACCAACCAACCAATTTGTGTCCCTGTCCATTCTTTGGAACCATCGTTCTGTTCAAAATCCGGATCCGTCTTCCCTGGGTTTCTGGCAGTTTTCTAGAAAAACGGGATTCCTGGAAAGAATGGAATTGGAAGCTACCCCTAGAGCTACACTCAGTTTCCCCAGCTTGGACCCAGCACGCACAAAGGCGCGAGGCTGGCCCTACGCATTGCTTGCCGCACTGCTTGTACAAGGCGCTTGCCCCTCATGAGCCGGTCATGGCGCCCCTCATGAGCAACCCCGGTCATCACCTTTCGGGACCACCGGAAATGGGCGATGAAACCAAGAGCTCGAATCCGGTCGATTCGCCTGCAAGCGAGCCCTCGATACCCCGGAAGGATCCATGTACCTGGTACAGGTAACCAAGGTCTTGCCGCGCTTTACAAACCAAAAGAGTCTTTTTGTCGGAGAACATCCACCGAAACCGCTTCGCTGCGATTGGTTTTGTCATCGACGTCTCGCCTTGGGCAGGCGCACCAAGGTCACCGCCAGCAGCAGCAGCGCCAGGAAGCCCAGGACGTCCCGCGCCAGCTCCAAAAACTCCACCAGCACCGCGCGCCTCTGCGACCAGAAGGCGCGGCGCACGAGAAGCGCGAGCCACGTGGTGTGGTCGTTCGGGGGCTTCGAGACGTTGGACTCTAGACGGTCATCGCGGGGCCCACCAAAAAGGGACACAGAAAATCATACTGTCGATGGGCGAAATCCATTTCGCACCACATGGAAAACATGGGAAACCATTGTTTGCTGGTCTTTACATGGGAATAATCCTTCCAGGGTCTCTGAGGCGGTGCAGGATTTCGTCCATCCTATGATACCCTCCCACCAATTCACGTGGAACCTGACAGGGGGGTCCCGGAAGATCGTTTTGCTTTTAAAGGGACCCCCTGTCAGGGTCGATGTTCATTGGTGGGAGAGTATGTACACAGACAAATAGTATGTTCCAGGTTCTGTTTCACGTTTCGGATCCCGAAATATCAGACCCCAGTGACCGTCAAGCTGTAGTTTGGGGGAACATAAACCAAAGCTGAGGCACCGGACACGCAAGGAGATCATGAGGGATTTCAGCAAATCTGACTGGAATTTGACAGGCCCCTATTTGGGCGGGGGTCCTTTTTTAGGGAACCCCTCAACGGTGCAACGGCGGTACTCGTATCCATGAAATTCAACCACCCAAACCTCCTCTATGGAAGCCCCTCCCCCCCCAAGCCAACCCATCCTCCGAAACCAAGCCGCGCCTCTTTTCGCAGTTGGTGCCGGGTTGCCAAAGCTTGGCAAGCACCTCGGCTCCGTTGCAAATAGGTGTCAACCAGATACTCATTGCCCAAGGTCAGCTTTTGTCTGACTGGTGGTTTCGAGCCGAAACAGCGGTTTTGGTGCTGAGATCGGGCGGTTTCACCAAAAAAAGCAAGAAGCTCCAAAGCCAGGGGTTCAAATCCTAAATCCAACGCATGCAAGCCACCAACTCGGGGGTATCTGATCTGGGGAACCGGTTGCAAAACATGCTTCAACAACTAGACACTCGCCTAATCTAGGCAACGGGTTGGATGCGCTTTTTGTGGATTTCACCTGTTCTTCCCTGTAGGTTCTTTTTTAGTACTCTTTTAGTACTCTTTTAGTCCTCTTTTGATATCCTACAGGGGTGGATCCACAAAAACCGCATTCAATCCGTTTTCCAGACCTAAGGTTTAAACCAAACACAAGTGGCCTAAGGGGGATCCAGTATGTTCAAACAACCAGACGCGAGAGACACAGTGAATGATCGGATGTGCCTGACGGAAAACGCACTGGGACAAAACCTTGTAAGAAACAAGGAAACTCCGCCTGCTGAAAAAGTAGCCCACCCCGGTATCTTTGTGGCCGGCGGCTACAAAAGCAAACAACTGGAAGCTGCTAAGTCTGGATATGCGGCTAGGTCGGCCCGCCACAAGGTCACGAGCAAAATGAGGAGCAGCGGCAGAAGCGGCAGGTCAAGCAGCAAGTGCCCGATCTCCTCTTGCTTTTGGGAACCAAAAAGCGAAAACCGATATTCAGTTGGGTCCCTGGTCCAAATCTTGTGCCACCCCTTGAATGTACACGAAGGGTTCTAAGGGCTTGCTTCGTGAAATGGCAACTTGGCTCTTCAAAAAAACTCCCACAAGGGTACCGGTCCAAACCTCCAAACCCAACCCGCCAAATGTGGTTAACCAGCAGGCAAAGCGGGTCAGTTTGTCACCTCCTGCCCAAATCGCCAGAGCGTTTTGGCGGTTACCAAAAAAAAAGAGCCCCGTGTTGGAGGGAAATCAAACGAAAACCTTGCAGTGTCCGCAAAATTGCGAACTCCCCAATGCAAATACCAACAAACAATAGCTTCAACCGTAGTTTCATTTCGTCATTAACGGAGTTAGCAACCATCCACAGCAATTTCCGAGCACCCACCTCCCCGAACCCCCCCCCCCCCCATTTTGGCGCAATCAATGCGCCGTGCTCCGCGTCCTGCCAAATCTCTCGCCTCGGCCGATCCCTCAGCTGCCCTTCTGGGGGAAACGCCGCGCGCCAGGCGCGCGGCAGGCGGTACACGGACAGCACCAAACTGAGGCAGCAGAGGCCCAAGAGGCCGTCGTGGAGCACGAAGAGGCTGTTCCAAACCACGGCCAGGTGGTAGGCCACCTCCAAACCCGCACCAAAACCCTGCCCCAAACGCTGGCCGGATGTGGCGTGGGGGTGGACAGTCAACCTATTGGTGCTTGAGGGGATGTTCGAGGACCATTGAACAGGTTGGGCATGTGTTTTTTGAGGGGATCCCGTTTTGGAGAATAAATATAGCACTAATAAACCAAGCGAAGCCATGTTGGAGGCCCTTTAAAAAGACGGACACCCCCCCAAATGAACCGCGGTCACCCCCCATATGAACCGCGGTGAAACCTCCGTTTGTTTGGCGTTCCCATGGGTACAAAGGATCCTTACCTGGTGAATGACCATTCCTGTTAAACCCAAGAAAAGGAACTGGGTCTTTGGATCATTGCACATATGGCTGTGGCTCAAAACTAACGACTTAGGGTACGCAGTTTTTAGTCTTTGGTTCCATGCAAGGTGCCATTTTGGTCCATTTATTTGAGCCACAGCCATATGACGATGCCCTCACCTTCTGGTTCTTCGCACTCACCCACTTCATGTCCTCAGAGACGTGGGACACTCGGTACCTCAGTCGCTCACACGACACCCCTTCCCTGAAAGCTCAAACCCAATTGCTGGTTTGGAGGCTTGGGCTGGAGATGTTGCTGGGGAAGCTTCCCTTTCCTCAAGAGAAGAACCAAGGGTTATTGGTGGAGCCGTCACGGGTTGGACCCCGGTGTTCATCCCCAACCCACCAATCCGAGCCACCAACCAAGAGTTACTGGAGGAAAGATGATGTGACAAATAACAACGAATCAAGAACTATGGAAATTGAAAAAAAAAAAAAAAACAGCCGTGAAACAAGCTGCTGCGAATATGTGCGTTAAGGGTGAGTGTTTTGAAAAAGAGAGAGAAACCACCTTCAATTGGCCGAAGATTAGGAAAGAGCGCGTTTGATCTTCTTGCGGCCACGACTTGATCAAAACACGGATTCTGGAATTTGACGCCTCCGAGCAACCAATGTTTAAGGCAGGCAAACATGAACTCATATGGAATCCCAAAAACGGACCCTATGGAAGCAAAGACCACCTGTCGTAACCCTATGAAAAATGTGAGCACCCACATCCCAAAAGGAAAAGTGGACACCGGGACCCACTGCTTCCGGGGTTCCTTATCGGATAGTCACCCCGCTTCGAAGGATAAAGGGCAACCACCTCACTCCAGCTTCTGACTTTGACAACCCTCAACGCTCTAAATGTGTCTGCCTTTCTTCGCGTTGGTACCTCCCCTTTTTGGGTAGGTTCTTAAAGGGAAACCAAAAGGAAAGCCCTCAAGCTATTTTGGGGGTGTCCCCTAAAACCCCCAAAACAGGGGTACCAACTCCAAAAAATATCACGCGAGCACCCACAAGACCCACATAAAAAATGAAGCTCCACCGACCGGATCGACCCATCGATCGCATCGGCCGGATCAAGAGATCAAGAGATCCCGGGCGCCAGGTGAGCAGCACCAGCAGCGCGCAGGGCAGCGTCAGCAGGTCCAAGCCCAGCAGGCAGAACTGCACCAGCGCCGCCCGGTGCACCCGCGACACCGGCAGCGTGTCCTCCACCAGCCGCCTGGCGCCGGCGCCGGCAGAGGGGCCCGAGGCTGCGGCCTGAAACCCGGCGGCTCCAAGAAACGGTTGTTGGATGGATGTGGGTCTGGGTCAACATTGAACCAGGAATTGGACGGCAAATTGTCCATTTACCCGGGTTCCATTTTTGGGTTACCCGAATTTGACCCACACCCATGTTGAGGTTAGTAGACATGTCGTATTCACCAGTTCTGAGTCACTGGAGTTTTCCTGCAACGTTGCAATGTACAGGCGGGCGTCAAATCCATATTTGTTTAAGAAAAAGAAAAGAAATGAAAAGAACTCAGGGATCCCTCAAAGGTCCAGAAACAGACTTCTCGGGCGTCCCTCATCTAATTGAAGACCCGCACAAAGAAAACAGCACGCAACGTACATGTGTATACATGTCAATGTGTGTGTATATGTGTTTGTGTGTATGTATGTTTGTATGCATGTATGCATGCATGCATGTATGTATGTATGCACGTACGCGTACGTATGTATGTATGTATGTACGTACGTACGTACGTACGTACGTATGTATGTATGTATGTATGTATGTAATGTAATGTATGTATGTATGTGTATGTGTATGTATGTATGTATGTATGTATGTATGTATGTATGTATGTATGTATGTATGCATGATGTATGTATGTATGTATGTATGTATGGATGGATGGATGGATGGATGGATGGATGCATGCATGCATGCATGCAAGCATGTATGAATGTATGTGTGTGAATATGTACGTATGTGCATCTGTGTGTATGTGTGTGTGTATGTGTGTGTGTGTATGTGTGTGTATGTGTGTATGTGTGTATGTGTGTATGTGTGCATGTATGCATGTATGCATGTATGCATGTACGTATGCATGTATGCATGTATGCATGTATGCATGTATGCATGTATGCATGCATGCATGTATGTTTGTATGCATGTATGCGTGCATGCATGCATGTATGTGTGTATGTGTGTACGTGTGTATGTGTCTATGTGTGCATGTATGCATGTATGTTTGTATGTATGCATGTATGTGTGCATGCATGCATGTATGTGTGTACGTGTGTACGTGTGTATGTGTGTATGTGTGCATGCATGTATGCATGTATGCATGTATGCATGTATGCATGTTTGTATGTATGCATGTATATATATATGTACCAGTCCCTGGGCCACGTACCCCCCCCCCCCCCCCCAATGGTATGGTCCCCCCACTCCCCCGCATCATCCGCATCTTGGGCATAATGCTGGCAATGCTGGGGATGCTGTCCACTTCGGTCCCAGGCCCCCTTTCACCCCGTGAACCAACACCCCCGCACCTCTCGCAACATCCTACCCTAAACCAAACCACCCTGCAACCCCTCCTTAACCCCAACCCTAAGCCCAAATCAACCCAAACCCCAAACCCACCCGAAACCCACCGCAAACCAACCCTGAACCAACCCTGAACCAACCCTAAACCAACCCACCAAGCCTCAACCAACTCCGAACCACACCCCAACCACCCAACCACCCCACCACCCCACCACCCCACCACCCCACCACCCCACCACCCCACCACCCCACCACCCCACCACCCCACCACCCCACCACCCCACCACCCCACCACCCCACCACCCCACCACCCCACCACCCCACCACCCCACCACCCCACCACCCCACCACCCCACCACCCCACCACCCCACCACCCCACCACCCCACCACCCCACCACCCCACCACCCCACCACCCCACCACCCCACCACCCCACCACCCCACCACCCCACCCCCACCCCCACAGGGGGGGCCCAACCACCCAACCACCCCACCACCCCACCCACCCACCCCACAGGGGGGGGGGGTGGGGGGGAGGGGGGGGTCCACGGCCTGGAACATATATGTTCCGGGCCGTGGAACCCCTCCCCCAACCCCCCCTGTGGGGTGGGGTGGGGTGGGGTGGTGGGGTGGTGATGTGGGGGGGTGGTGGGGTGGTGGGGTGGTGGGGTGGTGGGGTGGTTGGGTGGTTGGGGGTGGTTGGGTGGTTGGGTGTGGTTCGGAGTTGGTTTAGGCTTGGTGGGTTGGTTTAGGGTTGGTTCAGGGTTGGTTCAGGGTTGGTTTGCGGTGGGTTTCGGGTGGGTTTGGGTTTTGGGTTGATTTAGGCTTAGGGTTGGGGTTGAGGTGCGGGGGTGTTGGTTCACGGGGTGAAAGGGGGTCTGGAACCGAAGCTGCAGGGCTCGCATGGTGCTGGACAGCATCCCCAGCATTGCCAGCATCATCCCCAAGATGCGGATGATGCGGGGGAGTGGGGGGACCATACCATTGGGGGGGGGGGGGTACGTGGCCCAGGGACTGGTACATATATGCAGATGTCTCGTTTTTTGAAGATAGGCCTTTTGCTGTGGTGTTTCAGGGAGGAAACCAAACGGCAACTATCCATCCTCCCTTTTTGGTTGGTTTTAAAAAGAAACCAAGCGCGCCATGTTGGCGGATCCGATACAAGACGACACGCCCATGTCCGGGCTGTCCTCAGATCCCCTGCTAAAAAGCCGAAAACTTGTTGCTCAAGTGGAGCGACCCCCCCACCAAACCAACTAAAAGCCACGGAAAGACAAATCCCTTTGACCAATCCCTTTGACAAATCCCTTTGTTGAAGCTGACAAATCCCTTTGACCACTTTGACAAATCCCCACCAATCCCTTTGACCAATCCCTCAAGTTGAAGCTGACAAATCCCTTTGACCCGGCCGTAAGCTTCAGGCCTCCGTGGCATCTCCCGCATCGGGCTCGGGCTCCGCGACCCAGACCTCGACCTCCAGCTCGGTCGCCGGGAAGCGCAGGGCGGACACCAAAGGCCCGGCGCGGTACACGGAGAGACACACCTGAGCTGCGGTCGGGGCAAGTGGAATTGATGGTGGTTCGAAATCCATTTTTACCGCACCGCTTTCAGAAATTTTGCTTTCGGATTCGATTCCCCTGTATATAAATACCCACCAACCGCCGTTTCAACCATGGTTTCCAAGTGGTGCAGGATTTCGTCCATCCACAGCAGGTTGCCCTTGTGCTTCGGAACCAAATGGAAACCAAAAGCCATGTAAGACAGAAGCCCAAATGGCCATGGCTTACAAAAAAAGTAGCGAACATGGGAAACACCAAAAGGTCGATTCAGGTCGATTCGCTTTGAACCACAGACTTGGCAAATGGAAACGAAGACTAAGACCTGCGTAACCCCAGTTGCTCAGTTGAACTGGACGTGCAACGAGAAGGTGATCACTTTTGGGGGCCATAAGAAAACAAGGACTATGGGAAAAACCGAAAGGTCAATTCAGGTCGATTCGCTTTGAACAACAGAGGTTCACATCTCGGTTCGGTTAAACGGTTAAACCAAAAGGACAACGCCACTTGAGTGAACCCTAAATTCAGCAACACGGGGCTTTGGGCCCAGCGCTTCGGTAGCTTCCAGATCAGGGTCTCCTTTTGGTGTCCATGGAAAACACCCACCAAAAATGGGGGGGCGCCAGCCAGAGAGAGACCCGCCCGCCGGAACTCGCTGGTCTCAAAGGCCGAGAGCCGAGATGCAATGAGGCCCATGGGCAGAAGCAGCAGGTCCAGCAACGAGGCCTCAGACACGTGTCCTTTCGCCTGGTTTAGTTTACCCTCTCTCCCACTAACATGGCACTTCATTTAAGAGGGGTCCCTCCAAGAGGAAACTGATCTTGCAGGTACCCTCCCGCACGTGCCATGTTAGTGGGAGGAAGGGTCATAAAATCCCATTCGGCGGGTCAGTACAGGGGGCGGACAAAGGAGGTGGGTAGTTGAGAGCTGCTTTGGGGTCCTTCGGGATTTTACCGGAGTTGAGGGCGCCGTGTGTTGATTTTTCAAGGGCTTCAATCCAGGGAAACAACCAGAAGGGGACCCTGATACATGACAGGTCTGCCAAAACCCTAACACGGAAGATGCGAACACCACTGTGGATGGACAAAATCCTGTACCACCCAAAAAAACCTGGAATGAAGATTCCCCTGCAAATATCAACAAGCAATGGTTTTAACCATGGTTTCAAAGTGGTGCAGGATTTCGTCCGCAGTATGTGACAACTTTAAGTTGAACCCCACTTGGAAAAACCACCATTAAACTCAGGGTAGCTTTGAGGATGCCAAACTGCTTACAAGAACTGACCCCATTTGGGACCCCTTTCAGTTGGACAATGACGAGGTCAGTGGCCATTTCTGGGTTTGTCTGAAAACACAGTCAATGGACACAATCCCGCACCAGCTGAGATTGGTGGTTTATCAGCCATGATTCATGGGGCCTCATCTATCCCAGGTGCAATAATTTTGACACAATAGAATTTGGAACCCCCCCCCAAACAGGTAAGCCAACCCGAAGAACGGGTACCCTTCCTCGCAAAAAGAGCGACGCGCTCGAGGCGCCAGGCCCACTTTCGCCACCTCCACCCGCAGCTCCGCATCCCACAGCAGCGGGTTCGGCGTCCGAGCACGCGACGAGCTTCCGCGCGACGAGCTTCCGGAGAGGCGATGGACCAAGCTGCGGCTGCGCAGAGGGTTGGCCTCAGCTCCAAGTTTGCTCGGACGGGGAGCTTTGGGAAAAAATTTGGGCCTCCGAGCTCGCGGGTGCCTTCCTGGCACAGGTCGTGTAACCACTCGAAAACAGGGCACCATAGGTCAACCTTCGTCGCTTTCTTGTTGGTTTGTCCTTTTTTTCTTTGGGGGGGGAGTTCCCGAGTTCCCTTGTCTCCATACCGTGTGCCATCTAAAATGTGCTAGTTCTGCTCGCTCTTGGCAGCCTCCAGCCCTTGGCACTCGGTTTCAACTATCCCCAGCCCGGCATCTCCAAAATAAACGCAGGGACACTCCCCAGCCGAACGAAACCTTGCACCATGTAAGGGGTTGCCGTAAGCCGTGTCTGTGGCTTGGTTAACCCTTTAAACGACGGGGGCAAAAGGGGTCGTCTCCAAATTGGGAACTCTGCAAATGGGCGGATTTTCCGCATTGTGTACCCTGAAAAACCGGGAAAAAAAACAAAAAACAAAAACACCCAACTGGGAACTACCAGGACATCCTCAAAGTGACACCTACAACTCTCATGGCTATGAGTTCAGGGGATTTGGGCCCAACTCAAAAAGAATGGAGAGAACTTCCCTTGGCTTCCTCTCAAAACCCCCAAAAAAAACCAAAAAAATGAACCACCCCTCCCAGCGGTTTCCGGGCGAGGGGGCCAAGGCGGCCAGCGCCAAGAGGATGGACAGCAGCTCCGCCAGGGACACGAAGGGCAGTAGCAGCAGGTAGCCCCGCGCCTCGCAGCTGTCCCTCCGGTCCTGGGCCATTCGAATGGCTCATCCCTTTTTTTGGGGAAGATGGGCGTGGCTCAAAGTGAAGGAACCGGGGTTGCGCAGGTCTTGGCCTTTGGTCCCATGTAGCAAGGTGCCGTGGTGGTACCTCTTTTTGAGCCACAGACAAAGAGATCTGCCTGGTTGGTCTATATTTCAACAACCAAAAAGGACACCTATGGATGGATGAGTCCATGTCAAAACGGAGTTGCTCCAATACAGTTTTCTCACTTCCTGAGTGGATGGGCCAGAAAAAGCCCGAACTTCTGCCGCTAAGATGGTCTTTCCGAAAAGAGAAAAGAGTTCAGGAACTCGGGAAGCTCGGGTTTTTGTTTCTTACGCCAAACCGTCCAACCGTTGTGCGAAAACCCGTAGGACCTACAAGGGACAAAGTTTGTGGCCCCTTTGAGTTGAGGTTTTGGATCCGGATGCATACACCTGAACATTGCAACTTGTAAATGGTGGCAACTCCAACTTTATTTTGCTGGAAAAAGCAACATGCTTCAAATGGTGGGAAAATGTATCCTTTCAGGAGCCCTGTTGAGGTTTTAGGGTTTCTCGTTGGGTTTCTCGTTGGGTTTCTCGTTGGGTTTCTCGTTGGGTTTCTCGTTGGCGAGAAACGTTTTGAGGCCGCCAGCCGGGTTCAACACGAATTTTCTTTCCACCAGTCCCTTTCGACACCTCCACCCACTTCCCGCCCCCCCGCTCCCTTCCCCCCAAAACAAGGTCCACTTTTCCCCCTACCCCCCCCCCTCCCTCCCCCCCCGGCTCCCCGCTCCCTTCCCTTCCCCCCCCAAAAAAAAGAAAGAAGCGAGCGCCGAGCGCCTTGAAGTGCTCCTTGGCCCAGAGCACGTTCCACAAGCCCGGCATCCGCGAGGGCACGAGGAGCGACACCAGGCCATAGGCGACAAAGCCCAGGTCCAAGAGCCCGTGCAGCCCCTGAAACCGGGCTGAAACCATGTCGCGGCTCGAGTCAAAAACCACCGGACGTGCTAAAAAACCAGGAAATGTGGGGTTTTGGGAGTTTTGAGGCTTGGGGTTTGGGGTTGGGAGCTTGGGTTTGAGGTTTGGGGTTTGGGGTTTGGGGTTTGGGTGTTAAAGGGTGTTGGGTCCATCTCCCTCCAACAATGGAAGCTGGCGAGAGGTCTTTGGAAGAGACAATTTGGAGAAGCCGGCTGTCCACTTCCATGATTGCTGGATAGAGGGTAGGTCCCAAAACCAAAGAAAAGGGAAAATCGGGGCCAACAAATACAAACTGGATGAACACCTGTGGATGGACATGGCTTGTGGTTGCTTCGCTTGCAACATGTGGCTTGTTTTGAGCTCAAGGCATTTACAGATTTGGAATTGCTGGGAAGGTTCACAAGCTGGCTTACAGGGGGCGGGAGTCAAAGAAGTTTAACTTCTTTTCCCCAAAGCTTTGGAGAATTTTGCAGGTGCTGAGCAGGGAATGAGAAACGGAACAACCCCTATGAACCATCCACCTGGTAGTTTCCTTTCTTTGGGATCTCAAGGTTCCTTTCATGTCTCATTCCCTACCGATTTCGCGATCGCAAGGAATGGGTGAATTTTCACCTCGCTCTCTCCCCGTTGGGACCGACCACCCCACAGCCTCTTCTTGTTGACGCTCTCGAGGTCCACAAAACATGGGATGAAACACCGAACCGCTGATGCTCTTTTCGAAGGATGCCCCCAATGTTGCCCCCAATGTTCTGAAAAGGGCAGTCCAACAAAGGGGGTAAAGAAACAGAACGTCTCAGAAAATCGAAAAACCTGTCCTATCTTTTCGATCACGGCTTTTGCTTTGCCCCTTCCCCGCGGTTCCCCCGCAAAAACCGCCCCCCTCCGCCCCCAAAGCTCCCCACCCCCACCCCCCCACCTCGCCTGCTTGGCGGCCCAGTTGCGCAGCTGGGACAGGCACTTCTCGAAGTGCTGCCACTGCGGCCACAGCTTCTCCTCGCGCACCAAGAATTCCGACGGGGCGTCTCGCCCATTTTGCCCGGTGCCCGTTTTTTGAAACACACCCAGAGAGAGAGGGCAGGGAGGGTACGGGCTCCGAATGGAAAATGGAAGCTACCCAGTTTTGGCGCATGACCCCAATTTTGGTCCTTGGCCAAAACAGCAAGCTTCATAACTGAAAACAAGTTCTCAAATTTGATGAACCTGAGACAAACATCATGGAATCGAAGTCCCAACTTCTCCTCCCCCGCAAAATGAAAACGGACAAAACAGAAGGCAAGCTCACCAACCCCTACAAAACAAAAGGCACTCCCCCGCTCTCCCCCCCCCCCCCCACACCAAAAAAACAAGGGCGAAAAAAAGAAGACAGAAAAAAACACCCGCGAAAAAATGCGCGGACCAAAGAGGGAAAAAAAAAGAAGAAAAAAAATCCTCCCCAGCGACGGCTCCTTCCCAGCCCCCTGCGCCCACGAAACCAAGGCGCGCGGTGCGCCGGCGCCAGGCGCCAGAAGAGCAGCAGCGCCAGCAGCGCGAGGGGCGCCAGCACGAGGTCCGCGTAGCTCTCGGAGGCGGACTCCACCAAGTCCGTGCGGTCCTCTCGGGAAGCCGAGAGGATGCGGCGAACGAAACGGAAAAAAAAGGGGACGGAACGCCAAATGCGGGGGGGTTGGGTCAAAAATCTGGGTGAGTTATCAGATTTCACCAGCCTGAGATAAGGCTGGAGGGATATTCCCCACATACACCACCATTTGGGGTGAATTCGGTCGTGTGAGGTCGTGTGAGGTCGTTATAATTCACCCAGAGAAATGGGGTAACCCGAATTGGCTTGGGAAATGGAAACGAGGACGAAAACCGGTCCCCTGATGGTCGAATTTTGACCCATGCCCAAGTGGAATTACCCAGTTGATTGCCTGAGTGTTCACATTGATAGATAATGTAAGACAAAGATCTTAACATGTTTGATTATGAACCCCTACGGAAATGGAACTTACGGGAACCCGTCACATGTTTGGTTCATGATGTTCATGAAAAAAAAAAGGCAATTATGAGCCCAGCGGGCTGTCTCGAATTACGGGGAACCCGTTTTGGATGCATGCTTTTTGTCGGGACCAAAGCAAAGCTCCGCCTAGAGGCCCTATTTTTTTTTGAAACACCCAAATGGAGCCCTGGTTTATTGGTAAAGTTGCCATTAAATTCATCAAAGGCTTAGGTTTATGAGGAATCCATGTAAGAGACGAACAAGACGAGGGGTTTCGCGTCACAGGAAAAAAAACTCAACCCAAAAGGCATTTTAGGGTTGGGTTTAATGAGATACCCACTGCATCGTGTAAGAGGAATCTGCAAAATTCCTCTGAACATGGACTCCACACAAGCATCATGTTCCCGAAAGAGGCCCTCCCCGTTTTGATTTCTGTTGTGCCGCTGCACCAATGTGGATTTGGTGAATTCTACTACCCAACAAAAAGAAGGAGAAAAGAATCGGGGTAAAAAAATGGGCGTGTCTGTTTTTAGCCCCCCCGCCCCTTCCCAAGAAAATATTGGGGTTTTCCTTTGGGTGTCCCTGTGAACCCACAAAAAAAAAGAAGTTACCAACTCAAGCCAACAAAACACTTCTTGGACCTCGACTTCCAAGCGAAATCCGGTAAGACGAGTGAAAAGGAAAGGCAACCACGATCGGTCCTATGCAAGCGGGAGGTTCCCTTGACAACCCCCAAAGAAGCCGGGGATTGACACAAAAAGGCACTTGGCTGGTCAGGGAATGACCCAGCGTGGGGAATGAAAAGTTTGAACCGTGTTGGGGATTACAGACAGGGGACGCTGAAAAAGGGGATGCCTTCCATTTCTCATTCCCTAATCGAACCAGCAAGGGAAACCCTTGTGACCAAGTGGCGTTTCCTTTTGTCCATCCCCCTTCGGTGGGTTTTTACTTCACAGAAAAAACCATCGGCCATCGGCCCGAGCAGAGTGCTTTCCGACATGAAAGGAAGTATCTTCTTGAATCGTACTAAACAGTACTAAATGATTAGCAAGGGGTGAAGTCCTACTGTTTTGGTATTCCTATTTAGTACTGCTTTTAGGTTCATGTCTTTTTTTCGCGCCAAAAAAAGGACAAGTTGGAGCTCGCAAACCAGGGAAGCAACCAGCGGAAGGGTTTCATGGACACAAAAAAACATCCACTGTTGGTCTTGGTGTGGATTGTTCAGGTTGGATCGGTTTCCCAAAAAAAACTCAAGAACTCAAGAACCAGGATTTCTCGCTGAGAGCCCCGTCCGACACATTGTATCCATCATCATCATCCCCGCGGCCCCTGGAAACCTTCTTCATGGCCTGATCAACGCAAAGCGCGACAGCTGAGGATTCTGACTACTTCGTCAACCTCCAAGATGTGTCGTTCGGACTCTACTTCATCTTCCGCAAACCCTTAAAAAAAGAAACTACTTTTTAAAAAGACAGAAGAAACCTCACGTTTTTCGTGCCACAAACATGGCAAACCCAGGCGAACCATTTAGGTCTGTCTCCTTGAGGCTCGTCCCCCGTTTTAAAGGTAGCTTTGTGACTAGAATCGCCGAAAACACGGGCCCCCAACCCCCCAGCAAAAAGCTAGCCAGTCACCAAGGGAAAAAACAGAAAAAATACACCAGCAAAAACCCCAAACAGTTAAGAACTGACGACCAAGCACAAACATGCCAACAGATTGTGGCTTTCTGCGCTTCAACACGGATGAATCAAAATGATGCAGTCGTGAACCCAGTTGCCACGTGAACACATTAGCGTGTCGTAGGTGAACACATATGTGCGTTCCAGGTGTACACATGTGTGTGTCTGTGTGATTTACAAGAAGCACACGTTGGCTTTCCAGCTCAACACACGTATGCGTGCGCCGCACGTGAATCCGCACGTGAATGTATATGTGCGCGCTCACGGGTGCACATCTGCGTGCCACGTGTACTGCTTCTGTGTGTTCCACATGTACACACACATGTGTGTCTGAATTGGACATGTGTGTCTGAACTTCCCATGTGACTCACCGCGCGCTTGCTCAGCCACACCTGCGTTCACACGCGCGCGCTTGCCCAACCAGTTCCTGCGCGGCGCGAAGCGCGAAGCACGCCAGCAACACACGTGCAGCAACACGTGCAACACACGTGTGTTCACCTGGAACACAATCACGTGCAATTAAAGCACACATGTGTGTACATGTGGGCCACACATATATACACCACTGGAACACACATATGTGTCCAGGAACACCGCGGGTGCGATTCAAGCACGCATGTGTGACACGTGAAACACACATATTTGCACGCGTGGGCAAACATAAACGCTCACCGAAAGCGCGCACACACACACATGCACGCACCTCGAAAACAACCATGCGTTTTCTGGAGCACATACATGTGTACACCTGGAGAGCAAATATGTCGTCAGATGCAAAAATGTTCACCTAGCACATAGAAATGTGTTCACGTGGAACACACATCTGTCCACCTGAAACACAAACACGTCTCCAAGTGGAACACACATGTGCGTACACGTGGAACACACATATGTGTACACGTGAACACACATATGCGCACACATGAACACTCACATAAATGTGCACCCGGAACACACATTTGTGCGCTCATCCGATAACAACCGTGTGTTTTTTGAAACGCAAACACGTGTCCAATTGGACACGTGAACACACATATGTGTACACGTGGAACACACACATGAGTTTTCATCTTTTTTCATCTGAAAATAAACATGTATTCACCTAGAACACATGCACGTGTCTGATAAGAACACACATGTGTGCACACGTGAACACACATATATGTGTACAAGTGGGAGCACGTGAGCACAAGTGCACAAGGGAACGCACACATGTGTACTGCACACGTGAACACACACATTTGTGCGCACGCAGAAACACAGACACACACAAGTATTCATCTGATAACAAACACGTGTTCTCCTGGAACAAACACGTGTCTAGTTGGAAGTGTGTACACATGTGTGCACACGTGAACACACAAGTGTGTACACCTGGAACACGCATATGTGTACAAATGAACACACATACATGTGCACGCGGAGCAGACCTATACACACACGCACGCGTGTTCGTCTGATAACAAACATGTGTTCCTGGAACACAAACACGTGTCCAGTTGGATCGCACGTGTGTGCACACGTGAACACACAAGTGTGTACACGTGGAACACGCATGTGCGTACACGTGAACACACATACGTGTGCATGCGGAGCAGACACGTCTTCATCTGATAACAATCATGTGTTCTCCTGGGGCTCTGCCTTGAGCAACGCTTGTGTTTTGTATGCATGTTCCAAGAAGGAGAATAGTGTTCGTGTGCGATGAATCTAGCAATTTTGCAACACGTTGCTAGCGCGCGAGCCAGCTGCTGCTGCTGCTGCTACTACTGCTAATGCTATCAGTGTCGGGCGCGTCTCCAGCATTTACAGGCTTCATCTTAGCAAAAGCTTTCTGGCACATTGCGCTTCTTTCTCGCTTGGCTGCGCAATGTCTTTCGTATCGAGCAATCTGTTGCTCGACAGAACGCTCTAAAGTGCCTTTATCGTATTATTGCGGCAGCTCTTCGTATCGATTCAGTAAAGCATTTGCTTTCGCAATATCCACAACCCTCTTCTTCCGTATGCTGGGTACAAGGCATCCCTGCAGCCGTTTCGACAAAATAAGGCCACAAAAGATGAAGGTAAACGTGCGGACCGGCTTCAAGTACTCAGTAAGAACTGCAACATTACACCGGGAGACAAATGAACGGAAAAAAGGAAAGGGAAAGAAACACATTTCTTCTTAAACCCCCTGAAACCCCAAGCCTTGGCCAGCTGGCGCCACCGCAAAGGCCAAACCACAGAGGGGGCCACGAAGGCAAAGAGGAAAACGTCCGCCACGGAACAAAGGAACTGCGTCCCGCAGAAGGCCTCGCATTCGCGCATTCGCATGGTCTCAAGGTATTTCTCCTCGGCCCGCAAAAAAATGGGCCACCGAGTAGTTGGGGGAGAGAAGCCGCCACTTGGTTCTCGTTCGGCAGACCTTCCTCAAACGGAAGAACCTGCTCCACGGTTTCGGCGGCTTCCGCGTGACTTCCGGTCAATCACCTGGAAATTGGTAAGGATACATCCAAACGGCTTTGGCTTTAGTTTGGGACAACTGTCGTGGTTGGCTTCGTCTTGGTCGGTGTTGGGTTCTGGGGGATATATTGTACCTCCAAAAGCCTCGTGCTTGTTGAAAACAAAAGGGAATCCTTGTCGGATACGGTTTTTGTCACTCTAATTGTGAGTCACAGAAATGGAAAAAGAATCAGGTCTGTGCCAAGTTTCTTGCTGGCTTCGGGTCTGACACGGGAAGAGGGTCACATGCAAGGGCAACCTTCAGTTGCGGGCCGAACTCGAAGACCTCGGAAAAGGGAAAGGGAGAAAGGGGCAAACACTTCAAAATCAGTCAGCTGGCTTGGGAGAACCTGCGGTTCGAAAGGAGGAAATAGAAAAGCCGTAAGTCACTAAAGCTGCACAAGCTGCGCACGTCGCTCAGGCCGCATGCTGCACATGCCGCGCACATGCCGCGCACACGCCCGCACACACACACACACACACACACACACACACACACACACGCACACACTTCAACCCCAAAGGAGAGATCTCATCTTTCGAGCACAACCTGTAAGTTTCGAGCGGGTGGGTTTTCGAGTACAACTGAAGATACTGAAGATGGCACAGCGATCATGCAAACAATGAGACAACTCAAAAGCTGAAACCGACGTAGACATGAAGCCTCACTCTACTTGCTTGAACAGGAAAACAAGGAAGCAACAGCGGTTCAGGGAGGGGACGTTCCGAACATTACAGCAATTTTCATGCGCAGGTACCTCCAGATGATCAGTCCAGATTGAGCAGCTTCATTGGCAGTGGGCTCATGAGTGCAGGGGGCACAACGAGAAAAATGGCGTCAGGGTGAATCTGACACTCTGCGCACACACGCCCCTCAATGAGGGGCGGGAGACTCTTTTTCCACGCTCCCGACACGATGCACGTCGGCGCCGGTCACGCTCCAGAAGCAGAAAGCCATGCCAGCTTGCCGTTCTTCCGGATGCCCAGAGGTAGATGATTCAGGTTTCGATGTGAAAATTGCCGATGCTTCTTGAGTTTCAGTTGACCCTTGGTGCGTTTCATGCTTGAGTGCAGCCGTACTTTACTTGCATTGGTAGTGAGCTGCGGTTTGCGCCATGTTGCTGTCCACTGAGTTTGCGACGAACTTGGTGACCATCCTCAATACTTTACTTTCTCAGATTTCGACGGCATTGGACACTCTGAACTACGCGATCAACTTGCACCAAGCCAGTACAACTGAGGCGCGCTCTACACCATCTCTTCATCGGCCCCGCAATTCTCGGCATGGACTGCGGCCAAGAAAAGTTGCCGAACATTTGCCACCGGAACATGGATCAAGATACACCTCCTGCTCGCACGAGGCCGATGGATACGACTTAAACGGTGTGGTAATCGGGAAACATGCTCAGAAGACGGGGCCCAAGGATCGCCGTGGTGTGAATAGGTGACCTCTTCGCGCAAGAAGTAGTTGGACCACAATTGTCCATCAACGGCTGGAACTGCTGGTGAGATTGATGAAGGAGCTGTCAAGACCCTGAGTGTTTTCTGAGTCAGCGTTGAGACCGTCATTGCGGTCTGAGATGATGGGGGCATCCCTGTCTGTGGTGTCCTGAATGCCGATCTGGCGCGCGTCGCGAGTAAGAATGTGTTGGAAACCTTGACAGTGCCAATCCTGGATGTGGGTAATGTTCCGTTGTGTCCAGGCATCTTGTTGAAGTTCTCCGTCAGGCCCCGGCAGCGCACCGTAGCGCAGGTTCCCACACCCTATATGTGTATCATTCTATTTTGGTACCACGTCTGCACTTCCCCACGCGTGAAGATCTTGACCCATTCTTGAACGTGCCATTGTGTATACTCCAGCCACGGTTGCCGGTCGAGATGATGACCACGAACAGATTCATCACGTTCAACTTCCATAACTCAGAGACACAGGACGTGAAGGTCTGCAGCTACACCAATGTCTCAACAGCTGAAGCAACCAAGAGCAAAGAACAACACAAGAAAACAAGGCACACCAAACATCGATCAAGCCAAGCGCAGTAAGCAGACACCTTTTTATCAGCCATGTGTACAGTGACTCAATGCCAGCATCAAAAACAGGGCGATCGCATCCGGTGCCAATGTGGAACTCAGAGACGTCTCAGACTGGTTGATGTCCGCGCTAGGATGATGAGAATGAGATGTATCTTGGTGGTCACGCGCCGCCACATCAAGCTGCTTCTGAATGTAATTCTGAAGGCGCGTCAGGCCATCAAAGGAAATTGCCGCGGAGTCGGTCGATTGAAGCATTGCTGAGGGCAAACTTCCACCGTGGCTGATTGTGTCGCAGCATTTCGATCCTGATCATGGCATTGGCGCCCAAACGGGTGGCGGTCATCATCAGGCTCGGGAGGCGCCACCCGACGAAACCCAAGGACCCAATCACGCTTGTACCATGAATGGGGTGGTAGGCGTTGCGTCGGTGCGTGGACCTGGAACTTCTTCCACTCCCTGCGGCTGCCATCCTGAGGTGTTCCAGTCGCGGTCGTGCCAGGTATAGAACAAGGCATGAGAAACGGGTTGAGTCAATCAGTCTGGAGTGGTTCCTCCAGCACTATCACGTGGCCACTAAAGTAGAACCACCCATTTCGTGGCAGGCCAGGCGGGGCCTGTAGTGGAATCTAGGATAAGGTGCGATCCGGAGCCTCTCCCTTTTCTTCCCTTTGCATTTGCGCATGTGTGTCGGGACAGTCTGATGTGTTCACATGGAAGCATAATTCCAAGCAAGTCGAGCAGGAGAAACCAGTCCGCACTCGTAACATACAGATCTGTATCTTGCAAAAACCAGTGCCAGAGCCGGAAATGTTGATTCAACCAAAGACAGGCACCCTCCTGGCCCTCAGCTTGCGAACCTTGCAAATGGGAAACCGATACAACCAGTTCAACCCCCCAAAGACCCGACCCCCTGGGCTTCTAACAGCCCCGACCTCTAGCTTGGACGAAACCAAAACGGAAGCCAAATTGAAGGCCCACAAGGCGGCAGGCATATATTTATGGTTGCGACTATCCCGTAATCTTCCTCTAGCCGGGTTTTGAGGACGTGACTCATGGGTCGATATTCCTGGCCTCAAAATAACCATGGGTAATTGTCCCATGTGAATATTGTCTTGCGCGGCCATCCCATGCATCACGGATCCTTTTCATCAAGCTTTCAAGCTAGCAGAAGGGCGCATGTTTCAGTCGCCTGGAAATCCTTCAGCTCTTTGAACTTCTTCTTTGTCAGCAGCCCCACGATGGCAGGGATCCGCCATAGCACGCAGAGAGCCAGAGCCAGCAGCACCACGCAGATCCTAGCGAGGTCGCTGTCGCTTCAGCCGCCCGTTTTGGCGGGCACGAAAGATCCTCAAAGGAACGGGGGCATATGTCGTTTCTTCAGGCTGGCCCAAAATAATTGTAGTTTTCCTCTTGGTTTTCCTTGAAAACCCACAAAACATGGGTGCCCTCGAAAAAAAAGGCACAGCAACAGAGATGTTGGGCCAAACCTTTTCTCGGGGGGCCAATTCGGTTGGTTTAAACAAAACCCGATCGGTCGGGTGAGTCTAACATCATACAGGCAAGGTGAACTCACCCCCTGGTTCCGCTGCTCAGGCTGCAATGCTGCTTGTCGTTGTTGCGGTTGGATTTCATGGAGCCAGCCGCTTGAAGGGGTTGTCAAGCAATAGAATTCATGGCATTTGCATTACCTCAAACCTCTGCAGGGTGTTCCGTGGGGGGACACCATAAATTTGGGCTGTTCCCTTTGTGGGAGAGGAGTTTGAGTTTGCGCCGGGGGGGCGGGGGCGCCAAAGAGAAAACGGATATATATATATATATATAACTGGAGTTCCTAATTCCCCCCAACTCCAGTTTTTGAGCGGACGGGAACTCATACATTGCCTTCCATGTCCTATCCAGGCAGATCCAAGAAGTTGGAGTCACGCCGCCGCCTGCCAATACTTGATCTGACGCCTTCCGTCCGAGCGGCGCTGTGAGGGTCACATCCAGCACGAAGCGCGCGATCCGCAGCAGCGTGGCCAGGAACTCGGTGAGGTCGCTGGACATGGCGTTTCCGCGCGCTCGACTCGCTCGATGGCCCCGGCTCAGCAAGGGCCGTTGCAGCTCGAGCATCTGAACTGTTTTGGTCCAGCCCAGCGGCGACCGAGAGCTCACCGGCGCAGGCCCGAGAGGCCCGCAAGAAAAAAACGCATCGAAGAACTTGAGATCCAAAGTGGGAGGGTTAACACTGAACCAGCCGGCAAAAGGCCGTTGTTCCGCGTTTTGTTGAACAAGCCCTTACCACACTCCTGGGTCCCGCAATGCAAAAATTCCCGACGCTTTCCTGGCCACACCCTAATTGTGTCTTCAAAGGACACCAGGTCTACCTTGGTGCAAAGAAGCCACAAGGCAAAGCCACGCCATTTTGGAGGTAGTTACCACAAATGTTGATTGCCAGCCGCCAAAATCGCCCAGCAGAAAGCCGTTGCTTTTACTGGCTTCATTCTTGACAAACAACTGGGCAAGGGAGCTCATCAGAATCCAATGAGATTAAATCACTGTCACGAACCCACCCAGCTTTCCGAGGCAACGGCAGTCCACACGGCCCTTCATCGGCGCCTTGGCCTGAAAGTTTTTCACTGGAGCGCTTACATGCTGAATAGCTCTCCCCCGAAGCTTCGAGTCACACTGCTCAGAAAAGAAGCGGTACTTCATTCTAAACCGGTCTGCCAAACAGGAGGTCAGTCTTATAAGAATGTGGTAGAATGCATAAAATGAAACCTTGCTTCAGGAGGTAGAACACATTGAAACACTTCTTTATTTGCTAGATGTTGCTCTGAATACATATTAACATACAATATATATATATATATATGTATGTGTGTGTGCGTGTGTGCACCGCATACATATATATATATATATATATATTGTATGTATGTATGTATGTATGTAAGTAAGTATGTATGTATGTATGTATGTATCTATGTATGTACGTACCTACGAACGTGCGTACGCATGTATGTGTGGATGTATGTGTGTACGTATGTATGTAAGGTGCCTTGCTCTGTCATGCAAACTGGCCAGCCCAAAATGTATGTATATATGTATATATGTATGTATGTATGTATGTATGTGTGTATGTATGTGTAAACGTCTATATATAAATATATGTATGTATGTATGTATGCATGTATGTTCGTATGTATGTATGTATGTATTTATGTATGTATGTGTGTGTATGTTTGTATTTATGTATGTATGTATGTATGTATGTATGTATTTATGTATGTAGGCACGTACGGGCGTACGTACGTATGTATGTATAGGTGCGTGTCTACGTACGGATGTATTGATTTATGCATGAATGTGTGTATGTGTTTGTATGTAGGCAGGTAGGTATGTATGTATGTATGCATGCATGTATGTATGTATGATATGTGTACACGTACGTCGTACGTACGTACGTATGCATGTAGGTGTGTGTGTGTGTGTGTCTACGTACGTGCGTGCGTACGTACTCCGTACGTACGTACGTACGTATGTATGTATGTAGGTATGTATGTATGTATGCATGTATGAATGTACGTACGTACGTATGCATGCATGTGTGTGTGTGTGTACGTATGTACGCACATATGTATGTGCGTATGTGTATGCGTATGCGTATGCGTATGTGTATGTGTATGTGTGTGTATGTGTGTGTATGTGTATGAGTATGTGTATGTTTATGTATGCACGTACGTATGTATGTACATATGTACGTATGTACGTATGTATATATATATGTATATATGTATGTATGTATGTACGTAAGTACGTATGTATGTATATATGCATGTGGGTGTGTACGTATGTATGTATGTATGTGTGTATGTATGTATGTATGTATGCATGCATGCGCGTATGTACGTATGTATATGTACGTACATATGTATGTATGTATGTACGCATGTACATATGTATGTATGTATGTATGTGTGTGTGTGTGTGTCTGTATGTATGTATGTATGTATGTATGTATGTATGTATGTGTGTATGTATGTACGTACGTACGTATGTATGTATGTACGTACGTATGTATGTATGTGCGTGTCTGTCTGTCTGTCTGTCTGTCTGTCTGTCTGTCTGTATGTCTGTCTGTCTGTCTGTCTGTCTGTCTGTCTGTCTGTCTGTCTGTCTGTCTGTCTGTCTGTCTGTCTGTCTGTCTGTCTGTCTCTGTCTGTCTCTGTCTGTCTGTCTGTCTGTCTGTCTGTCTCTCTCTCTCTCTCTCTCTTTCTCTCTCTCTCTCTGTCTGTCTGTCTGTCTGTCTGTCTGTCTGTCTGTCTGTCTGTCTGTCTGTCTGTCTGTCTGTCTGTCTGTCTGTCTGTCTGTCTGTCTGTCTGTCTGTCTGTCTCGCTGTCTGTCCGTATGTATGGATGCATGCATGCATGCATGTATGTATTTATGGTATGCATGCATGTATGTAAATATATATATCTATATATATCTATGTATGCATCCGTTTATCTATGAATCTATTTATCTATGTATCTGTGTATCTCTGTATCTATGTATGTATGTATGTTTGCCTGCATCCATGTATGCATGCAGGAATGTATGAATGTATGCGAGCATAAGTGCATGCATGTATGTATGCATGCATGCATCATGTATGTATACACATCCAGACACTTGCGTTCAGCTTATCTGACAGGGAGTTGGGGCTTGGTTCATGCTCACCACGTTTTCCATCCGCTGGCATCGAAGAATTGAAAGGACAGAGCACGGGTGCACAAGGTGAGGAAGTCTCGGGAAAGCTCATGGCTTATGGCCGATGCTGAGTTGGTGGAGAGGTTTGAGTGTCCATCTCTTCCGCTCAGCAAAGAATCCTCAAAGCTGACAAAGGCATTTACTTCTGTTCAGTTGTAATCTTCATTCATGGCAAGTCCAAAGACTTGAGGACTCAGCATCAACCGGGAGATCCTTGTGCCGCCTTCCGGCGCTGCCATCGCATTGGCCAAATCATGTTCACGAGCGCAAAGACATGTTCACCTATGCCTCGAGCCTATGAAATTATTGAGGGAACTCCGTTCGCGCCCAAGAGCTCAGCGGGGGATGGAGTTGTTGCCGGCCTCAGCCATGGGGGTGCCATCCACCAAGTAGCCAATGTCCGCGGCATATGCCGAGGGTGGCAAAGCCGACCCCGGCGTGTGCAGGTCAGGGCCAATGGTCTCTGGATGGTTGATGGCATTGCCAGCAGCGTTCATCGGGGTGCCATCCGGCAGGTAGCCAACGTCGTTGGTGTAGCTGGCACGGGGCAAAGGAGAGCCGGGCGCATGAGGGTCAGGCTGGATGTTCTCCGGGTGGTTGATGGCATTGCCAGCCCTGTTCATGGGGGTGCCGTCCGGAAGGTAGCCCACATCGTTCTGAAACTTCAGGTCCGCATACGCATCCTGTTGGAATGCATAGGAAAAGCCAATCGGGCGCCTCACCTTTGTCTCCGCACCGACAAAGGCCGCCGTTGCCATGGCGGGCACCGGGGCTGCAGCAGGAGCTGCTGCAGGAGCCGGTGCAGGAGCAGCTGGCGCAGAAGGCGCACCTGCAGACATGTCCATGTGGTTGATGGCGTTGCCAGCCAGCTCCAGGGGAGTGCCATCCACCAAGTAACCAGTCTCAGCCGCATATACAGACGGGGGCAGAGGCGAACCAGGCGTATGAGGGTCGGGACCGATGGTCTCCGGGTGATTGATGGCGTTGCCGGCCCTGTTCAATGGGGTGCCGTCTGGGAGGTAGCCGATGGAGTTCACAAAGTTGGCCCTCGGCAACGGAGAGCCAGGATTGTGCAGGTCCGGCTGGATGGTCTCCGGGTGGTTGACGGCATTGCCGGCCAGGTTCATGGGCGTTCCGTCCGGCAAGTAGCCCACGTCATTGATGTACTGGAGGTCTGCATAGGCATCCTGCTGCTTGCTGTACTCGAACTTGATGCCATGGAACTTGTCACCCGTGGACTGCCCTGCTGCCATTGGCGCAGCAGCCACAGGTGCTGGGCTGGACATAGGCATGGAGGGCGCAGGGGCAGCCGGAGCAGATGCTGCAGCCGGAGCGCCTCCACCCTGCATGTGGTTGATGGCGTTGCCAGCCAGCTCCAGGGGAGTGCCATCCACCAAGTAACCAGTCTCAGCCGCATACACAGACGCAGGCAGAGGCGAACCAGGGGTGTGAGGGTCAGGCCCGATGGTCTCCGGGTGGTTGATGGCGTTGCCGGCCCTGTTTAATGGGGTTCCGTCCGGCAGGTAGCCGATGGAGTTCACAAAGTTGGCCCTCGGCAAAGGAGAGCCAGGGTTGTGCAGGTCCGGCTGGATGGTCTCCGGGTGGTTGACGGCATTGCCGGCCATGTTCATGGGCGTGCCGTCCGGCAAGTAGCCCACGTCATTGATGTACTCCAAGTCTGCATAGGCATCCTTCTGCTTGCTGTTCTCGAACTTGATGCCATGGAAACGGTCCTCCCCGCCGTGGGCCTTCTTGGCCACCTTGGACTTGCGGCCGCGAGCACGGATGCCGGCTCCTGCAGCAGCGGCCAGCACTCCGCACGAGGCGACGGCTGGCCAGGCGCCTGTCGCAGTGGATGCCTCCTGGACACTTTGGGCCGCAGCGGGCCTCTGGCTCTGCAACTGCTGCATCGCTGCAGGAGCTGCAACAAAGGCATCCTGCGACAGCAGCACGGCCCCGCTGGCCGCCACGCCCACCGCCACAGCACAAGATCGCCGCGACATCTTTTAGGTCGAGGGGCCTGTATGACACTGGAAGAAAGGAACTAGCTGCTTGACTGAGAATCCGGCAACTGCAGCAAGCAATCTATTGAGGAACTGCCAATGTGCTCAGTCGCTGAGTCGCTGAAGCAAGTGATTTGTCTGCACCATGAGCTTTGGCTTGCATTTTGCATGGCGCCTTCTCTGTCTGACCGTCTGAGTACATGAGCGGCTGGATCCTGGTCACAAAGTTGCTACAGACAGGATGTTGACAACTGATTGTTGTCAGCCTTCCAAAATGAAGAACTGGTAAAGCGTTGGAAAAACGGGCCATGAAAAAGTGTTCTAGAGGCACGCATGCAAGCATCATGCAGGGCTGTCCTCGGCTCCAGTGACCAACATTTACGTAGATCTTGGTCGCCGCCTTTGGCCACAGACGGCCGGTATGTATAAGGCTTGTCACAAAGAGAAGGTAGACAAAGGATGGATCCAGGAGGCAAAAAGAAGAGGGCAATTTCCAAAACAAGAAAAGAAAGAGAAGGGCGGGCCAGGGCCAACGGCCTACAACCCGTCATCATCGGACACCTACATCACCTCCACAACCACAATGCAGAAGCATGGAACTCTCCGTGGGTGCACAACGAAAAGCCCGCCGAATGCCAATGGCGTAAGAACTGGCACGGCAGCAAAAAAAAGCTGCAGTAGTGTGCTCTAAATAACTGTAGAGTAACTGTACCGGTTGACACACACGCACACACTATGTTGCATTTTCATGACGAGTATGGAAATGTGCAACCATTGCCTATGACAGCTGCTCAACGATCATTACGTGGCCCTTTGGTCAATCCTGAATCGAAGCCAAACAAACATGCAGCACACCATCAGTTGGCAGCGGGGCATCCAAAAGATGTCAGTATATGCTCAAACATGATAAGCTGAGAACCGGACATGCCCCAAGACAAAGTTCACTACGGAACGCAACTAGAGCGTGTTTGATCTCGCATTCTCAGCTCGCCAATAGTGCGTTAGCAACACAGCTGCAAAGGTGGCACAGGCGGCAAAGTTGGCAGCAAAGGAGGCGGCCAAGCCGGCAGCAGCAGAGGCAACAACTCAAACGTGGGAGGAAGGGAGCAGCAGCGGCCAGGGGCCAGGGCAGCAAAGGCTGCATGCTCAAGCTACTAAAACCAAGATTGGGTCACCACGGTTTCCAAAAAGTTTGGGCCGAACAAACACTGTTTAATACTATCGACTCACATGCTGCACGCAAACTATTGGATTGCTTCCTCCAACCAAGATCCCGTAAACCCACAGCCCGCAATTTCGCGTCGCGAAGCTGAGTTCATGATCAACATGACTGCTAGCTTCCTGTGATCATGCCCCTTGTTCAGGGCAATGAGAGGAGAAATACACGCAACAAATCATTCAGTTGCAAAACGAGCATTGTCAAATGAATCTGGACATTCCGAGACGTTCATGACGGCCACTGCCGCCACACAATACAAGCTTGAAGCATGAACGGTGCCTAGTCTAGTCCCTCCCAAGCACAAAGAATCTCAAACTCTATTGTGCAGAAGGCGGTACAGCACACTGATCCACTACTCAAACTCTCAACGCGGGATGGAGTTGTTGCCAGCCTCAGCCATGGGCGTGCCATCCACCAAGTAGCCAATGTCTGCGGCATATGCCGAGGGTGGCAAAGCCGACCCCGGCGTGTGCAGGTCAGGTCCGATGGTCTCTGGATGGTTGATGGCATTGCCAGCAGCGTTCATCGGGGTGCCATCCGGCAGGTAGCCAACGTCGTTGGTGTAGCTGGCACGGGGCAAAGGAGAGCCGGGCGCATGAGGGTCAGGCTGGATGTTCTCCGGGTGGTTGATGGCATTGCCAGCCCTGTTCATGGGGGTGCCGTCCGGAAGGTAGCCCACATCGTTCTGAAACTTCAGGTCCGCATACGCATCCTGTTGGAATGCATAGGAGAAGCCAATCGGGCGCCTCACCTTTGTCTCCGCGCCGACAAAGGCCGCCGTTGCCATGGCAGGCACCGGGGCTGCAGCAGGAGCTGCCGCAGGAGCCGGTGCAGGAGCAGCTGGCGCAGAAGGCGCACCTGCAGACATGTCCATATGGTTGATGGCGTTGCCAGCCAGCTCCAGGGGAGTGCCATCCACCAAGTAACCAGTCTCAGCCGCATACACAGACGGGGGCAGAGGCGAACCAGGCGTATGAGGGTCGGGACCGATGGTCTCCGGGTGGTTGATGGCGTTTCCGGCCCTGTTCAATGGGGTGCCGTCCGGGAGGTAGCCAATGGAGTTCACAAAGTTGGCCCTTGGCAAAGGAGAGCCAGGGTTGTGCAGGTCCGGCTGGATGGTCTCCGGGTGGTTGACGGCATTGCCGGCCAGGTTCATGGGCGTGCCATCCGGCAAGTAGCCCACATCGTTGATGTACTGGAGGTCCGCATAGGCATCCTGCTGCTTGCTGTACTCGAACTTGATGCCATGGAACTTGTCACCCGTGGACTGCCCTGCTGCCATTGGCGCAGCAGCCACAGGTGCTGGGCTGGACATAGGCATGGAGGGCGCAGCAGGGGCAGCCGGAGCAGATGCTGCAGCCGGAGCGCCTCCACCCTGCATGTGGTTGATGGCGTTGCCAGCCAGCTCCAGGGGAGTGCCATCCACCAAGTAACCAGTCTCAGCCGCATACACAGACGCAGGCAAAGGCGAACCAGGGGTGTGAGGGTCAGGCCCGATGGTCTCCGGGTGGTTGATGGCGTTGCCGGCCCTGTTTAATGGGGTGCCGTCCGGGAGGTAGCCAATGGAGTTCACAAAGTTGGCCCTCGGCAAAGGAGAGCCAGGGTTGTGCAGGTCCGGCTGGATGGTCTCCGGGTGGTTGACGGCATTGCCGGCCATGTTCATGGGCGTGCCGTCCGGCAAGTAGCCCACGTCATTGATGTACTCCAAGTCTGCATAGGCATCCTTCTGCTTGCTGTTCTCGAACTTGATGCCATGGAAACGGTCCTCCCCGCCGCGGGCCTTCTTGGCCACCTTGCACTTGCGGCCGCGAGCACGGATGCCAGCTCCTGCAGCAGCGGCCAGCACTCCGCACGAGGCGACGGCTGGCCAGGCGCCTGTCGCAGTAGATGCCTCCTGGACACTTTGGGCCGCAGCGGGCCTCTGGCTCTGCAACTGCTGCATCGCTGCAGGAGCTGCAACAAAGGCATCCTGCGACAGCAGCACGGCCCCGCTGGCCGCCACGCCCACCGCCACGGCACAAGATCGCCGCGACATCTTTTAGGTCGAGAGGTCTGTATGACACTGGAAGAAAGAAGCTAGCTGCTTGACTGAGAATCCAGCAACTGCAGCAGACAATCTATTGAGGAACTGCCAATGTGCTCAGTCGCTGAAGCAAGTGATTTGTCTAAACCATGACCTTTCGCTTGCACTTTGCATGGCGCCTTCTCTGTCTGACCGTCTGAGTACATGACCGGCTGGATCCTGGTCACAAAGTTGCTACAGACAGGATGTTGACAACTGGTTGTTGTCAGCCTTCCAAAATGAAGCACTGGTAAAGCTTTGGAAAAACGGGCCATGAAAAACTGTTCTAGAGGCACGCATGCAAGCACCATGCAGGGCTGTCCTCGTCTCCAGTGACCAACATTTACATAGATCTTGGTCGCCGCCTTTGGCCACGGACGGCCGGTATGTATAAGGCTTGTCACAACGGAACAAGTGATCCACAGACAACCAACGAGCTGAGCAGCAATTGTGATCTTGATGGACAAATGCAGAGAAAAGCAAAGAAGCTTGGAGACAAAAGGAAATGGAAAGAGAAGGTAGACAAAGGATGGATCCAGGAGGCAAAAAGAAGAGGGCAATTTCCAAAACAAGAAAAGAAAGAGAAGGGCGGGCCAGGGTCAACGGCCTACAACCCGTCATCATCGGACACCTACATCACCAAAGTCATACTTCAGGTGTTCAAAGAACACCGTCCACAACCAAAATGCAGAAGCATGGAACTCTCGGTGGGTGCACAACGAAAAGCCCGCCGAATGCCAATGGCGTAAGAACTGGCACGGCAAGAAAAAGAAAGCTGCAGTAGTGTGCTCTAAATAACTGTAGAGTAACTGTACCGGTTGACACACACGCACACACTATGTTGCATTTTCATGACGAGTATGGAAATGTGCAACCATTGCCTATGACAGCTGCTCAACGATCATTACGTGGCCCTTTGGTCAATCTTGAATCGAAGCCAAACAAACATGCAGCACACCATCTGTTGGCAGCGGGGCATCCAAAAGATGTCAGTATATGCTCAAACATGATAAGCTGAGAACCGGACATGCCCCAAGACAAAGTTCACTACGGAACGCAACTAGAGCGTGTTTGATCTCGCATTCTCAGCTCGCCAATAGTGCGTTAGCAACACAGCTGCAAAGGTGGCACAGGCGGCAAAGTTGGCAGCAAAGGAGGCGGCCAAAGCGGCAGCAGCAGAGGCAACAACTCAAACGTGGGAGGAAGGAAGCAGCAGCGGCCAGGGGCCAGGGCAGCAAAGGCTGCATGCTCAAGTTACTAAAACCAAGATTGGGTCGCCACGGTTTCCAAAAAAGTTTGGGCCGAACAAACACTATGTTTAATACTATCGACTCACATGCTGCACGCAAACTATTGGACTGCTTCCTCCAACCAAGATCCCGTAAACCCACAGCCCGCAATTTCGCGTCGCGAAGCTGAGTTCATGATCAACATGACTGCTAGCTTCCTGTGATCATGCCCCTTGTTCAGGGCAATGAGAGGAGAAATACACGCAACAAATCATTCAGTTGCAAAACGAGCATTGTCAAATGAATCTGGACATTCCGAGACGTTCATGACGGCCACTGCCGCCACACAATACAAGCTTGAAGCATTAACGGTGCCTAGTCTAGTCCCTCCCAAGCACAAAGAATCTCAAACTCTATTGTGCAGAAGGCGGTACAGCACACTGATCCACTACTCAAACTCTCAACGCGGGATGGAGTTGTTGCCAGCCTCAGCCATGGGCGTGCCATCCACCAAGTAGCCAATGTCTGCGGCATATGCCGAGGGTGGCAAAGCCGACCCCGGCGTGTGCAGGTCAGGTCCGATGGTCTCTGGATGGTTGATGGCATTGCCAGCCGCGTTCATTGGGGTGCCATCCGGCAGGTAGCCAACATCGTTGGTGTAGCTGGCACGGGGCAAAGGAGAGCCGGGCGCATGAGGGTCAGGCTGGATGTTTTCCGGGTGGTTGATGGCATTGCCAGCCCTGTTCATGGGGGTGCCGTCCGGAAGGTAGCCCACATCGTTCTGAAACTTCAGGTCCGCATACGCATCCTGTTGGAATGCATAGGAAAAGCCAATCGGGCGCCTCACCTTTGTCTCCGCGCCGACAAAGGCCGCCGTTGCCATGGCAGGCACCGGGGCTGCAGCAGGAGCTGCCGCAGGAGCCGGTGCAGGAGCAGCTGGCGCAGAAGGCGCACCTGCAGACATGTCCATGTGGTTGATGGCGTTGCCAGCCAGCTCCAGGGGAGTGCCATCTACCAAGTAACCAGTCTCAGCCGCATACACAGACGGGGGCAGAGGCGAACCAGGCGTATGCGGGTCGGGACCGATGGTCTCCGGGTGATTGATGGCGTTGCCGGCCCTGTTCAATGGGGTGCCGTCTGGCAGGTAGCCGATGGAGTTCACAAAGTTGGCCCTTGGCAAAGGAGAGCCAGGGTTGTGCAGGTCCGGCTGGATGGTCTCCGGGTGGTTGACGGCGTTGCCGGCCAGGTTCATGGGCGTGCCATCCGGCAAGTAGCCCACGTCATTGATGTACTGGAGGTCCGCATAGGCATCCTGCTGCTTGCTGTACTCGAACTTGATGCCATGGAACTTGTCACCCGTGGACTGCCCTGCTGCCATTGGCGCAGCAGCCACAGGTGCTGGGCTGGACATAGGCATGGAGGGCGCAGCAGGGCAGCCGGAGCAGATGCTGCAGCCGGAGCGCCTCCACCCTGCATGTGGTTGATGGCGTTGCCAGCCAGCTCCAGGGGAGTGCCATCCACCAAGTAACCAGTCTCAGCCGCATACACAGACGCAGGCAGAGGCGAACCAGGGGTGTGAGGGTCAGGCCCAATGGTCTCCGGGTGGTTGATGGCGTTGCCGGCCCTGTTTAATGGGGTGCCGTCCGGCAGGTAGCCGATGGAGTTCACAAAGTTGGCCCTCGGCAAAGGAGAGCCAGGGTTGTGCAGGTCCGGCTGGATGGTCTCCGGGTGGTTGACGGCATTGCCGGCCATGTTCATAGGCGTGCCGTCCGGCAAGTAGCCCACGTCATTGATGTACTCCAAGTCTGCATAGGCATCCTTCTGCTTGCTGTTCTCGAACTTGATGCCATGGAAACGGTCCTCCCCGCCACGGGCCTTCTTGGCCACCTTGGACTTGCGGCCGCGGGCACGGATGCCAGCTCCTGCAGCAGCGGCCAGCACTCCGCACGAGGCGACGGCTGGCCAGGCGCCTGTCGCAGTGGATGCCTCCTGGACACTTTGGGCCGCAGCGGGCCTCTGGCTCTGCAACTGCTGCATCGCTGCAGGAGCTGCAACAAAGGCATCCTGCGACAGCAGCACGGCCCCGCTGGCCGCCACGCCCACCGCCACGGCACAAGATCGCCGCGACATCTTTTAGGTCGAGAGGTCTGTATGACACTGGAAGAAAGAATCTAGCTGCTTGACTGAGAATCCAGCAACTGCAGCAGACAATCTATTGAGGAACTGCCAATGACCTGTCGCTTGCACTTTGCATGGCGCCTTCTGTGTCTGACAGTCCGAGTACATGAGCGGCTGGATCCTTGTCAAAAAAAATGCGACAGGCAGGAGGTTGACAAATGGTTGCTGTCAGCCCTCCGAAAATGGTATCTCATCAAAAACAGGCTACAAAAAACTGTTCTAGAGGCTCAGAAGCATCCATCATGCAGGGCCGTCCTCGGCTCGAGTGGCCAACATTTACGTAGATCTTGGTTGCCGGTAGGTCTCAGAAACAACCTGCGTGCTAACATAATGGCATTGCATTCCAACAACTGCAGCAACCGGCTGGCCTGGTTGGGCGAGAACAGGGAGAGGAAAAAGGTCTCGCATCCTGCAACCATTGAGTGAAGCTAGCTGTATTTGCTTCATGATGCTGGCTGCCAATACCCACAGGTTCACAAAAATGCACAGAGAAAGCGCGTTTTCTTCCACGGCAGAGCTGCCTTTGTGATAAGACTTTCTGCCAAGGAGCATTCCCCGTCTCGGGGCAAGGAGGAGAAAAGGATGCAATGCCGTCCAGAGTCGCAAGAGATTTCTCCCAGACACTTCCATGGCAGGCACCGCAAACACACACCTAAGGCACAAAAGAGTCTCTCTCCCAATTGTGCAGGAGGGGCAAGGCACGCTGATCCATTGCCAGCCATGCTGCATGGTTCAGTTCAGACTCTTAGCGCGGGATGGAGTTGTTGCCAGCCTCAGCCATGGGCGTGCCATCCACCAAGTAGCCAATGTCTGCGGCATATGCCGAGGGTGGCAAAGCCGACCCCGGCGTGTGCAGGTCAGGTCCGATGGTCTCTGGATGGTTGATGGCATTGCCAGCAGCGTTCATCGGAGTGCCATCCGGCAGGTAGCCAACGTCGTTGGTGTAGCTAGCACGGGGCAAAGGAGAGCCGGGCGCATGAGGGTCAGGCTGGATGTTTTCCGGGTGGTTGATGGCATTGCCAGCCCTGTTCATGGGGGTGCCGTCCGGAAGGTAGCCCACATCGTTCTGAAACTTCAGGTCCGCATACGCATCCTGCTGGAATGCATAGGAAAAGCCAATAGGGCGCCTCACCTTTGTCTCCGCACCGACAAAGGCCGCCGTTGCCATGGCAGGCACCGGGGCTGCAGCAGGAGCTGCCGCAGGAGCGGGTGCAGGAGCAGCTGGCGCAGAAGGCGCACCTGCAGACATGTCCATGTGGTTGATGGCGTTGCCAGCCAGCTCCAGGGGAGTGCCATCCACCAAGTAACCAGTCTCAGCCGCATACACAGACGGGGGCAGAGGCGAACCAGGCGTATGCGGGTCGGGACCGATGGTCTCCGGGTGATTGATGGCGTTGCCGGCCCTGTTCAATGGGGTGCCGTCTGGCAGGTAGCCGATGGAGTTCACAAAGTTGGCCCTCGGCAAAGGAGAGCCAGGGTTGTGCAGGTCCGGCTGGATGGTCTCCGGGTGGTTGACAGCGTTGCCGGCCAGGTTCATGGGCGTGCCATCCGGCAAGTAGCCCACGTCATTGATGTACTGGAGGTCCGCATAGGCATCCTGCTGCTTGCTGTACTCGAACTTGATGCCATGGAACTTGTCACCCGTGGACTGCCCTGCTGCCATTGGCGCAGCAGCCACAGGTGCTGGGCTGGACATAGGCATGGAGGGCGCAGCAGGGGCAGCCGGAGCAGATGCTGCAGCCGGAGCGCCTCCACCCTGCATGTGGTTGATGGCGTTGCCAGCCAGCTCCAGGGGAGTGCCATCCACCAAGTAGCCAGTCTCAGCCGCATACACAGACGCAGGCAGAGGCGAACCAGGGGTGTGAGGGTCAGGCCCAATGGTCTCCGGGTGGTTGATGGCGTTGCCGGCCCTGTTTAATGGGGTGCCGTCCGGCAGGTAGCCGATGGAGTTCACAAAGTTGGCCCTCGGCAAAGGAGAGCCAGGGTTGTGCAGGTCCGGCTGGATGGTCTCCGGGTGGTTGACGGCATTGCCGGCCATGTTCATGGGCGTGCCGTCCGGCAAGTAGCCCACGTCATTGATGTACTCCAAGTCTGCATAGGCATCCTTCTGCTTGCTGTTCTCGAACTTGATGCCATGGAAACGGTCCTCCCCGCCACGGGCCTTCTTGGCCACCTTGGACTTGCGGCCGCGGGCACGGATGCCAGCTCCTGCAGCAGCGGCCAGCACTCCGCATGAGGCGACGGCTGGCCAGGCGCCTGTCGCAGTGGATGCCTCCTGGACACTTTGGGCCGCAGCGGGCCTCTGGCTCTGCAACTGCTGCATCGCTGCAGGAGCTGCAACAAAGGCATCCTGCGACAGCAGCACGGCCCCGCTGGCCGCCACGCCCACCGCCACGGCACAAGATCGCCGCGACATCTTTTAGGTCGAGAGGTCTGTATGACACTGGAAAAGCTGCAGCAAGCAATCTATTGAGGCACTGCCAATGTGCCCAATCGCTGACGCAAGTGATTTGGCTGCACCATGACCTTTCGCTTGCACTTTGCATGGCGCCTTCTGGGTCTAACAGTCCGAGTACATGAGCGGCTGGATCCTGGTCAAAAAAAGTTAGATGTTGACAAATGGTTGTTAGTCAGCCCTCCGAAAATGGTCCCTCATCAAAAACAGGCCACAAAAAACTGTTCTAGAGGCGCAGAAGCATCCATCATGCAGGGCCGTCCTCGGCTCGAGTGGCCAACATTTACGTAGATCTTGGTTGCCGGTAGGTCTCAGAAACAACCTGCGTGCTAACATAATGGCATTGCATTCCAACAACTGCGGCCACCGGCTGGCCTGGTTGGGCGAGAACAGGGAGAGGAAAAAGGTCTCGCATCCTTCAACCATTGAGTGAAGCTAGCTGCATTTGCTTCATGATGCTGGCTGCCAATACCCACAGGTTCACACAAATGCACAAAGAAAGCGCGTTTTCTTCCACGGCAGAGCTGCCTTTGTGATAAGACTTTCTGCCAAGGAGCATTCCCCGTCTCGGGGCAAGGAGGAGAAAAGGATGCAATGCCGTCCAGAGTCGCAAGAGATTTCTCCCAGACACTTCCATGGCAGGCACCGCAAAACGTCATTAGCCTGCGAAACATACCTTCAATGATATGATATGAGATTGAAACCTGAGCATTGCTCAAATAAATAGAGTGATGATGCACGATGATTGATATTGGCCTCTCAAAGGCACAAAAGAGTCTCTCTCCCAATTGTGCAGGAGGGGCAAGGCACGCTAATCAACTGCCATGCTGCATGGTTCAGTTCAGACTCTTAGCGCGGGATGGAGTTGTTGCCAGCCTCAGCCATGGGCGTGCCATCCACCAAGTAGCCAATGTCTGCGGCATATGCCGAGGGTGGCAAAGCCGACCCCGGCGTGTGCAGGTCAGGGCCAATGGTCTCTGGATGGTTGATGGCATTGCCAGCCGCGTTCATTGGGGTGCCATCCGGCAGGTAGCCAACATCGTTAGTGTAGCTGGCACGGGGCAAAGGAGAGCCGGGCGCATGAGGGTCAGGCTGGATGTTCTCCGGGTGGTTGATGGCATTGCCAGCCCTGTTCATGGGGGTGCCGTCCGGAAGGTAGCCCACATCGTTCTGAAACTTCAGGTCCGCATACGCATCCTGCTGGAATGCATAGGAAAAGCCAATAGGGCGCCTCACCTTTGTCTCCGCACCGACAAAGGCCGCCGTTGCCATGGCAGGCACCGGGGCTGCAGCAGGAGCTGCTGCAGGAGCCGGTGCAGGAGCAGCTGGCGCAGAAGGCGCACCTGCAGACATGTCCATGTGGTTGATGGCGTTGCCAGCCAGCTCCAGGGGAGTGCCATCCACCAAGTAACCAGTCTCAGCCGCATACACAGACGCAGGCAGAGGCGAACCAGGGGTGTGAGGGTCAGGCCCGATGGTCTCCGGGTGGTTGATGGCGTTGCCGGCCCTGTTCAATGGGGTGCCGTCCGGGAGGTAGCCAATGGAGTTCACAAAGTTGGCCCTCGGCAAAGGAGAGCCAGGATTGTGCAGGTCCGGTTGGATGGTCTCCGGGTGGTTGACAGCGTTGCCGGCCAGGTTCATGGGCGTGCCATCCGGCAAGTAGCCCACATCGTTGATGTACTGGAGGTCCGCATAGGCATCCTGCTGCTTGCTGTACTCGAACTTGATGCCATGGAACTTGTCACCCGTGGACTGCCCTGCTGCCATTGGTGCAGCAGCCACAGGTGCTGGGCTGGACATAGGCATGGAGGGCACAGCAGGGGCAGCCGGAGCAGGTGCTGCAGCCGGAACGCCTCCACCCTGCATGTGGTTGATGGCATTGCCAGCCAGCTCCAGGGGAGTGCCATCCACCAAGTAACCAGTCTCAGCCGCATACACAGACGCAGGCAGAGGCGAACCAGGGGTGTGAGGGTCAGGCCCAATGGTCTCCGGGTGGTTGATGGCGTTGCCGGCCCTGTTTAATGGGGTGCCGTCCGGCAGGTAGCCGATGGAGTTCACAAAGTTGGCCCTCGGCAAAGGAGAGCCAGGGTTATGCAGGTCCGGCTGGATGGTCTCCGGGTGGTTGACGGCATTGCCGGCCATGTTCATGGGCGTGCCGTCCGGCAAGTAGCCCACGTCATTGATGTACTCCAAGTCTGCATAGGCATCCTTCTGCTTGCTGTTCTCGAACTTGATGCCATGGAAACGGTCCTCCCCGCCACGGGCCTTCTTGGCCACCTTGGACTTGCGACCGCGGGCACGGATGCCAGCTCCTGCAGCAGCGGCCAGCACTCCGCACGAGGCGACGGCTGGCCAGGCACCTGTCGCAGTGGATGCCTCCTGGACACTTTGGGCCGCAGCGGGCCTCTGGCTCTGCAACTGCTGCATCGCTGCAGGAGCTGCAACAAAGGCATCCTGCGACAGCAGCACGGCCCCGCTGGCCGCCACGCCCACCGCCACGGCACAAGATCGCCGCGACATCTTTTAGGTCGAAAGGTCTGTATGACACTGGAAAAACTGCAGCAAGCAATCTATTGAGGAACTGCCAATGTGCCCAATCGCTGACGCAAGTGATTTGGCTGCACCATGACCTTTCGCTTGCATTTTGCATGGCGCCTTCTGTGTCTAACAGTCCGAGTACATGAGCGGCTGGATCCTGGTCAAAAAAGTTAGATGTTGACAAATGGTTGTTAGTCAGCCCTCCGAAAATGGTCCCTCATCAAAAACAGGCCACAAAAAACTGTTCTAGAGGCGCAGAAGCATCCATCATGCAGGGCCGTCCTCGGCTCGAGTGGCCAACATTTACGTAGATCTTGGTTGCCGGTAGGTCTAAGAAACAACCTGCCTGCTAACATAATGGCATGGCATTCCAACAACTGCGGCAACCGGCTGGCCTGGTTGGGCAGGAACAGGGAGAGGAAAAAGGTCTCGCATCCTGCAACCATTGAGTGAAGCTAGCTGCATTTGCTTCATGATGCTGGCTGCCAATACCCACAGGTTCACACAAATGCACAGAGAAAGCGCGTTTTCTTCCACGGCAGAGCTGCCTTTGTGATAAGACTTTCTGCCAAGGAGCATTCCCCGTCTCGGGGCAAGGAGAGGAGAAAAGGATGCAATGCCGTCCAGAGTCGCAAGAGATTTCTTCCAGGGTCTGTATAGAAACTAGCTGCTTGACTGAGAATCTGGCAACTGCAGCAAGCAATCCACAGATTGCAGCAATCCACCGAGGATCTGCGAATGTGTCTCAAGTGATCAAGCACATCTCTGGCTTCTAGCAGCTTCGTGAGCGCTGGCCGCAACCATGCTCTTAGTGGCAAGCCGGGTAAAAAGTTGCACATACCCAGTGACGCTGTGCAGCTCTGCCTAGTACAACAGAAAGCATTCCAACACGCAAGCATGACAGCCGTGTCAAAGTTTGTGTTGCTTTGGAAGCAAATCATGCGCCAAAGAGCTGGGCACTCCTATCATCTGAGAGCCGCCCTGCGTCACGAATGTCTAGCCCACCTGCAGCAAGGATGGGTTTTTCCTCCACAGCAGGACCTAGACCAAACTGCCAGTATCTGTCAATCTCAGATGCAGACAAGCGGCAAAGAGACCACAATGATCTGAGATTCTGCTTCATTTCCTCAGTATGTCAACTTGATGAGGGCCATAAAAGCCGCTCCACTCGTGCCAGAAAAGTACTTCTCGGTGCGGTGCATTCCCTCTCGATCCTGCCAGCCCAAGCAGTCACTCGTATGGAACAAGAACAGCTTGGGACAGAAGAAACAGCATGAACCAAGCAAAAAAGGTTTCATGATTTGTCAACATGATTCACGCTGTGTCATGTATGTTGCACAACTGGATGTGTCATGCATGTTGCGCAATTGCTATCTCTCTATGCATATATATATGTATAAATATATATATATATATACACGTGTATATATATATATATATATATACGTATATCCCTCCTGTTGGCTGCTCATTCGACAAGAGCGCCAGGGTCCGCCATTGCACAGCGAGGTGCCCTTCTTTGACCCTCCTCTTCAGTTCGGGAATGGCTTGTGAATGCCAGTGTTTCATGTTGCCCGGTGCATTTGGAAGAAGATGCCCACAAACGATCCTTGGCCAAAGCTGGCAGATGCAAGAAAGTGGGTATAAAAGCTCAGCTGCCTCTGCCTGTGAGCCGTCGTCTTCATCATGGTTCTCCCCACTTGCCGACGGCATTTCCTGTTACCGGCCACGCAAGTCATGCCAAATGTCTGCTCGTCTGACAGAACGCGACGTTTTGCGCGGGAAACAGCGGCCTTCATGGCTGCCCTTCTCTTAGCAGTCAGCAGTCAGCATTCCCCTTTTAGGGCAATGGACGGAGAAATCGGACGTTCACTGAGACATTCTCCCAGGAGGCTAACTCCTAGGCAGTCCCAAAATCAAACATCACAATGGGCCTCACGGCCAACGCAGCGTTCACTTTGGAAACATCTCATGTTCTCCCAACCGAGAAACATCTCCACACACCTGAAATGAGCCGAGCTTGAAACATTGCGCTCAGTCTTTTTCCGTAGGCCACACCTTCGCACAATAGGGTCTCTCACCCAATCATGTGGGACGCAGCAAAGGTACGCGACCAAGCGATGGGTGTTCAACGAGGGATGGAGTTGTTGCCGGCCTCCGCCATAGGAGTGCCATCCACCAAGTAGCCAATGTCTGCGGCATATGCCGAGGGTGGCAAAGCCGACCCCGGCGTGTGCAGGTCAGGTCCGATGGTCTCTGGATGGTTGATGGCATTGCCAGCAGCGTTCATCGGGGTGCCATCCGGCAGGTAGCCAACATCGTTGGTGTAGCTGGCACGGGGCAAAGGAGAGCCGGGCGCATGAGGGTCAGGCTGGATGTTTTCCGGGTGGTTGATGGCATTGCCAGCCCTGTTCATGGGGGTGCCGTCCGGAAGGTAGCCCACATCGTTCTGAAACTTCAGGTCCGCATACGCATCCTGCTGGAATGCATAGGAAAAGCCAATAGGGCGCCTCACCTTTGTCTCCGCACCGACAAAGGCCGCCGTTGCCATGGCAGGCACCGGGGCTGCAGCAGGAGCTGCTGCAGGAGCCGGTGCAGGAGCAGCTGGCGCAGAAGGCGCACCTGCAGACATGTCCATGTGGTTGATGGCGTTGCCAGCCAGCTCCAGGGGAGTGCCATCCACCAAGTAACCAGTCTCAGCCGCATACACAGACGCAGGCAGAGGCGAACCAGGGGTGTGAGGGTCAGGCCCGATGGTCTCCGGGTGGTTGATGGCGTTGCCGGCCCTGTTCAATGGGGTGCCGTCCGGCAGGTAGCCGATGGAGTTCACAAAGTTGGCCCTCGGCAAAGGAGAGCCAGGGTTGTGCAGGTCCGGCTGGATGGTCTCCGGGTGGTTGACGGCGTTGCCGGCCAGGTTCATGGGCGTGCCATCCGGCAAGTAGCCCACGTCATTGATGTACTGGAGGTCCGCATAGGCATCCTGCTGCTTGCTGTACTCGAACTTGATGCCATGGAACTTGTCACCCGTGGACTGCCCTGCTGCCATTGGCGCAGCAGCCACTGGGCTGGACATAGGCATGGCGGGCGCAGTAGGGGCAGCCGGAGCAGGTGCTGCAGCTGGAGCACCTCCACCCTGCATGTGGTTGATGGCGTTGCCAGCCAGCTCCAGGGGAGTGCCATCCACCAAGTAACCAGTCTCAGCCGCATACACAGACGCAGGCAGAGGCGAACCAGGGGTGTGAGGGTCAGGCCCGATGGTCTCCGGGTGGTTGATGGCGTTGCCGGCCCTGTTTAATGGGGTGCCGTCCGGCAGGTAGCCGATGGAGTTCACAAAGTTGGCCCTCGGCAAAGGAGAGCCAGGGTTGTGCAGGTCCGGCTGGATGGTCTCCGGGTGGTTGACGGCATTGCCGGCCATGTTCATGGGCGTGCCATCCGGCAAGTAGCCCACATCATTGATGTACTCCAAGTCTGCATAGGCATCCTTTTGCTTGCTGTTCTCGAACTTGATCCCATGGAAACGGTCCTCCCCACCGCGGGCCTTCTTGGCCACCTTGGACTTGCGGCCGCGGGCACGGATGCCGGCTCCTGCAGCAGCGGCCAGCACTCCGCACGAGGCGACGGCTGGCCAGGCGCCTGTCGCAGTGGATGCCTCCTGGACACTTTGGGCCGCAGCGGGCCTCTGGCTCTGCAACTGCTGCATCGCTGCAGGAGCTGCAACGAAGGCATCCTGCGAGAGCAGCACGGCCCCGCTGGCCGCCACGCCCACCGCCACGGCACAAGATCGCCGCGACATCTTTCAGGAGGGGTCTGAATGACACCGGAAGAAACTAGCTGCTTGACTGAGAATCTCGGAACTGCGGCAAGGGGATTTGTCCGAGGCAACATGCGACAACATCGACAATGTCAAATCAGCAATCGATGCACACTAGTCTGAAAGATGTGCCTGACAGAGGTCTACATGCATGCATTTTGATGCATATTGATTGCATGATTTCTGAAAATTGGAGGAATTCAAGACTTTCAGTACTAAAGATTATTTAAATGTATGATGTTGGCACTGTCATGTATCTTTCCTCGAAAGCGATTGTCATTCGAACAACTTGCCATCCTTAACTTTGCTCCTATGAGCAGTTGCGGAAGGGTGCGGCGAAAGGGTGCGGCGCATTGTAGGCAAATGGTTGTGCCAACAGATATCATGCGGCAACGAACAATCATCAGCTGGCATACAATCAAATGATGAATCCGAATCTCGCTTCGCGCCTTGCATTGAACACGCCACATGAGTGTTGATTGCTTTGACAGTCACTCAAATAACAGCTAATAAATTGCAAAGCCCAGCATCATGAAAACGAGCATGTCCAAACATCGCAACCACAAGATTGCTTTGTTCCATCTTGCTCGCGCAAGCAATAACTATCATGGGCACGTGCCCAACTTTTACTGTAGTTGCAACACAAAACGAGGTGTACCTCACTAGTTTTGCACCAAGAAATATGTTTGGGACAGATGAACAAGAAAATACAGAAAAACGGATAGACAAGCAGTCTTGGCCCTATGCCAAGCCAATCAAAGATGCGCTGCGCGGCAAACCTAAAGCTAAAGGAAAGCCTTGCGCGTCTTGCAACGCAATGCTATCGCGTAGCTAAAAGCGAAGAGGCGCTGCGCAAGCCTTGGCACAGAAGCCGAAGGTGCGCAAGCGCGTCGCCCTTTGCCAAGACCCGTCAGCAAAGGGTGCAGTCGCGAGCACCCTTGCCTCCTATCGCGAGTTTACCCATCCTCCTTTACGGTCGGCGCCTCAGGAACAGCCCAAAGTCAGTCTGTGCAGCCTGGTTCTTGTTCTCATCGCGATACAGACCTTTGCAATGTTTGCCGAAAAAGAAGAGCTGATGGCTGTATGATGGTGAACACATCCGTATCTTCGTACGATGGTGAACACATTCGTATCTTCACGGGCCTCACCAATTGCGTACTGTTTTGGTGCCCACACCTCAAGCACTTCACACACCAGTCAGTTTTGCCCTTGGATGTTTTTTTTTGCAGAATGGCCAGTTCGAGAACGAAAGCCAGGCAAAATCCCAGGGTCGATACATGAGAACATCTCTGGCTTACGACGGAAATACTTGACTTGCAACTTACGGCCGAAGCATAGTATCCAGCCCATGGGTGCGGACTTAGTGCTTCACTTAGTGATGGGTGCTTTTCCCTCTTGGGGGTTTGGTGGATGCACTTTGCATTCGGACCTTGTGCCATGAGGCCTTCTTGAGTGTGGGTTTGTCCCTTTCTTGTGGGCCAGCCATCTTTCTTTGCATTGAGTGCACTGGCCCTTGGCGGCACGATCCCTGGCGCAGAGGGTTGGATGCTACTGTAAATAGCGCTGGCATCGTGGGATAGCCTTTTAGGCGCGAACCGTCTTAGGGTTGAGACCGGGCCCCCGTTTTTTTTGTTTTTTCTTTGTCTTGTTTTTTTCTCCGAACTTTTGGTTTCCCCCCTTTTTGGTTCCGCGGGTTCCGGGCCCCTGCTCGCTTTTGGGTTGTTTTCCTTTTTGCGGTGGGGTTGCTTCTAGGTAGTGCATCATCAAAGCAAATTATTCGCCAGGCTGGAGGCGAAAAGATCCGTCTCGGAAGATCCGTCTCGGACCTGGGAATACAGTTATTCTAAGGAGAGGCGCTCACCGGGCTGGAGGTGGAAAGAACCGTCTCGGACCCGGGGAAAAGATTATTCTCAGGAGAGGCGCTCACCGGGCTGGAGGCGAAAAGATCCGTCTTGGAAGGTCCGTCTGGGAATAAAGTTATTCTAAGGAGAGGCGCTCACCGGGCTGGAGGTGGAAAGAACCGTCTCGGACCTTGGGAAAAGATTATTCCAAGGAGCTGGAGGCGAAAAGATCCGTCTCCGAAGATCCGTCTCGGACCTGGGAATAAAGTTATTCTAAGGAGAGGCGCTCACCGGGCTGGAGGTGGAAAGAACCGTCTCGGACCTTGGGAAAAGATTATTCCAAGGAGGGGCGCTCACCGAGCTGGAGGCGAAAAGATCCGTCTCGGAAGATCCGTCTCGGACCTGGGAATACAGTTATTCTAAGGTTGGGAAAAGACTATTCCAAGAAAAGGCGCTCGCCGAGCTGGAGGCGAAAAGATCCGTCTCGGAAGATCCGTCTCGGACCTGGGAATACAGTTATTCTAAGGAGAGGCGCTCACCGGGCTGGAGGTGGAAAGAACCGTCTCGGACCTTGGGAAAAGATTATTCCAAGGAGGGGCGCTCACCGAGCTGGAGGCGAAAAGATCCGTCTCGGAAGATCCGTCTCGGACCTGGGAATACAGTTATTCTAAGGTTGGGAAAAGACTATTCCAAGGAGAGGCGCTCGCCGAGCTGGAGGCGAAAAGATCCGTCTCGGAAGATCCGTCTCGGACCTGGGAATAAAGTTATTCTAAGGAGAGGCGCTCACCGGGCTGGAGGTGGAAAGAACCGTCTCGGACCTGGGAATAAAGTTATTCTCAGAAAAAGGCGCTCACCGGGCTGGAGGCGAAAAGATCCGTCTCGGAAGATCCGTCTCGGGCCAGCGTAGAATTTTTATTCTCAGGAGAGGCGCTCACCGGGCTGGAGGTGGAAAGAACCGTCTCGGCACCGGGCTGGAGGCGAAAAGATCTGTCTTGAAAATGATCCGTCTCGGAGATGATCCGTCTCGGACCTTGGAAGAAATCTATTCTCCGGGTGAGCGACTCACCCTCAAGTCAAAAAGATCCGTCTCGGAGTTAAGGCATGTTGCACTGCTCCTAGCTTGAACCCAAACATGAACCCCCAAAAGAACAAAGCAAGTCCGAAGCGGCCGCAGTTCTTTTTACCGGGATTGCTGAAAGTAGCACTGCTTCCAGGGCACTGGTGCGCCTGGAACAGGAGGCGCGTTGACCCCCCCTTCAGTGTTTCAGGCAACCCCGGTATAAGCGAGCCCGCTGGGCCGCAGGCCTCATCACCCGCCCTTCAGAGTGGGGTTGTACCTGGCAGGGCAAATGTCTGCGTGGCCATGCACGCTGGGCTGTGAGGAGCCTGTTACTCAGGGTCTGCACTTTTTTCGGTCAGAGCGGCTTGATGTAAGCGGCTGGCTGACGCTGCCAGTTGTTCTGGCTGACAGGGCGACGACGGCCATTTGGTCGCAAGGCATGTCGGGATGCAAATAAGGCTGGCTAAGCAGTGACGGAGGCAGCTGCCAAATGCTCCGGGCGCCAGGGCGCATGCATCGGACACAGCTGAATGCCTCGGCCTGACATTGCTAGGCCCGCAGGGCTGAAGCGTATGCGACTTTCAGGCCTCTGCTGAGATCGTCTGCCCAATCATTGCACCTTCCTGGAACGTGCGTCGGCTGCAGCAGCACATTGTGAGCGTGAGCCCAGAAGGCTGTTAACTGCACGAAGAGTTGCAACGGCCAGGAGGTCGTGAACAACTAGTTAAGGCTTGCTTCCGTTGCGGCATTGTCCGTGCCTGAAGGCATGCTGAACGAGTAGTGCCCACCACCAATGTGGCTGTGGGTTGCTTGCAGTAGTGCTAACTGTGCCAGCGTCTCGAAGCATGCGATGTACCGCTGTCCAGGCTTGACAAGGCAAGGCCACACGGCTCGTATGTCCTGCATGTTCCAGGTCTCGGCAAACCAAACCACTTGGGAGGATGTGATTGCCCAGCCCCCGATCCCTACCAAGTCGTCTTCGGCACACGCGTCCGCGGCAGCCAGAGCTTGCAGCTGGTGTGGCCGCGCCAAGGGCTGAACAGGCGAGTGCTGAAAGCGCAACGCCAGCCAAGTAAGGCATTGTTGGCTTGACTTGGAAAGGCTAGTGTATGGGTTATTGGGGTCCGCGATGCGCACCCATGTGGGTTTGCTAGTGCCAGGCACTTGCGGGATGTCCTGAGGGCAGTGCATGGTGCGACCCGAAATTTCCAAGATTTTGGTGATCCACAAGCCCGGAAGGCTATGGCTAGTTTTGAGATCCTTGTTCAAGGATGCTCTAAAGGCTGACCACATTTGAGGCGGTATCGAGTGCATCGAGCCTCGTGGGCTGTTGAGGTCCGAGTATAGTGGCGCTAGCCAGGATCCCAGATGTAGGGCAATGCTGGTGGCCCAAATGAGCAGGCCTATGCACTGCTCGAGTGTTTTGCGGGGTACCCGTCGGTTCCCAAGCAGTGCTTTGATCAAGGCGTCCAGCTTGGTCAGCTTAGCGGACACGAGCTGAATGGTGTCGTGGGAGAAGTTGATCTCCCAACCGCACCAAACAAGGCTGTCCTGGAATTGCGCCTTTTTCCATGAAATGGGCGCTGCAATGGCGCAAAAGAAAAGCACCACCAAGGCAAACATATCTGGCGCGCTATCCCGGAAGAGTGCACACAGAAGGTCGTCCACAACAAGGAAGCTTTGTGGGGCTTCCAGGCCAGCAACCCATGCACCTGGCGAAGCAAGAATGCGCCAGTGCGCTGCCACCAGAATGCCGAGAAACGGCCCCCAAAATGGCACACTCTGTAATGATAGAGCTTTCCTTGAAATGCGAAGAGTAGAAGGCCATGCTGTTCAGGGCGGACCTGCACCTGTTTGTGTGCGGCTTTGAAGTCAACGCTGGCGCCCACGAAGGCGCCTGGAGTGTCCTCTGGCTGCGTGGACAGCGCCAGGTCCGATGCCATTGGCAAGCTCAGGCGCTCTGGTAGATGGCATCTGGTATTCACTTGGCACACGGTGCTGTCCAAGACAAGGCGCGGCTCTTTCCTTTCTGCAAAAACGACATTTAACTTGCCTACGGCAATGCCTAAGGGCCATTTTTCCCGAGCTTTGGCGATGCTAAGGCCGGTTTCTACAATCCAGTTGTTGGCAATTTCATTGCGCAG